CACGCATTAAAATGCTATTTACATTCTCAAAACACAACCCAGCAATGAAGATAAGCGTAAAACTACACAAAATTTTCCACAATCATCGTTCATCTACAAATTAGAAATTATTTATGATCAATGGGTAAAAATGGTCGTGTTTAGGGATGGAAAAATACTGGGTTGTGTTGTGGAATCTCGTAAGTTCTATTTTCTACTACTCAACTCAAGGCTAACGGCGTAAATAATTTAAATCACACGAAACGTTTATGTAACAATTTCTTTTTATAGTATTCATGCGTGTCTCAATGCAAATTGTGTACACAAAATTAGTTATCCCGGTAACTCTAACCATAAAAACAATAAGTATTTGCGAATATTTAACGTTCCATTTTCCATAGAGCTTTCATAAATATAACATGGTGAAAATAACTACGAAATTTACCATTCCAGCATTAAGTAGTTTTAAAATGTTTGATTTCAACTCATAAATATTTTCATTGAAATAGGATCGAATATTTTTTTCCAGTGTCACTAATAACATTTTTTAATTATATTTACGTCATCTGTAGTTTGTCACTTTTACGTAAAATAATTTTGAATGTGTTATCGACTGTAATTTTCAACACACAAAGCAAAAGATTAAATATTTTTATTCCAGTGTCACTAATAAAATTTTATAATGATCATCACGTCACCAGTGTCATTGAACATAATATTTTGCCCCAAAAAAGAGTTAACAAAGGCTAGTTGGGTGATTGTGGTACTGAGCGTATCCATCGGCATACTGAAATTTTAATTGTACTTTATTTGTATCAACCTATACTGGGCCAATTCTTTGAGGAGTTTCTCACCATTGTACTATATATAGAGTTAACTTGATATTAAATTAACTTTCTTTCACATAAAATTAGCCAACCATTGCGACCTTAACAATAAATCAATAACCCTGAAAAACGATCTTAAAAAATTACAGAACTTTTCCACACGCCTAAAATCGTCTTTTCACTCAAAATTTTTACGTGCGCTTGTGGTCGCGTCATGCAACAATAGTCAGACCACGGGGGAAAACCAAATTATTATAGCAGCAAAACAACATTCCAATGGTTTTTATAACTCCTATCCACACTTGATCAGGTAAGATTAAAAATATTATTGCTATTCCATACTAAATACAAGTTGAAATTTAAATAACGGTGAATACAAATTACATTTTTCATGTAACGATTCGTTAACTTTTAATGACGTCACACGTGTAGAGTTTTTTGGTGAATTTAAGCATACATCAGGTATTTGGGGAAACAGTTCAAAATTTGAAGCCTCGGGGATTGTAAAAAAAGTAGCTGCAATGAGATGACTTGAGTAGGTAGAAAGTCGGGAATTTATAATGAAATGTGTGAATATAGTCAAAATTGGATTCTACTAATCAAAGTCAAAGTTCTTATTTCAATTATTGCGAGCAGGATTTTGAACTTTAGGTAATGACGTACAGGTGAAATTACTTATTACTTATCGATCTTAAGATCGGTAAGTATATTGATAGGTATTTGTATGTCTGTCTGTCTGTCTGTGTGTGTGTGTGTGTGTCTGTTAGATGCACGCGATATCTCACGAAAGCGGGATTGAATCTGCTCCAGATTTTGCATGTGCATTCATCTTATCTCGGACCAGAATCCTATTGATTTTGGGCGAATTATGTCGTATAATTAGCGAGTTATCAATCAATTATTGATATAGTGATCTAGATTTTTGTAAAGCGAGAGAATTTTGAAACCCGCCGAGTGTGTGTGTGCGATGCGCAGTGCGCAAGTTACAAGAGCGGATGAATCGAAACTGCAGTTTCTGTTTTGGGGGATCCCCTAACTATCGATCGATAAGTCTTCGGTTTCCAACCGATATTCTCGTTATTATATCAAGCAAACGCCATCCCTACAGTGTGTCTGGGATGTGTATGTATTTTTGGTAACCCCGAATCATATTCAACTAAGTTTTGGATATTGCTGAAAATGAAAGTATATTCGGCCTTGATTTTTTCGGTGATTAAGGCACATTATTCCAACTTCGAAGTTAATCAAATGTGATTAGGCAGAATACCCACATTCTTTGAAACTTTGAGGGAGTTTTGCACGTTTTCGAATTGTAATAATTTAAAGAAGGTGATCTTTAAGGTCTACTTCATCGAATTACCTCATAATGCCAGTAGGTGCGCTTCAACGAAGTATGTTTGATACGTCCAAACTTTATTTTTAATTATTTTTAATCAATGATAAGCCATTCAGTCCCGGTCCATATATGTCTTTCCAGTCAATTTTGGATTGAGTACATAGAATTTACTAGATGTTTTTCGCGCAATTCACTCATTTTTTTGCAGACGACGAAATGAGAATGACAGGTATATTATACTACTCTTTGCATTACCACCATAATGATTAGAGGAAGGGATTATAATTTATAAAATAATATATAAAATGTCATACACAGCCGAGGAACTCAAGTTCGACAAAAAAATATGTAAATTGATATATAAAGCACAGTTAATGTCATTTACTGTGTTTTTACTGCAAAACAGTTGTTCATATGTACAATAAAAAATACGTTCACAGAACAAACGTAAACAAGCTATTGGACAAAATCGTAAATAAGTAAAAGTGAATAAATTTACGATCATTGATTAGATTATTTCAACGATATTTTATTTTTATGGAAAACATTAATTTATAAAAAATAAAAAATAAAGTAAGTTAAGTTTTATAAGTAAGCTTATAAAAAAGTAAGCTAAATCCGTTGGGTGATAATTTTCAATTGTACTTGGTGAACAAAAAATAAATTTAATTGACGCCAAAATACCCCAGAGGCATAAAGTGAGATCACATGACACTTAGAAAACCGATACCATTGTCTCACTTGCAGATAAAATGATAGCATGCCAGTTTCATTGATTAATCACGAAGAATTCAAAATTAGCATTTATCAATTACGCTTAAGACTTCATTAAAGTTTTCAGAGCTCGTGGCGTGACTTATATCACGTTTAAATGTAAAGCGAAGTCAATTTGGCGATTTTTTCAAGTTTTTTTGGTAAAATAACGTTGTGAGTTTAAAAAAGATTTTAATAAAAAATTAACACGAATTCGTATTATTATACTCATTATTCTCTCTTTGCTAGAATTGTTCACTTTATATCTCTATGGGACAAACGCCATTTAACGAGACTACATACGCAATGTTAAATGGCTTGTCCTGGGATAGTGATCACAAAGTGAGAATATGGCTGTTACTAATTTAAGTAGTCTGTAATTAATTTTCACTAAACTAAAGTACAAAACAAAATTTACATAAATGTCACTATCTTATCGCTATAATTTTCGAAACTGCTGTGTTCAATTTTATAGCAAACGGTTCAAAATTGAGAATCTATTTACAGTTGCAGGTAATTTAGAATAAATTAATGATTTTTGTCGTAATCTCGGAAAACCAAATCGTATTTTGGGGGATTTCTGACTTTCAGTTGCTATTAATTATACGAGAGCTGATTGCTGCATCCGGCGACTAGAATCAAAATAGATACTGTATATATAATAGGTTTAGAAAATATCAATATTATATTATTTATGAGTAAGAATATAGCATGAACAGACATGAGCTGATGATACTCGTGATACTAGCATGGCGCGTGTCTAGTCAACCATAAGCCGAATGTCATGTAATTGAGAAGTCATCAGCGGACTTGATTGTTATATGTCTTAAAATGAGGTGAAATTAATGTGAATTTGCAACCTTGCTTTATACTAATAAAGGGTAGATACTAATAATAATTCGAAAGAAACATTTCTACATTATTTCAACAAATCCAACTGTAAACTGAAATTCCGCCAAGGTATATTAGACCGGATTTACCGGATGTTATCGATAAAGAATCGAGTTATGTGGGATAAATAAAATCTATAGATTCAATAAGATAACGTTTTTAACTTTGTATTAGGACAATGAAGTATAGTGGTGTTTGAATCTTGAGAGGTATCCTTTTATTAAATTTTACTTTATTTTAATATAGGAAAATTACATACGCTACCAATGTATGAAAATATTGATTTATTGATATCAGAAAAATAGTAACATTGGCCAATATGATATCAAATGGGTTTGGTCAATATATTCCAACGGTACATTACCTCCAGCCAGACATGTGTCGGATCACCTTGATTACCGGAACATTTGATGCCCTCTAGCGGACATTGGCGTTTCCTCTGACCATATAATTTATTTATTTTCTAAATTAGGAAATTCTTCGCAATTGCCGCAGGCTATGAGCGTGGGTTGTACACCTTATTTGAGCCGAATGTTTTTGATTAGATTATACGCTACAGTTACTTTGAACTGTTTGAAGTCGCTTCTTAATATGACTTTTGAAATGAAAACGGGCACGGGAATGGCAGAATTAGTGCAAGCAGGTTAATTAATAATTAGCATTGGTTCTTCTGATTTATGTGCGATAATTTTAGCAATATATATATAAGGATAATTAGTATATTATGCATTGCTAAAGAAAACATAATCCCATACACACTGCGAAAAGCGGCTTCAATTATTGCGTTTGATTTCTTTGCAGTGAGAGTGAGCAACACATGATATTTATACAATCCTTCCATTCTAGTGAATGCATCACAGCGAAAGAGCCAAAATAGATAGCTCATTCAGTGTATTGATAGCAGGAACCTTATACCTTGCTTAAAACATAAAATTTATTCATGTTAATGTATTGGGGGTGAAATTATGAATTGAAATAAATTTTTAATATTTTAGTCAAAAATAACGAGATATATATATCAAATGACTAATATGATCGCCGCAATATCAGCAAAATCCAAGACGAATTGAAATAAATTGTACCAAAAACTGTATGAAACTGTGCCTGAGAATTGAAAAAAAAAATTGAGGTGTAATATTGTCACCTATAACTAGAATTTAGAGTAAATCGAATCCAATAAATGAATCTCTTATTTTCATTTTGAAAATAGCATTCATTTAAAAATTGTGAATCAGGTTTATCAAATATAACTATGCACAGAAATATACACGTATCGGTGATTTATACACTTATTTTGTATTGTAAATTGACAAGTTCAGAAACCGTAGAATGGAAAAATGAAGCCTTAAAAAGTGCAGAAAAATTAGGAGACAATGTTGATGAAATACTCGATGATTTGTTGGGATATAAGAATTTCCAAGTAAGTTTTTTTTCGAATGGAGAATACTAGGATGTTGTATATTAAACTGCAGGTCCTTTCTTCTTAGTTTTCTTTTATTTTTTCGAGTTTTTTTAATTTTGAAAAATAGTTGATTATGTTCCACTATGTTGTACTATTAGTCGCTTAATTTTTGCCAAAATTAATACTCAATGGAAGAAAAATGATACTTCATTTCTGTGTTATGATTTGAAAAATCAAGTGAAATATACATGGCTTTGGTGCCAAACAAAGTTTTGAAGCTCATTATGCTCGATTTACATTTCAGGATTATTATAACACATTATCGTTCAGCGAAAGAGAACTTGACGGAAGTGATATACTGGTAAAAGTGAGTAATTTTACATCATCCCACTAGTGCAGTACAAGAGATATCTCGTGGCCGCTTTATTTTTTGAATAAAAATTTGAAGAATTTTCAAATGACGAAATGATTCAACATTGGTATCAATGTGCTATTTGTAGAACACAACCTCGTGATAGCCGTAGGCCGTCTAGGTCACACCGCATGCTACAATTGATTTTCCTTTGATTTTGCAGAACAATCATTTAAACTTAGTTTTTTATTCAAATGCAAGAAATGACATATAGCTACACTTTTTCGCCCAACCGAACAAAATTCTGAAGAACTCTAATACAGTTCAAGGCCCGTGCCCTCTTCCCCGTAAGGCGACCACAGAACAGTTGGAGGGATCATGATACTAGACGCAAATTGACTTTAATGCAGTTTTGTTTGCATACATTTTCTATATAATAAAATCCCCTATTCATCTTATTTTCATTCCCTATAAGGTTATTCCACATGGTTTTCATTATCTTGTGCGTAAATTGTTTGATCATAATGGGATTTGAAATCCACCAATCAAAATAACACGGTGATTACCTTGCTGCTCCTCTAAATCTAACGTTCGTTGTTGGTTGGCACGCTATATGACCAACCTTTAACCAAAGTTTCACAGAACTGCGAGGTTCCGTAGCCGTCGTCAACGTAATGTATAGATACAGAAAAATATATTTAAGTTCTAATATTCCCCAAAAAAGAAAATATTACAACAATTACGTTGGCTTTATCAAAGTGAATCGAGATGGCCTAGAATGTGCGCAATGTGCATGGCTCGTATTTTTAGAATAATGAACAATGGGGCCACGAGTGCTAAAATTACCCACGAGCAATCAAATGTTGGGAAACGCCGGTTTAAAACGTATTTTGTGGTGTCAAAGTATAATTCTTATTCCTAGTATTCCGTTCATTGCTGTATTCGCTTATTTTTGAAAACATTAAATACTATTTAGGCTATATATATTATTGTGTTTTATTTCTTCTATTTTATTGAAAACTGTTAAGATGGCGAACAATTTTGGAAAAAAGTTTTTCGATAGAAACAATGTTGTGAAAAGTTTGAAAAAAGTTGTTGAAGATTCCCTAACATCGACAAGTCATCTAGAAGAATGCTGTACACTGAATCCAAGCAATATGGAAATGAATGACAGATTCAAACAACTTGTAAGTTATAATATGTTTCAGATGCTATGCGAAGTTTAAGTTCGTAGTTTCCATATTTTTAACTGCTTTATACGAAAGAAAACAAAATCTATGTCGTTATATTGTTGATAGACGCCAAGTGGACCTATGAATCGTTTTGTCATTAATATGTTGTTGATATTCTTGGTATTTATCTTGTTGTTGTTGTTGGTGTTGTGAAAATATCGCTTTTCTGTTTAACTACTGGACCAATTGCTTTAGAATTTTTAGTGGTTGAAGATTGTCATTAGAAAGCTATTACTTCTATTCAGTTCAAAAACTTTGATTTGATCTATGCACGGGATTTGTTTTTATGTGTGTGATGGCGTTAAGCAATCTACAATAAAGTCTATATTTGATGTAGTACCAAAACACATATAGGCTCCGTTATTTTCATTACAGATTGGACAAGGTGGATGTCAAAGAATATCTAAAACCGCAGAAAGAACATTCGGTTTTTTGTCTAAAAAATTCGAGGACGCCTGCGTCGAAAATTTGGGTCAAATGCCTTTTTTGGCATGGCAGTATTTTGCAAGTGAGTCAGGAATAACGTCGCTCTATCCCGGAATCGAAGTTGAGGATTGTGGTTCCTACGATGCCAGATACAGGTGAGTTTTATGAGACAAAAGAATCACGAGGTGCCGCAAAGCATTATCACAGTCATTCTGTTTCATGAAGTATTTATTTAAATTTTGGAACATTGCCGTGGATAAAAAAATACATCGTGAAATTTGTTATATGTTGTACAAACGGTGTTAAAAAGTTCAACAGTGAAAAAACAAATCGCATTCTGTCACCAAGCCACAGGCAATCGGTCCAAAAATGTATATACCAAAATTATGTTCTAAATCTTCATTAAAGTGACTGATGGAGAAAAACATAACCTTTCAATGGCTGCCTGAACGCTGAACAACAAATACCTCATAAAAATACTTATTTTATTGGAAGATTTTATCAGTTGTACTGCTCTAGGCCTATAGTTGCTGCTGCACTTGGGAGTCTAGAATAATTTGAACATATGATCAGGTATATCAACCGAGATAACATAAAGTTTTCTCGTAATAGAAACTAAGGCTATTAGGCTATTTTACTTTGACAAAAATGGATTACGACACCCAGTGGTAACTTGGTTTCGCAAAATGGTTAATACTAAAAATTGAATTGAATTAATTTTCTTGTAGGCCTTTTTACGTACAAACAAACGTGCCTGATTCAAAAGATATTGTCATCGTTATTGATAAAAGTGGATCGATGGGGAAAATAGATAACTCGGGAGTAAAACTGATGGACATCGCTAAAGAAGCAGCTAAAACAGTCGTCAGCACTTTAAATCCCCATGACAGGGTAAGTCAAAAACATATAGATATTGAATCAATGATTTTGAAAAACACGACGCAATGCTGAACTTTGTATTATTGCTTTAATTCTGATTTTATGTTAGTTTGCTGAAAGGTCACAGCCCACAAACATTCGCATTGATTTTTACATCACTGGTTTGAAGCTCGTGGCTTGGTATGATCGCTTGTTCGCCTTTTCCTCGTTGTCAATTCAGCTTCAAACAATCACAAAACACACATTTTGCAGGTCGCCGTTATCGGGTTTTCAGACTCAATCGTAGCGATGGGAAGTAACAATCCGATTGAGTCTTGTTTTGGAGAAGAACTCGCCCGAGCAACAAACGAAAATATTCAAACAATCAATCAATTTATTAGTGAAATCAGGCATGGAGGTATGTGTTCTGATTACCTTCCAAACATTTTCTACATACAAAATATTTACTTACATGCACACAGTCACAATTGTGCACCTTGGATGCTCTTTTTTATAAATATTTGTCACACAACCTGTTTTTTTATTGTTGATATGTTTAATTTTGAAGGCGTTGATTTCCATGCAGTTTTTATGGTTGCTAGCTACTTGAGTTTTAGTGTGCTTTTTGCTATTTGAAAAATAACGTAATAATGACGTAATAGTAATAATTTCATAAAAAATATTTTTTTTTGTTCCTGCTAGAAGGTAAAACTAAATGATAAATAAAATATTATTATCAAATAGCAATGATAGGAAATACGTGATGTGCCTGAAGAATCTTATATAAATATGACTCTGAAAGTAAATAATGCAACGATGCACGTATCATTGTGGATGGGCAGTCTACTTGCAGCTATAGAACGCAGATGCCATATACATGCTTGATTACCTATATATATCTTCAAATTTTTCAGGAACGACCTCTTATGCCTTGGCATTGTCGAAAGCTTTCGATTTCTTTGACGGAACACCAATTAAAAATAAACGTGGTAAGTGATTTTAGGTTTTTTCGAACATGAGCCAAAATTTTTCAGCAGCTACTTGAGAAAACACCCCCAAAATATTTGTTAAGAAAATAAGCTAACATATCCTGAAACAATTGTAGTAAATTTATCAAAAAATAACTGGTAGTTGAAGGTTATATATATTTAATTTTAAGCAGAGCGAGTGATACTATTCCTCTCCGACGGTAAACCAACAGACAAGCCAACTGAACTCGCAAGTGGGAGATACATTTTCACCGATTTGAAAGAAAGAAATAAAAATCTTAATAATTCTGTTATTTTAATGACGTATGGACTGGGAGACGACGGTAAGTGCCATTCTCTAAAGCTGTATTTGTTTTCTTACTGTAAGTGTAAGGAACAGTCTTCAGAAAACGGATGTTTTTTCATTCGTTCGACGTATAAATATATCTATATAAAAATCACCCTTCAAGTTTTGACTGTAACAATTTTTGTTTATATCTCCCATTATAAATTGCATAAATGTTGAAATGCAAATAATACACGGTGGACAACAATTGTACCTTTTCCACATCATAAACAACATTGGCTAGCAGAAGTTACTGTAAATTATATCTAGATTTTGACATCTTACGAGCAATGGCGTCACAAAATGGTACACAATATGGAATAGAAGGTGATTCAGCAGAAGCTATTAAGGTGATTAAATGATATTATTCACAAAATGTGCAGAGCATAATTTATTAAATTCCAGCGATCGTATTTCTGTTAAATTATACATTTTCGTCAGTTAAAATACCATTTGGATATGTATACAAATATTTATATATACGAGTATCTTTCGGTTTTTAAATGTCTGTGTAACGGAATGTGCTTTTGTGAGTAAGCCTATGCAGATATTTTAAATTTGCATTGTTTCCGACACAAATTAATTTGAGTTTAGAAACAAATGAAGTTGATACACGATGTGTTTTTGTCTTCCGTAAAGTTTTTTAGTGAACATTCATCACAAATCCAATGATATAAAATAAAATTACATAAAATTACTATTTTTTCTAATTATAAGGTCGGAAGTTTCACACTCGTAAAAGATCCTACGAATCTACGCCAAGAAATGGCTTCTTATTACAGATTTTTTTCAAAACGAACGACACAAACCACTCTTGACAAAGAAATTTGGTCTCTACCATACAAGGATGCCTGGGGAATGGGTAAGCAAGAATAGTGATTATAGAAATAAGTTTAGCGGACCTCCTGAAGTATATGCACCAAGATGGCGCACAACCTGAACACAGGTTGTGTACCAGGTTAGGGTTCAGGTTGTGCGACATCTTGGTGCGCATACTTCAGGAGTACCAATTTAGCTTTATATACTTCAACAAAACTGTGAATATTTTCGGATTACCTGTAATTCTCTGCCATTTGGTTATTACTTAAGAAATAATCATTAGGAAGTATCAATAAATCATTAAATAAATGCTTATCTTTAATTTCCATGGCTACCGGTACGTAGACTGTGGTGCATGGAGTCGACTTTCTTTTGTATGAAACGGCGATTGCTTGGTATATACCAGTTCGCCATGACGTACCTATTGCTTTTTTCTTTAATTTATTTATTAAATATTTAATTTGATTTTATTCTATTTATCACGTTACTGTTAGACTTCCCCAAGGGTGCCGCCGCTCGATAACCAGTTTTGCTCTTCGGCGTCTCCTTTGACCCTGCAATGCGTTTTTTCTTGTATTTTCTTTAATTTGTGTATGTATCGTTCGTACCTTCAGCATGGTGAAGAAATAAATTACTGATTACTGATTTTCAACCAAATACATACAAAATTTTCCAAGGTTTCCTGGAACTAAATTTTGAATAAAGGAAAGAACAGTTTTGTTTTATAGTACATTCGTCATACAAGATATTCTTAAATAGTATAATTTCAACATGAGGAAATTGTTTTAAAAAGCCGTAAATGTTGTTAATATACATTTTGCTTTTATGTACATAATGTGGCAATGATAATAAATCCTGTACTTTTATTTCAAGGACTTTTGATGAGTGTTTCTCTTCCTGTGCACGACGCTAGTGACAATATAGTTGGTGTTGTTGCAACAGATCTCACATTGGATGATTTGCTCTCTGGAGCAGTATATTTCAGACCTTCGGAATTGTCATACATATTTATAATAGACTCATACGGTAAGAAGGATGTTTTAACTCCTGTGCCTGATTACAATTTGTTTGAATACTATTACTGTGTTTCGGCCGTTTTATCAATTTGTAAGATACGATAGTTTGTTTTTCTTTTTATATCCAATTTACAGGGTGTTCAATAATATATTTTGTAGAAATTGAGTTATCAATTGAAACATGTTTCTTATCGTGAGCTCTACCATTTATTTATTTTGTGGATTCGACACAGTCTCGTTGAAACGATAGTGAAATACAAGGCAAAGTATTCCACTTAACAAGTCTCTCTCCATCTCACAAAAGAATTGCCGAGCTATATTAAACAAATATACCAAATACATTTATTTTCTAATCGTAATAGCTTCGGATATGGCCGCTGTTGTGTAGAACATCAAAATATTTTTGTGTTCAATCAACCTATAAAAGTTGCATATTTTGCTCACAGGTTACGTTCTCTACCATCCATTATTTAAATATCCTGACGATGGCGAAGTCAAATACATCGACATACAAGCGTTTGAAACTGACAGAAGTATGGCTGACGTTATAGATGATATGAAAAGGTATTTTGACATTAACACAATACAGGGATCTATTTTTAACGAACAATTCCTTTTTATATCCATATTTACTCATATCCATGAGTTTATTCTCTGCAATTTGATCAAACGTTTGAACAATCATTTCGTTTTTCCCTATCATTATTATTTTCATAACTCAGTGGTGGCTCCGGATCAAAGACATTTTTTGCGCAAAGAATTTCTTCTGGAGGAAGCAATAAACTTTATGGAGTAAAAACGTTTTCAACAACAACAGAGGCGTACTGGAAGCAGGTAATCCAAATTTAAATCTTGCAATCTTAAGAAGTTCGGACCGTACCGAGTTGTTCACCGTAAGTTCATTGAATATCAAGTTGATCTATGGGTCAATTTGTTGAATTTCGTTGTTAGTATTTTTGTTGTTGTTGTTGTTGTGAAATAAATGCTCTTGTCTTTAACTACAAGAAAAATTGCTCTGAAACTTTCAGCGGTTAAAGATTGCTATTGTTGCAAGAAGACTAAAACTGTTATGTATTTTAAAAATGTCTGTGGGCTTCATAGGATTCGTTTTTCACTTTGATCTATCGAGTGATGGCGTCATCAAAATTGAAAATGCGCATCGTGTGGCGGTTCCGCAATCGTATTCCATCGCTATGGTGGTCACCGACGTCGGGAGTTTTTTGATATTGAGGACTGCCGGTATTGTGAAAGATTTGATACTCCTTCGTTTTGCTTTTCTTGTTTGTATATTTGAGCATTGCTTTCTTGTTTCAGTTAAAATATATTGGAACAGAAAGTTTCCCCTTTTTCAAAAAACGCAAAAGACTTATCTACAACATATATAACAATTTTTTTTTATTAAAAGCATTGTTAGTCAGTTGCTATTTTTGTTTATAATATAACATATTTTGATTGTTGTTTATAGATTCCACACACAGACTTCTCTCTGTGTGTTATTCTCGCCAAAGGTGATGTGGAGTCAACCTTGCAAACAGTTCAACCAAGAAACGGCGATAATTTTCTCTATCATAGACTGGATATTGCCCCGCCAGAGAATCCATGCAAACATTATAACAATTATTGCGCCATGAGTAAGTATTTTATTTTGCTGTTTTAAATCTTTTAATCATAAAAGTTCTAATTTTTGTAAACCGAGTAGTTATGTTGTGCGCTTATGACAATTTTTTTACTGCGTTCTGTGTGTTGTCAGACCTGGCTAATTAAGTATATATCATTTTTGTAATTTTCAATTGGTCGTCAAGTAACACAGGTCTCAATTACTCACAAAATTTATGTTAAATTAAAGGAATTCAAACTTCAACACACACCTGATCACCCAATGTCCCAATATTATTACATCACAGATCAAATGCAAGAAAGGCACAGAATATAGTAATAGCCTACTTCGAGGACATTACAATTTTGCGACCATAACTTTGCTCTTTAAGTACCGATGCAATGAAACTATGGTTTCACTATACTGGTTGGGGTAAAGCCCGCACTTGTTGCCCGCACCTCATTAAATAAATCTCAACTTCATTGTACGAAATCTAAATTTGCAATATGTATTATTAGGCCTAATGTATTGAATTAGTTAGATAATTTAGTTTACTTTTTAATCAGTTTCAGTACTTCCTAGCAATATAAACAATATAGCAACAATATAAACATTTATATTGCAGATCAGTCGGCTGTATCACTTGGACCACGTGGATTCATTGACACAGATGCATATCTCATGAGCAAAGAAACAGTCGACGGAATAAAGTCAATCAAAAATTACATGATTACTGGCCGAGGAGGAAGTTTAATAACGGTAGATAATAAATATGCCGTTGCAAAACACGTCCACACAAAGTAGACAATATGATAATTGATATGACTTCATTCTTTAGAATCTCATTGCATTGCTCCGCAGTGTGGCGCATAGTGCTAAACGTCAGGTTCGAATTCCGCGGAGACAGCGCCGGATTAACCATTAAACTATATAAGCACGTGCTCAGGGCACCAAGCAAAGAGGGACACCATAGAAATTTTAGAGCAGGATTTTATATACGGTAGTTTATCGATGTTTATTAAAATATTACGAGTTCACCAGACACCTCAAACTCTAAAAATGTTCGCGCATTTTTCCTCTTCAAGTATCATATTGATCTTCTTTATGGACCTTACCCCGAGCATCGACTTCCTTGTCTACATCGTTACATTGGCCAATCAGCGAGAGGCAAAAAGTGTCGTAACAATGCACCCTTTTCGCATCCGCGCAGACACTTTTCTCACTCAGACAGATTTGCAGGCGTGGTCGTAAACATTATCTCGTTTTCGCGTTTTTGAACTCTATTCGTTAGTTTTCAGTTGTGTTTCAGAAATTTAAATATAAATCAGTGTTGTTAGTGTAGAAATATATGTGATAGACTAGGCTGAAATTCTTCACCGGTACTCTTAAAAAACAGATTGTTGTATGCGGTAAATCATAATGATGATTTGAAACACATACCTCATTTTACAGGCGCCAACCCGCGGGACCACTCTTAAAATAAGGCCCGAAAATTTTGCAATGGTAAAGTATAGGAAGAATTTTTCGGGGGTCAAAGGTCGGGGGAAGGTTCATTAAAAATAAACATTGAAACTTATTCATTGGACACGAAATGAGCCTATGAGTCGTTTTCTTAAATTGTTGTTGTTTTTTCTCCTAGTATTCTCCTTGTTTCTGCATTTTTGTTTTAAAAAAAATTCCTTTTTTCTCCAACAATTGGACCAATGAACTATCTGCACTATGTGGCGGTTCCACGATCGCATTTCAACGATCTAGTGGTCAGCGAAGTCGGGAGTTTTTTGATAAGGCAGACCAGGGTGGTCCAAACCCTGTCATGCTGATACATTCCGTGCGGCTCACCGAACAATTTTAGCCTATATTTGTATCTAATAGAAGAACGTGTTTGAGTTTTTTTAGCTATTCCAACTGAGGTTGGGATCGCGAGATTCAAACACTTTTTCTAACGCTTTGTGACTTTATTTTAGTAAAAACACTTCTTTGTTTTCGAGCGTCGGCCATGTGACAGTGTAGTAACAAAACGCAGAGCCGACTTAACGCCGCCCAATCCATATTTTTAGCTAGGTCCCGAAATACCAACTTAGACGGACTTGGTTGATATTTGACGATGGCACTAAGCTTTCTCACGCTGCAAGTTTTTAAATTACTCAAATATAACAATTCGTAATAAAATGTGTCACAAGAAAGGTGAGATAAAGAAAATTAACTTTAAAATAACTGAAGGCTTTATATATCTTCTTCAAAAGAACTGGTTAGAACGGTAAACTCTCGTTGTTTATTAAATTCAAAGTAAGTAAACTTGCGATATTCCGATCACTTTTGGGTTTTCTCCGACTTGCGGCCCGCGAGACCTCCCCAAAAGTTGTTGCGGTCCTTCAACCTAGCAACCTTGAACCACTCTGAGGTAGACTACATAGAAACCGGTAAAATTTCACAAACTACAGTTGTGACTTGTATCTTTTGGTATTTCGATTCACGTTGATACTGGAGGCTTGAATCTTCATTGTCACACTCCCCCAGGATTAGAGCTAAACCGATATATCGGCCCGATATTGCGTGTTTGCCGATATATCATATCGACAGTAAACAGCCGATATATATATCGGCTATATATACCAGGTAAAAATTCTAAAAATGTTCGTAAATGTTGTTTTATTTACTGTTGGTTGTGATTATTTTTAATGGATAATACACTTATGGGGTTTATTGTTTTTATATTTAAATTACACATAAGGGGGCACCAAAGTCTTCACTGCCTAGGGCACCAATACGCCCTTGCGTGGGGATAATTATGTGCTAGAGAATTGCTTGACCCCTCGCCGCCGTAGGGTGGTTCACGTAACCATGCACCTGGAACAAATACTTTGCTAACTGAATCCCATATCCGATACGGACAGTTAACCAGACAAGAGTCCGTGGTTCGCCATATGATTAAACCGCCTTATCGGCTTTCCTCACCTGTGGAATGAATATGTAAACAAATCAGAAAATTATATATGAACATGTATAATGAAATAATGGGCATTAACTAACTTGCAATAGAGCCAACATTTTTATGCTCCAAACAACATTTGGTCAATATTTGATACTTTTCGTTTTTTTCATATTTTCTGCATAAGTACTGTTCAAACCGCCACTAAAGCACTGAACTATTGCTTTTGAAACGAACATAATCTCATCCGTTCGAAATAGTCTACCTGGTAGATGGGATCTGGGCAAGAGTTTGAAACCGATATATTTGTCTTGTTAGCACATTATTTTGATGAATTGTTGTGCTGAAAAAGGCATATTTTATTCGTTCAGAATGGAGTTCGTAACGCGGTATGGGCAACTCAAGAAGCTGAAAGATTTTGGAAAGAACATCAAGAGAACGAACTCGAAAAATATGTTATGTGGAAATATGTCGCAACGAATGGAGGAATGATAAGAATGTACCCTGGTAGTCAATTCCCGAAAGACTTCGATCCAGCAGTTCGACCCTGGTAATGGAATATTTTTATTAAAAATACACGAATACTGTGCAGGAGCAATAGACAGGCGTTGGAATGCTATTGATAAAGTGGGCAGAGTCAGAGTCCATTGATAGTCAATTAGTCTAAGCCTACTGGTATCTTTATTTTCAAATTTTAATATCAGTCTTGTTGCACATGAAGTGAACTTATGAATCGCTTTGTTTAATTGTTACTGTTGTCAGTATTCTTCTTGGTATTTTTCTTATTGTTAATGTCAAAAATCTACAAATAGCGGACAAATTGATTTCAAATTGCTGTTGGCTTAATGCAGTGGCATTGCACAATTGCAATTTCTGCACTCAGCCGCTCAGACACTTTTGTCACTCAAACAGATAGATATTCAAGTATGGTTGCAAACATTGCCTCGTTTTTGTAGTTTTGAGTGATATTTGTCAATTTTCAGTTGTGTTTCAAGAAAATAATAGTGAAATAATTAACTTAATTGTCATTATGTCTTCCGCGAAGCTTTACTTTAGTCGCAGTGATCGAAATTGAATCTCGCAAATGCTGCGATGGACACAAGGTTAAACTTAGCTATATCAGTACCAGCAAACGCCACATGGTTGATTAATTTTAATAAAAATTATGGTTTCAAACACGTAAACCAGTTTATATGCGCCAACATACCAAAACACTCTCAGAATAAGTATAAAGTTTGCAATAGTAAAGTATAAGAGTAATTTTTCCGGGGTCAATGGTAGTTGAAACGTCCATAGCACTGGTGCGCTATCGGTCCTTGTCTTTAGAGATCGCCCTCGCCCGCTATTGCCCACCTTAAATGAAGCGAAATGGGCATGTTTTTGTTCGTTTTGCGTGTTACGCCACAAAGGATGTAGTGCCATATTATAAAATACACACATAGCATGTTTCTTGTGTCTTTTTCCCCACGCCAGTAAAGTGGTACGCGGTCTTTAAAAGGTTGAGAACCACTGGCTTAATGGGATTCGCTTTTCACTGTGCGATCACGTCAACAAAATTAAAAATTGCGTACCGTGGGTCGATCGCATTTCAATGATCTGATGGTAAGCGACGTCGGGAGTTGTTTAATGGATACTACTTTGGTTTGGCTTCCGTGTCCATATATTTGAGCATTGCTCACTGGTAGTTTGTGAACACCGACATTTTTTTAATATTGACTTTGAATCCAGGTATCAAAACTCAATGTCCAACAAAGGGAAAAATACTTTCACGTTACCATACAAAGACGCCGTCAGTGGACAGTTGATCTTCACCTTGACAAAAGTAGTTTATGAGGCGAAGTAAGTAAAAATTGTATCTGATCAAGTCGTCTATACAAAAGCTGTTAAAAAATAATTCGATGATTATTGGCTGTTCCTAAATCAAACCTTCGATTGGTTCAAGGCAAGAAGTGTTTAATCAGGACCAATCTAGTTATTGCTGTGCAAAATTTTGTTTACAAACTCTTAAATCAAATTCCACTGCATGTTTAACATAATTTTATGGTTTAAATTTGAATAAACTAATAACTTGAACTGAACTTTGTTCAGGCCCGTAGGAGAGCGAAACTACCTGAAAGACGAAGTTGTTGCTGTAATGGGTGTCGATATTTTAGATTCGGCTTTTCAAACTATGATAAAGGGCACATTCCCACTTTGCTTTGAAAGCGATGATTATAGGTTAGTACATAATTTGATATTCAAGACAAAATATGCTACGCAACCTAAATGGATTAGACAGATATAGTAGATGGGTACGGTTGATAATGAAGTGCGGATTAACAACATTGACCCGTCAATATTGCTGGAAAAGCATAGAATCAAACAAACCCCTTTTCCCCATTTTTTTTTTCAATTTGGTATGTTTGTCCACCAATAATCCAAATATTTGCAATATTCTTTGCGCATCATTTTTGTCATTTTGCCGCCGCGGATTGGCATTTGCGACCTACTGATATATATATATAAATATATTGGATAGTCTGGTGATATGCCAAAATATGTAATTTGAATTTATTGAAATACTAATTGTTTATCACACCATGCCCCATAGGAAAATTATTGTTGTATGAATCCATTTTTGTGCTGATCACATTGTCGGAAACTAAGCATTCATTTGATAGAATTGGCAGCTCTTTGACTAAGATACACATACATATATGGTGTACATCAAATTATGGTTTAGTGAAGCGATGAAGCAAAAGCTTGGTATTAAGTGCATTTTATATTCCCATACTACATTATAGATGCATTTTGATTGACTCCGGTGGATTTGTGATGTATGGAGAGAGCGTCAACTATGAGACAGTATTACCGGAACATATTACACAGAAAGAACCATTGGTGGCCGAGTCACTTGTTGAAAATGGTATAATGGCTCATACCAATTGTATGGTGATAGAAAGCACAACTGTACAAAAGACGTACAGGGTAAGCTTATGTAACACACAACTGGATAAATGTCTTGCCACACTCAATAAACACAGGGATTAAACACGGATCAAGAATATTTTCTATCTCTACACATTACAAAAGAAGAAACGATCCGGTCACTAAAGTAATGCATCGTAGAATTATAAAAGCATAGATTTTAATTCATTTGTGAATATATATTTATCACGTCCAGATTTCCATCGAATTTTATTCATCTAGATTCAACGAGAAGAAAACTTCGCTGGAGAGGCAAGTGGAAACTGTTTCAAGTACGAATTTATACCGATACCTAGAACAAATGTGTACATGGTAGTTCGTCAAGTGCAAAGTTCGTGCCGCCCAAGCCAATCGTCTTGTGTGTGTTCCGATTTTTTCTCAAAGGTAATATAATGTTTTTGGAGAATCTATTTCAGGAATAATCAAAAGAAGAGGTACACAAATAATTATAAACTTGACGAGAGCAAATCAAGAAACATATGATTCGAAGAAAAGTTTCCTTGAACTTTTAGAAATACTACGCACAATATTGAATGGGAAGGCACTTTTTGAGATTTTCTATTAGAATCGTGCAATCCACTCTCTCTGGCTATTGATACAGTGTATTCGTCTAATGATAAAAGACAAAATTCAATCTTTTTCAAGTATGGTGATAACTTTCAGCCAAATCCAAAAAATTTGATATTTCAAAAGCATTGTCATCATTAACACTGGAGACAAGGAAATATCTCCAGTATTGAAGTATTTATTGAAATGATCAACTAGTTGGTAGAATAATACATGAATGTGCTTGTAAAGTTATCTGCTCAAGTAGGTTTAAACCTACCAATATAGAAAAATTCGCAATCGAGCTAACCGTTGTCAGCTATTTTCAGGAAGTTTAGGAATGGTACATTATTACGCTATAGTAACCTCCCTTTTGTACTTGGTACCAGAAAAATCATACGTGAAAATAATTTTTTAGATATGTTTGAAAAGCACATATCTCTACTGTGAAATCGTCTCTAGTTTAGATCAATTTTCTTTAAGTCAAATTACTCATGGCACTGGTCTTAACTGTTTTCGTCGCAGGTAAAAGATCTCGGTTTAGACTCCAACGTCAAACCATATAAAATAGTATCTTTCGTATTGGTTTGTACTTGTCCCATCCTTGTTGAAATTGGACATGTAAAAACTCCACATAAAAAGAGTAATATCCAAATCAAACATTTTATAATCTTTTTCTCAGGATCAGACTCGTGGATGCGTATCGAATACACAAACATGCGAATGTCCTTGTACAAAATTGTATGAAGATTTCAACACATGCACCAACAAATTTGAATCATCAGGGTAAAATTGATATTCGAACAATCTATATAGAATATAAATATAGAATTGCTCGTTTGAGAGAATTCATTTGGGGTAAAGCTGGTTTTGCAGATTGTCCTAATAAGATTTAGATCATTTATTTGAGAACAAATATATTTTATAAGAATATGCAATATATTCAATCTGCTAGACTTGAACATATAGTTCAGTTGAATTTATTCAGTTAATTACATCTTTTTTATTATTATACATTCTTTATCGTGTATTCCAATAGTTCTCAATGTCCAAAACTCCATCATTGCAAACATGTGGCTATACCTACTAACCCAGGTCACCTTCAAAATTCCCCGAACTATTATTTTAAGCGATGTAGCTGAAATGGAGAATACCCTGATAATCTTATGATCAGATGACTTTCGAATATATTCTCAAATATTTATTCATCCCTAAATATATTATTTGAATAATTTACTATACAGTATAAAAGCTATACTCTCGTCAAAAACAGTAACTGAACTTCTCGATCATCTTAATTAGATATTGAATCCACGGGTGTCGCTGCTCGATAACCATCTTTGGTTCCTCTTCGTATTTTGCGTGAAACCTTTTTTATTAGTTGAAAAAAAATGAAAAAACTTGACTAGACTTGCACCTGTATTCTGGGATATTCGAAGAAACGTTGTATATATTTTAAATCGTTCCAGAATTGATTTATTTTCAATGCATCCTATGCAATTTAAAAAATAAAGTAACTAAAGGAGTACTGTTGTATTTTTATATTGTTCATGTCTGAAATCTAATGGAATTATTATTCAATTTTCAATATAATATTTTACTACTGGTGAAAAAATATTATCATGTGAAATTCCACCCCCCCCCTTTTTTCAAATGTTATAATTCTATTACAGAACAGATACAGTACCCAGAGCATGTACTCCATCTCCCAGGAAACTGATGGAATTAGGTACAAATGAATACAATATCGGACATCTTCCTCAGTGTACGAAATACTCAGTAAATAACGATGACCCGCCTAAACCTGGTGGCGAAGGTGCAGGTATAGGTAAGTTAATTGGATATTCAGCCTCCTCGAAATCGAAATAAGTCCGGACTAGAATTAATTCGTCTTCTAATCTTTAAAAATACATACCATACAGTCAATTTTTTTTTTCAGGTGCAATAGTTGGCGGATGTGTCGCTGCAATTATTGTGTTAATTATTATCATTGTACTCGTGTATCAGTTTGTATATAAAAAGGTAACTAATTTTTATTGCTGTTGATATCTTGAAACTTTTTTATACTATTGGTTATTCATGATTCTCCATCAAACTTCATTTTGTAATGGGAATTTGTAATGCTGGAATATTGAAAGTGATAAAGCCTATCAAACTGCACCCATAATATCCAGTCTGAGAGTAGTTAATCTCATCATTTTATAACTTTGTATAAGTAATATAGAAAGTCAAGACCTCAAATACAATACATTTTAGATTGAAAACCCCTTCATGTGATATACCCAGTTGGGACGGTAACTATCTTCAGGCTAATTTGAAGCAATTGAAAAATATCAAAGTAGCATTTATTCAAATACATACTCTATTATTTGACTAATTAAGCATTCCACATTAACAGAATAAAAGTGCAAACAGACGGCATTCTGAAAGCATACGAAATGAGGTAAGAAGCATTTAAAGCAAGAGATATTTAATATGTCAAACTTGGATTTTCAAAGAATTTAAAACAAAACATTAAAATACTATAGCCTATATGGGCTACTTATAAAGAAAATATCATGGCCACTCAGGTATATTTTATATTTGATACATATCAGGATTTTTCATTGGAACACATACTTATAAATAATGCCAATCATGTCTCCCTGTTTGACTCTTGTTGTTACCGGACTTTTCAATTTATTCATTCTACTATTTGACGGGAATTTGTTTTAATGATATATAAATATATATTTCAGCCTCTGCCTCCACCGCCAGTAGAAAATGGCGATCATGAGACATATGTTCAAGTAAGTTGCAACATTTTGATTTGAAAATAATCAATCTTGGATTAACCAGTTTGGATTATTAGATGTTGGTACTACTACATTCGTCACTCATAGAAAAATTCATGTTTAAGTTTCGGTTATTTCAGTCTGGAAATTATAGCATGATTATGTCCATTTAGTAATAAACACATGACTTAAAAAAGTTAATTTGCTTCAGATTCTGATTTGAAATACTAAGAGAAGACAAAAAAATTCATTGCCTTTTTCACTATCATTCTACAGCCTATGGTTTTACCACTGTCGCCGTCTGCACCACCTGCGCCACCCGAAGAAAGTCATTACGCGAATGTTACTCCATTTGGAAAAGTATGAAGATCATTTTAAATAGTCTCAAAAATATAAATTTATATATGAGGTCCGAGGAATCGCTGTCGACAGAAAGCGTTATGTTATTGGTATCAAAGAACGACACGGAAGATAATGTTTTACAAAGGCAAATACTGAATTCAAAGTTCTGACTGACAGCAGAATGCTGTTACTAGACTGACCCAGATATTCGTAGACTAGGGTTTGTGTATTCATAGACATTGACATTCATAGACTTGAGTTTTACGCCTTTAACGCAACTTTCTTCCAAAATAATGAAGCTCATATTTTTGTTTTACAAAATTTAAATTTGATTGAATCCGAAAATGTTATCGATACTGAAATTCTACTCGAAGTATTTATAAATTCCAAATAACTCGAAGGTGTAGCTACCTATTGATTCAATATTAAATAAATTTGATTTTATCCTATCGATTTATTAAAGCCTGTTTATTTCCTTTTTAAAAAGTCTAACTAATGCAATTTTATTTATATTTTAATTTCTCTTAAATCCTGTTAATATTTTTTTTGAGTGTTGATTACCTATGCAGAGAATGAATGTGAATATAATTTCTCTGTTTTATCATCTACTAAAGACTTTAATTTTAATCAAGGACGTATGGGTGGATATGTCTGAAGAAGGATGATTCGTTGTGAAGCATGAAAGACTATGTTTATATTATATAGTTTGTTTCCGATCGTGTAGCAAAATCGTACCCAAATTAAACATGATTGGGAGTAAGCAACAAAAAAGATTTAGTTTTATATCTGTTTACCTTGAGGATAAAGAAATCAGGTCATTTTAAGAAAAATGTCAGCAAAATACTTTCTACACAAATTTTAGAGTTGAAACCGAAAGATTCCTTCCTTACATATAGATAGGTATCATTGGCCAATTGTATATGGCCTTGTTCAAATAGAATGGCAGAAATACTCGTCGTATATATGAAAAAAATAGGGATACCATGACGTATATTTTGTTGCTATAACAGTTAATTGAGATATAACAGTTCTCCCTTGACTCGAATAAATAAACACTAAATACCTTAACCTGGTAAACTTGGTGCGATAAAAAACTAAAGGAAAAAATCGCGAGTGAATTGAAGGCATTTCCGATCGCCGCTCAATGTATGACAACAAAACACCGCTAAAGCTTTGTTCTGTGGCAGGACACGAGTAGACAAGTTTGTTGACATTGTCAACAGGTCACTGAAACAAATCTAGAGTGCAATTGTTCTACAAAACCATTATTTCTATTACGCGACATTATTAGCCCCCACAAACAAAACAATGTGAGATGTGTATGGAAAAATTAATACCCTAAAATTGAAAAACTCTGTAATGATAACTTGCTTTCATTAGTTAATTGTCAACCCATGCCCAGATTAAAATTTTTATCAAAAGTCTATACTCTTCTAATATTATAAATTCGATATGTCGTGATTTGGATAGTCGAATAACTAGAAAAGGGATGTCATATTCACTGTACAATTTTATTACATAACAAAGGCTTAAATATAAGATAACTCATCACGCTAATTCAAGATGGTATCATATTTCGTACCAGTATGATGCATATACGTTGCTGTGTATTGAGATGATGTGAAGTGCTATCAAATAATAGTATAGTGTAGTATAATAGCGAGGTATTTCCATTGAAGGGCACTTTCGAAGACTACCCGTGAAGTTATCGTTTCTATCTCACGTTCGTTGAAACAAGATTGGATTAAACATTAACAACTGAATAGTTTTAAAATCCAATTTATCATAACTCAGGTTTCCATGAATCATAGCAGAACAAATCAAAGTGCTTTGAAATCTTGTGTAATAGCATTAAAGGTGACAGAGCAGGTAATAAGAAATCGCCCGTGCTCTCGGTGCGTTAGTTGTATCAAAGTGTGTTTGAAAATAGACTCGATAGGTTGAAAGCCAAAGTTAGGTACGCGTGCTGGCATACATTGTTAGAGGGAAAACAGAAAAAGGTGAACAGCGAGAAGATGTTGGCGATACGAGAACCTAGAGAAGTGGCAATAAGATGGTCTTCGATTACAACTGCACCTTGCAGCGTAATTTCTGAATCTTCGCCAAGACCAACTACACCAAGATATCCTCAACGTGAGCTTTCGTCCTTTGGCAACGATTATGATGAAAATATACTACAGGTAAACATTGTAGAAATAGTTCTACATGCAATTTGTTGATTCGTCAACCCGAATTTACATGAGATATCCCAGGATTAACAGACAAGAGTTTTTGTCCAACACTCGTGAACCGATATTGTATCAACGGTCACTGTCCGTAGCTTACCCTCGAAGTTACTTGATCGACGTTAAAACGCCTTATTTTGATTTTATTGTAGTTTTAGAACGATATATGCAGAAAACACCTTCTTTAAAAGATCACATACACCTTAGTCAAAAAGCGAATATATAATAATAAACGAATTCTTTAAGTCGTACCGATTGGAACGTAGATTAATTACATTTCTATCTGATGGATAATAATTTGTGAGAGAAAATTCAATTTGATAATGACTGGGCAAAAACATATCTCCGCAAGCTTAAATTGTAAAATTGGTTTCCTACGAAATGCATAGATAGTGGTTTAGGAATAATAATTAATTTTTATTACGATTCCAATTTGAATTACATTTTAGGTCCTTTTTGATTATGTCACTAAAATATAATTTACGCCCTCCGTAGTTCAGCAATACTTCTAATGCAGGTGGGCGGGTTAGGACTCAATAACTGAACAATATGCGTCCAAAAAATCATATTTGCTATATTCTGGTGCATTTCATTTTAGAGAATACGCTTTTGTGATTCTTTTCAGTTGATTCACGCACATTTAGAAGTGGATGCACATCATACAGTTGCTTATGTCGGACACATGAGAGGAAACTTGGTCGAGAAGATGGAGAAACACTTCTGCTTACTTACTCCTATTACAGTTTTATATCCAGGTGAAAATTGTATGAATGAAAGTCTTGAGTATATACGAGAGAGACTTATCGATCGAAAATGCGGTTTCGATTCATGACTCTATAGCGACACCGCGTGTCCCATCACTAATTAATCATTAACTCGCTAATTATACGACATAGTTAATCCAAAATCAATAGGCTCCTAGTCCGAGATACGATGAATGCACATGCAAAATGTGGAGCAGATTCAACCTCGCTTTCGTGAGATATCGCGTGCATCTAACAGACAGACAAACAAACAAATACCTATCAACATACCTAATGATCTAAAGATCGATAAGTATTAACAGTGTAAACTATAGAATTTTGTTGCTATTTGACCGCACCGCTTTTCTACACTATACAGATATATAGTAATTACGCCATATACACATAAAATAACGATTTTTTGAAGTAGTCGAAGATGGCATTGAACCACTAAAAAGTTAAACCCTGCATAAGCAAATTCCTTGCATATGAAGAACGAATTTCGTAAATGTAAGCACTACGGCAAGAGTCTCAAAGAGTTTTTGAATGGAATCAATTGTTATTGAATTAACGTGATTATAAATGTTCAAATCAATTTGAAATACTGTTTTCCACAGGGGGAGTAACATACAAGGACATTGCTGAAAACTCACGAAGACTTGCTTTGAAAATATCGCAAACACCGGCGGAAGATTTTTTTGCATCTGTAAGCTATATACTTAACCTATATATATATATAATATTGACTTCAAGCGATATTCGATCTCTAGGACATCATTCCAAACACGGTTTGGAGTCAGCACGATAGAAATGGGGCCGCGCAGTTTTTTTTTTGTGAATTGGTGTCACTGTCACTATGAGACTGTTTCAGTTGAATGAGGAACCTGTGACTGATTAGTCGCATTTCCTGTGTATGTATTCAGTACCCCCATTTCGTCCACTCTACCCTATGCTATATCCAGTGGTGGGATTCAAGTTTTTTGTCAGCCGGTTCCATCACATAAGTGATATTTTTCGGCCGGTTCTGTCATATGTTTTTTAGTAATGCTAACCGGTCCGCTGATCTCATAAAATTCCGCGAGACAGTTCTATATAGAACCGGTGCGACCCGGCTGGATCCCACCACTGGCTATATCTTACCGGCCCATCTTACAAAAGTAACGTTGTAAACGTACTCAAAACATAACGAAAAATCTTGCGTTCTATAGGCATCGGGGAATTCGCCAGAACAAAAAAGAAAATTTGATCGAATTTTCATCAATAATTCCGTGCAAAACCTCAACGATTTTGAATTAACTTTTACGAGAATGAGGAAATGTCTCGAAGAATCAGGAAAGGTATAAATTACTAATTATTTTTTAGTCAAGCTTGTGGCTGAGAACAATAGAGAAAATGATATAAATTTACCGTTGTTTGCTCGTTTACCAGATAATGATATTACATCGACCAACTTCCATCACTACGTTACCATATTTCAATAAAGCGAGAGAAATACTTGGCAATATTGAAATCCCTTTCATGGAAATCATAACAGCGTTACAAAAAACAGGTATGTTGAGGTAAATCGTTTAAGTTTAATGTTCGATAACATTTCATGATAGGTTTCTGTGAGTGGTATCACTATTCATATGATGTAATTATAATAGATAGAAAAATGAATTAATCGTTGACTTCGGAACATCATGTGTGATAACGCATTTTAAGCTCACTTAAATATACATGGGGGCTAACTCTGAGGCCTACTGGTCACAAGGCATTCCGTCAATTTTTTGCAACTTCATATAGTCGAAAACGAAAGTCAATTCAAAAATGGGGTCTTATAGCGTATATTACAAATACTCTTTAACAGTGGACAAACAAACTTGATTAAGCTTTTATTCGCCAGGTTGTGACGTCCGGTGGGATTTGGAACATGTCCCTTTGGTGCTGGAAAAGATTAAATGGATCGCATTATTACGGAATAGATTTCCTACGGAACTTGAAATTTTAAGCGATAATGAAATTGAAGACGGAGTTCGGGAGTTGCTGAATGGAACGCTGAACTACCTGGTAATTAAACACGTATATATATATATTAATGATGCATTTGCTTTCCGAAACATGCATATTAAAATTAAGTTTTGGAAGGTATAACACTACGTGAAATCCCCACTTTCGTTCAATAAACATGTATGATTTCGTTAACTTTTTCCCAGAATTTGTGAGCGTTGAAACAAACTTCATTCAATTGGTGGACCCTAAATTCAAGTTCATAAGAGACAAAATATTCATATCAAGTGAGACTATTTTGACTGAGCATTGTTTTATTCAGACTCCGGTTATGGAACTTGAAGATCGTCTTATATTAATCACTGGAACACCTCCCGATAAACCAGGGACATATCCAGCCGTACAGAGAATTGTATCCAGACCGCAACTACCATATTCAGAATTATTAGATCTTGAATACACCCTCACGCTTACTAATCCGATGAAAAGATTTTTGTGAAAATTTTTGGTTCCGATTTTGATTCCCAACCACAACCAAATTCGTATTGGTCAAACGACGTCATTTTGAACTATTTTTTTTGCCCCACTGTACCGACAGCATATACAGTTGGGTTATGAACCACGATGACCTATATCGGTCTTGCACACTGACTTACACAAAACAACGACCGACCATCTACTGTTAAATTATCTCTATTTTGACTCAAATGCAAATTGCGATAATATAATGTCTCTCTCTTAAAATACTTTTACACTGAGTAGTAGTTGTAAACGTATATATCTTTATCACTCTCGCTAATTAAGGTAGTGCTGGGTAAAGTCGTATTGGAGTTATGATGTGTGTTGAATAACAATTAAAAAGATGAATTTACTTTCTTCGACCTGCTGTCTCATGTGCGACATTAAAACTGCTATCTCTGATTTGCTGTCTGTATTTGAAATGGATATTGAGAAAAATAATTATTTGGATGGCTAGGTGCAATTAGTAATCAAGCCTTTGAGATAAACGCACAAATTACACCTATGTAAAAGGAAATCCAATCATATGTGGAAATCCGACGAGGCTCGAAAATACGCGGTTTTGTAATGTTTGTCGTTTTGTTTTGTATGTGGCATGAAATGAATAAAACTATCCTCAAGATTTGACCGTCGATAACGCAGACAATTACTGTATGGTATCCCAACATTCAAATGTACCGGTGGAAAAGTTCAGCCTATAGTAGGCTATCATAGCTATTTCTTGACAAATTTTTGATTACTGCAATTAAACTAAGACCCTAAAAACACAAACTGTTTATGGCGCTATTCGATTAATATTTGAATTCCCGGAACACAGCTAAAAACTAACAAATAGCATGCAATAACGCGAAAACGAGGTAATGTTATCATGTCTAAAAATCTGTCTGAGTGGCCGCTAAATCTCTATTGTCACGATTTGCATCTTGATGATTAGCCAGTGTTACGAAGTTAAACAAGGATTACATTCAATTATCTACTTCATATTTGACAGTTGTGTTTCGGAAATTTAAATATAAATCAAATACTTCAATGTTCACCATGTCTTTTTAGAAGTTTTAATTTATTCACAGTAATAAAGAATTGAGTAGAAATAGTGATAGACTAGGCTAAAATTCCTTACCGGTACTTCTAAAAAACAAATTATTGTACGCGATGAATCATATTGATGGTTTGAAACAAATACCTATTTTACAGGGGCCAACTCGCGGAACCTGTCTCAAAATAAGCCCCGAAAATGTTGCAATGGTGAAGTATAGGAATAATTTTTCGTGGGTCAAAGATCGAGGAAAGGTCCATTGAACGCTTTTTAACTTTATTTTTAGTTATGTCTGTCTCCCATGTATCTATTTGTTTTGTTTTGTCTGTTTACTTTTTGTATTGTTTATGTCAGAGAATCAAAATAAATAATTGATTAATGTTGATGCTCGGGGAAACATATCCATATGCATAACGCGCGAGAAAGAGCTTCGAATATCAACGCCACTGCGTACACTGCAAGCCAGAGCCATATAGGCTCTGCTGCATGCGAATTGCGGAAGACGCTTTCGTAAACAGTAACAAGCGAAAGGCGGCACAGATAAAAGAAATATAAGAACAGTGATCATCTTCAGTTTTGCCTTAGTCAGTTTTGTTGCTCACGATAGGACTTAATGAATTTTGTCGTCTCGCTTTGAATTTTCCATTTTAATTCAATTAATGTGCTTTGCCTTTTTATTAATATTTATTCGTCTTATCTCGTGCACTATTTTATGAATGTGAACACAAATTAAATGCGCGTGATGAAAATAATCAATAACTAAATCTGATCTGCTGTCGCTTGTTTTTGTGACTTGGCTGGCGGGGGTGTTGTCCTAGAGAGCGTGAATTAGATTATAATTCTATAGAACTTTGTGCGGCAATGCGTTGACTTGTCGGTAAATTGCCTCATGGATCCTATAAAAAGGAAAAATCTAGCAAAATATCGGTGGCTCATTTTAAGAAAAGCCCTGTTAGGCAGAAGAACTTCTGACGTTCCAAGCAAAGGATCCATCCGCGTTCACAACAGTGTCGCATTGTTTCACATAACTGAAACGAGGAATGGCGACCTTGAATCATGGATGGATTATAAACATGATGGCACACCACCGCTGACTGTACAAATCAAAAGATCTCTTTCAATCTTGTCTATGGAGGTACGGTATTGTATTTGATATAATTTTTTTGTTTGAACTAGACTTCTGGTACGGTACAAATCTAACTCTTGATGCTGGGAAAATAGAAATACCACGATGTCAAACTATATCGAGATATCAGATCTAAAATAATTGTAAGATGTCAAATGAATTTCTCATAGGAGATCAAGTTTGAGACAATTGCTATATCTCACATCTGTAGAGGGTAAAAATGCTCTTTGCTTTTATTCAATCTTGAGAATTTCTGAATTTCGTGAATGTGGCATGTTTTAATTTTTATATATTTTAGGATTTGATCGAAGGTGACAACACTGGAAATGTCTGCATTTGGGCTTCAGAGCAAGTGATGGCAAGATATTGTGTTGTAAACATGAAGCAGTTTTATAACAAGTCCGTCATCGAAATTGGAGGAGGTTCGAGTTGTCTAGCTGGATTATTCATTGCAAAATATGGCAATGCATCGAGGGTTGTTTTGTCTGATGGAAATAATAAGGCAATCACGAATGTAGACTCCATCATTAGAAAGAATTTTTGTAATAAAATGGACAATTTAAAAATTCCTGAAGCTGTACAAATTGAATGGGATAATGAAGAAGTTCTCGTCCAATACGCCGCACAATTCGATTTTTTATTTTGTGCCGATTGTCTGTTCAGAGATGATATTAGACGACATCTTGCCCTAGCTATATTTAGGCTGCTTACATCAGAAGGCGAAGCTATCATTTTTGCCCCTCGCCGTGGAAATTCTATGAATGATTTTCTCAAGCTTGCTAAGGAATTGTTTGGTATTTCTGGAGTGTCAATCATACAGAAATATGATGAAAAAGTTTGGCAATTTCATCTGTCTAATTTAAATGTTTCCTCATATAATGAAGATATACATTATCCCTACCTTATCAAGCTGACTAAAAGCTTGAAGAATCCTAGTTTGCTTACAGCAGCTAGCTCAGCATGATGGTTTTTACCAATCCTTGCCTTTTACTAGACTTTTTTGTACCTTTTTAAAATTAAATAATAACAAGGTTAATTTCGTTTTGTATCTCTTAAACCCTTTAATCTGATTGAAAATTTTCTTCCTTGATTATTGTAATTTTGATTCTGAGAAGCCTTGCCAATTTGCAATAGTATCAACTTTACTGCCCAATTTTAAGAATTTAATTAAATATTTAAATTCTATTTCATATCATAATATGATTTAGGCTGCTTTATTATGCCTGTTTCTTATCTCAGTATTTTAAATCAACATCACATACAATAATTATCTAGCACTTCGATTATTTTCACATTCCTTTCTATAATTTTGGTTTGCACTGTGATTTTGCAATTGTATGTCCAGTACATAGATTTGTGTTCATAATTATGACCCATAACCCAGTATTTAATGACATTCTAGAACCCAAGTTTGATATGCCACTTCTTTCCAGTTCGTTTCAAGCATGTGCATACGAGTTTCAACCATGAAATTAAGATTAAATTTGCATTCCTTATATATATAAACAAATGAAGTTGGACTTATGCACTTTATTTACTGTAATTTCTAAAAATGAAAAAAAAAATGTAATGTAGTGTCAATGCAGTTTTGTATAATCATATCAATATTTACTTATTTTTTGCAATCATTATTATTTCAACCCTTTAGCAGTTGTCAGAAGAGTGTACATATTTTTTTTCCAAGTGGCGATTGAATTTTGTCATTGTGCGTTTATTATGGTTTTTTATAGTTGCTTTTCAGTAGGGCACATATGAAAAATAATAAATATAGTTCTACACATTTCAACACATGCATATATATCGTTATCTACTATTCTCTATAACTCTAAATAAATTAATATAGTTTTACACATTTCAACACATGCATATATATTGTTATCTACTATTCTCTATAACTCTAAATAAATTAAAAACATACAACTCGAAATAAATTAAAAACACATGTTTTTTTTTTTTTAAAGAAAAATATAATCTGAAAAATTTGGGTCTATACTGCTATATATTGATTAAATTTATAATCAAAGATTGTGATTTCCTTTCAGAAAACAAGTTTTAGCAAAATTATATATATAATCATTCCCTGCTAAACGCTTTACTGCCTCGTATATATTATCGAGTAAAATCAAGACTGCGAAAGAAAATTTATTTTTTGTTGACCTTGTTGACAAGAGTTACTTCAAGAATTACTTAATTTTCAAATATAAAGTGTGAATAAAAATTTTTTGAAATTGGAACTTAGCCCAACTTGCTGTGGTATGAAATGATTACATCACAAACTGGTCAAAACAGGATTTGAATGAACTTGTACAGGCCGTAGTTTTTTTACTTTTATATATCTGGTCAACGTAATTCAAAATTGCCTATTTCCTGCTTCATATTTTCAAATATAAAGGGTAAATAAAATTTTTTGAAACCTAGCTCAACTTCCTGCAAAATGAAGTTATTTTATTGTTCAATTGAAATAAATCACAAACGAGTCAAAACAGGATCTTTACTGTAAAAATTTTTATTGCTATCTAAACAATAACTAACTGTTTTTTTACATTTTACTAATATATATCTTATCAACCGGCCATTTCCTGCTAAATTAAGACTGCTACAGAAAACTTATTTTGTAATAATGCCTAAACCTTGTTAACAATGGCAAATGTGAAATAAAGTTTTTTGAAACCTAGCTCAACTTCCTGTAATATGAAATAGATCACAAACGAGTCAAAACAGGATTTTTACTGTAAAACTTTGAATGAATTTCTACTGGTATCTAAACAATCAATTTTACAGGCTGCAGTATTTAGTCTGAAAGTGTCTTGGTGACTTTAGGTTTGCATGTAAATGCAGTTGGAGCAACATACAGTCAGGGAGCTGCTGAAATTTGGGTCTGTGACCACATACACGGTGTGTTGAGTGTAACTGAAATGTGAGAAGTCTGTCTAACACTGCCAATTCTCGCGAGTTTTTTTTCTTTTAGCATTCTAAAACGACATAATTTAAACACAAACGACTACAGGAACCAATTTATTCTTGTTACGGCCCCCAAAGATATAGGTAACCAACTTTCAAACAAATCCCTTGTATTTAAAGTTTCTACCATAATCAATATACAATGTCTGAAAAACATCGCGAACACCAGCAGGTAAAGCCTTCCGAATCATAGCAACATCAAATTCATCCATCACAGATATGAGATGGTAAATTGCTCTAGTGAAGAATTTCTGTAATATTTTATATATTATAGTTGATCGTTCGTTACTATAACTCTTTCAAATATATTTCTTTGGAAGACGTAATCTATGTATCGGAGATGATTAAATGACTAGCACAATAGACCTCGTAACTGAATGAGATAAAATCGAAAACCAATCTTTAAAGTTGCTTTTCAATTAATGTTGAGTTTCTGTTAGCTATATCCAGACCAAAATCAGATAAAAGTTACCGGTAATGATCATTGAGATACATTTTATGCATGTGCACCCACTCAGATGAAGGGGTCAAGAGTTATTCCTTGTAAATCAATGATTTACTCCAAGGTTCAACAGATCACTGATGTACATCAAAACTACATTCCGCACATCGTTATACTAAGATCATGATCACAGGAGGATATTAGCAGAGATTATTAATGAAATACCAAATTATTGTGATACTCACTTTCACAAATGGAACAATGGTATCCGAAGTAGTGATACAGATGTAATCTGCCACAACATATGACATGCACTGAAAGTAAAACAATATTTTTATCCTTTCCTCTCTAGTCTCTACTGTGATAACAACTTATACAATGAAGAGATGATCAGTTCTTGCTTTAGTTTATATCGGGCCATATGAAATTGAAATTTGTTAAACTGTTAGGATCATTCATGTTACCTTTAAAAAATCTTTCTTGTAATTGTCAGCAACAAGTTGAAACAGTTTTTCCAATAATCCTGCACATTTTATTGATTTATTATAATTTTCATTATCATGCAGAAGTTCAGAAGAATCAATAATGGAATCCGACCTAAAAAGATTATGCATTCTATAACGATTGGAATATAATCTTGTTGGCTTTGCAAAGTAAAATACATAGTGAACTGTTATACAGAAAATAAGCTATGGCTAGGAATCTGTAATCTAAGAATAGGTAAATTAAAAAGTCTAGTTTGAAATAATAGAGTGTGAGTGGAAACTATACAAAAACTAGAAAGTTGTTCACATAACTAGTACCACAGGGCCCAGAGAAACCATATTCACAAATTAAAAATTTGAAATCAATTTGTGGCTCTGCTGTTGATGCACTGTGCTAGGTGTTAGGAATATGTCTGCCATCACATCTACGATTACCCTGCTTGGGTTCACAGGTTCGAATCCTGTGGGGATGACTGTGTGTACACTGTGCTAGGAATACACCTGCCATTGCAAGCCTTATTACCCTGCTTGGATCGCAAGTTTGAATCCTGTGTGGGATGATTGCAGCACAATAGGCCATGGTTTGCAATAAAATTACACCATTTTACCAACTTGTCTCCATCAAGACAAATATGATAAATCATAATCACAAAGAATTTTTAAAAAGTACTTCTGTTTTCCGAGATGCAGTGCGGCTTTCAACATCTTTCTAAATGCAGAATTACAGATAGCAGCAAGGTGTCCGATGTCTTTGTGATGGATAATTATGCAATGAATGACGTCATAGCATGAATGGAATGCTTCATACATCACATTAGCACCTGCCAATGGTATTTAGTATTTTTTAGTAATATATACAGGAACATTTAATGAGCAAAAAAGGGTCAATGCAGTATTTGCAAGATCCACGTTACCTTATTGTAGAAAATAACAAAGAGCATTTCGTTATTCACAAGTAAAAAAACTGAAATATTTCAAAATGAAAAAGAATAAAAGCGAAGCAGCCGATTTATAGTAAATCTATTCTACTTCAATCCTATGCTTCAAGGTAGGTAATAAAATAATTGTCTGGACTTTTAACACAAATGAAAAGTAAACAAACCTTTCAACTCATGTATTTTTTCGAGAGGGATTCCAAAAATTGCATCAAAAATATTGCAAATTTCGATTGCCTGGAGTCTCACCTAATAACATTACAAGTTTGATCTTAAAATATCGCAATTCGATACAAAAAACAATTCTAAATACTTTCTATAATACCCTAAAAAAACAGAATCCAGGGATAGAACATAGTTTTTGTGCAAAGCATTAGAGATTTCTGAAACTTTTGAGTTTCACACAAACAGAGGTTCAGGAGGTAAATTGAACAAATGTGTTGTACCATGACAAAAAGAAACATGAACAATAACTTGTTGGTAGACTTAACATACATCAATTTATTTATTTTAGAGGAGCATGTCGCTCTCGAACTATAGTTAGAAGAGTAATTTCAATAATAAAAAACTATTAAAAATACAATTTCTTACCCATTTAATCTTGACAATTTTTGTAACAATTTGATTTGCGGAAATCAATGTTGTAACATTCATAGTGTTGATGTCAAGTGAGACCTTGGTTGAGTAAACATTGAGAGACTCGAGTAATGATTTGACAAATCTTGAACTGATAATTCTCGATACTTTTTGATCATCATCTTGACCTTGTGATGCATAACCAGAATACCAAAAAAAGGTAGAAAAGTCAAAAAATATGAAAGATGTCATAATCGTTTACTGGCCTTACGTTGAATCCTCCCAGTTCGATGGTCTATGGCAGGTGTTCTCAACCTTTTTCCTGTTAAGTACCCCCGACTCATGAAACAATCAACCCGAACCCCCAGTAATCCGACACCAAACAAAGTTGTAATATATTGACTAACAATTTTTCAATTTTATTGTAAAGGATATTAACAGAAGTATTTTTTCATTTATCATATCATACCTTAACTTTATCTATCTCGCAATTGCAGTGGTTAAAAAAGGTTACTATGAGATATATTTTCATCCATGTATATGAAATATTCAACTGTTTATATATCCTCATATCTGACCTAGAAAGTTACTCTAAGGATATTTGTAATAAGATCTCACCAGTTTCATTGAGTAAACCAGAATCGAGCAGAAGAGAAGCAAACTTGATATTACTTTTAATATTTTCATCATCTCCACATCGCAAATTCAAAATAACCTCATCAAAAACATCTAAATAAATTGAAATTATTTTAAAAAAATGCCAAGTAGCCTTCAGTAATTTGGAGTTAGTAATAGTAATACCAATATAGGTATACACAAATGAAAGAAATAATAGACTGAATACCTCGAAGAAACAACTATCATCAGTATGCGTTAGACTTTAAAAAAACAGTTAAACGAATATAACAAAGGTAGCAACATATCAAGCTACATATTGTTTTTGTTGATATCGACATTTCGCAACAAGAGCCAAATTTGTGAAAATACCCAAATTACAGTGTTTAATTATGCCTCTATTAAACCATGGGTTTTGTTAACTTTTTCGGGTAAATGAAAAATTGCTATAATTGATTTTGCATTTTTTTCGACTTTGCAATCCCGCTTTTCAAAATTTTGTGAAAACTAACAGAGCTATAAAAAATGTGGAATTCTCAGCTTCAAAAGCATATATATTTCAAAATTTTTGAATTTGCCTTTTTGTTTTGAGACCCTCGATATACCACAAAAACCTTTATAAAAAAAAATGGTTTGCTTTTGGCATTACTAAAAAAATCGCAAAAAAAAAATTAAATTCAATACAAAAATAACTGTTTACCTTTTTGAATATACTGGAGTGGTGTTTTCCATAAGAAGCATAAAATACATCTTTTCAATGCATGTTGGAAATGAGCATTTTGACAATCCTTTCCAAAATATTTGACCAGATTCAGAATATGAGATTTATCATACGTGTATTCTACTTCTTTCAACTGAAGACAGGACCCCAAAAAGTGAAGCTTTGCAATGAAGGCTTGATTTTTACTGCATTAAAATATGATCACATATTAGAAAAAGGAATGGTCAATTGTATGGTCATAAAGGTTCATTGACTTACAGCAGTACCGGTAGTGGATAGAATTTATACTAAAATCCAATATCTATCTGATCATTCAATAGCTTCAAATCAAAATTGAAAATCAAGTCCCGCAGCTGAGCAGTGCGCACAGTCGACATTAAACAGTTGTTGGACACATGTGATGTAATGCCATGCGGAGGAGCAATATACTTATTTTGGATAAAATAGAGAGCCATATAGCCATTTAGTGAATTTCTCCCAGTACTAAAAAGAGTTTTAAAGAGTCAGTTTTATCAAAATATTTATAATAAATGATCTGTAGTATTGCAAATCAAACCAAATTTAAAAAAAATATAAGTTCTAAAAGGCATAACACACAAAGACGACCCTCAGCAAAGACGGCTGGATTATGATCATCATAAGGCAAATGGTAGCATAAGAGTGGTGGGTCGAACAATATCGCAGAACTATAAAATTTCTTCCAGAGTGTTGGCGCAAAACAAAGTTATTCAATCTTTGATGTTCTAAAACTAAACTGATGTAAGTCAATATGGTAGAAAAAACAAGCAGTTTAGTGACAGAGATTCCAAACACCAAGCTTTTCTTTAAAAAAACTTTAGATATAAAAATGAGAGAAGATGATCATAAATGCATCATTATCTAAGACTTGATATTAGATAACTAGGCTACTTTTTCACCTAATACTTTATTTGAATATACAGAGCGTTCATAACATATCATTACAATTTCAATACGAAGTCGATTCTCAACATCTTAACTAGATTTTTATTTTAATCAGTTTTATTTAGATTTATTTTACTTTAATACAACTGTAGGAGCCAACAAACTATAAATAGTATTGATAAATCCCCTTTGCAATTTGAAAAATAATTACGACTTTATGAACAACGGCCAACGGGTATATCTTTTAGACAGGAATTTATCAAAGAACTGATAATAATGAAAATACGAAATTTTTAACAAGTATACCTGTCATCAGTTCCAATATTTACATTAGATTTGAAAATTTCAACAACATTGTCATCAATGCTAACTTGGTATTGATTTTCATGAGAGATCAGTAAATTGTAAGCATCAATACAAGATGATAATACAGCGAAATGGCTTTTGCTCAAATCTTTTCTTCTCTTGTTAAACACTTGACAAACTTCTAAATTTAAAGGTGATAAAATCATATTGTGAAATGTTTGAATTTTTTTGAATGGTATTGGCGTAATCCAACCAATTTCACTTAAATTTTGATAAAATTCAATTTTAGCTTCCGCGCAAATAATGTTCCATATAAAATGTGTTTTTCATATTCTCTTTTATGAGGAGTTTCGCTTTATTCAAAGCTTTAAATAACGGGTGACCCGAAAATAATAATCCAGGCCATAAATTTTCCTCATTTTCGTAGAAGTAATTATGAAATTTATGGGTTCTGTTTTGAGTGACCCTGTACAAGTGGATATATGTGGGCCTGTGACTATTATGTAAAAAAAGAACCAGAATCAGAATCTTACTTAATCAGTCATAAACCTTTATTAAGTCAGTGGTCATGGGGCTTTAACATGCCATAGTTAGAGTCAAAGCACTAAGTTCAAAGTTTAGATTGAATTTGTAAACATGGAATTGTAGAGTCAGGCTTAGTACGATACTTACATTAATGTTACAGTAGCTTATACATTATTTGACACTTATCTGTATTGGGTGGGGGAAAAAAAAAATTTTTATTAATCAATTCATAAAGAATTCACGATCCATAGATTGAATATTAATTCGCATGGATACAATGCAACGGCACTGAAGTAAGAGTAAAGATAACAATCCTAAGTGATTCAAGAGTTTTGATGCACACTAACACAAATATATTTCTGCAATATTTTGCCTCCCACTGTTTATCAAGTAACAAATCACTCATTTCACTGATCCAATAACATGCAAAATCACCACGGAGTGGCACTCATTATTTAAATATGAAATTTTTTAGTTGTAGTTGAATTATGTATGTCTGTGAAAGTCTTGGTCAGATGTGTAAATACATTCGTGTTAGTGTGCAGCAAAACTCCAAAACCACAATAATTTTAAACTTTGTTCTTTTTTGCTCTAATCCATAAAGCTAACTAACAATTCATCGCAATCACGAAACTTCCATAAGTTTTGGAATTCATATACTAACCTTGATACAATGAGTTCAAATCATCTGAAAGAATCTTTGGTGAAAAATCGTTGCCTTCTACAGAGGAATCAAGTTTAAGTTTTTTACAAATTTGAATTTCGTTTCTCATTTTTCTTTTCCTACAACCAGACTGAAATTTCTTTCCGTATAAGAAATCTCCATCATCAAATGATAAAAGACTGATCAGAGCACGGATTTGTACAGAAATCAATTCCATTGAAACATCATTGTCAGCTGCTTTTGAAAACTAAAAGAAAAGGATTCGTTAAGTTATAACATAAGCATCATAAGAGTAGGCAGCATTAATATATCTGGGGTGAATTTCTTTGTTTACAGGGGTAAATAAATGCACGAGTAAAAATAATAGAAAATCCTATCTAAAGCATGAATATGACTTGATGTTAAATCTGACATCATTGCGCATTATCCACTATTCCACTAGACATTGAACAGCTATTTGCCAATAAACAAGGGAAGCCGTAACATTAAATGAATATAATGAAGTAATTTATTAATTTTGTTTTTCAGTGAATGAGCACTATTAATAAGCACATTAAAGGTGTATTTAGCTGTATTCCTTATTGTATTGACATGATCTGCTTCAAACTATTTTTCAAACCATGGTTTTTCGGTGACCCGCTAAGACACACCTTACGAAATATACCAAAATTTTAGTGATGGACGATTTAATAAGAGGCGAACTACTTCAGCATATCGCTATTTGGTTTATCGGTTTAATGCGGTCAAAAGCCAATCAAAAAATATAATTTTTTCTCAGAAGAATGGAAAGATGATTCATATGCTTGCGAATCCGTATTTTCGCGAAGGAATAGTCCTGCTATAAGTGCTCAAAACTACATAATACCATGCAGTCCTGCTATAAGTGCTCAAAACTACATAATACCATGCAGTCCTGCTATAAGTGCTCAAAACTACATAATACCATGCAATTTTTATAAGAAAAAAATTCAACATTAAGTTTCTCATTGGTACAGACATTGAATGAATTTCTAGGATCCACAGTCTTCTTTAACAAAACGAATATATATAATTTTTGACTCATTCATTAAAAAAGGTTCGCCAACCCCTATCATATATTAGGTGTCATTACAAAATCTTACGGTCTTCAATATTGCCCTGGCATTGGTTGATGAATTATGATAACACGTAAATATGGTTTCTTGAAGCAATGCATTTAATGAGTCCTGCAGATCATTATCAACTAACTCTTTGATTCTAAAAATTAAAAAAATCTAGTAAAATAAAATCATATATTAAAATAAATCTATTATCAGATATGTCAAAAGTAATTTTAATATTGACATACGTTCAAAAATAGTTATACTTATTGTAGTTAATTTTTTGATTTGAGGAATAATTTAGAATATTTTTATTGTGAAATAAATGATTCTGTGCATTTGGTATCTTAGGTTCAGGTCTGCCCTGACTGTTTTAGGTATAGAAAATAAACCAAACCGTTTTTCTTAACTTTATTGGTTTATTAAAATCAATCTCTATACATAATATACAATGATTTGTCATAATTCATTGTAAGGCATGACCATATATTCAAAATTCAAAAATATTATTATTGCAAGTATATAAAAATACAATGCTTATTCACACCATTCTCTTCAAGCAGGGTAGAAAAAAGCAGTGATATCTGAAAATATGTAACGAGTCATTTTATTGGAATCTCAATCATTACTCCCTGGGTGAGGATGGGATTCAAAACCATGACGTGTAGCCTGCATAGCCAAAGCCAACACTTTTACCAGTAGGCCATCGTGGCAATCATTCAGATTTTGCCACCCACATCTTTTATTTTTAATGATATAATAAAAACATACCCGATAAAATATTTCAAGATTTCTACAGGTTCACAACATTGAAGCAAATCAATTCTTTTAATTCCTAAAACCAACAAATAAACATGCAAGATAAGAGTGCTGATGAATGACAAGTGACGCCCTTTGTTTGAATTACTACTGCACCAGAGTAGAATCAATGAAAAGTTTGAAAATGAACTACTAACTCATTGTATATCCCACTGAAAATAATGCTTCAATTCTTTCCAAAAATGAGTCTTGCACACAATCAGTAATTTGCCAAAATTTTGGGTTGTGCACTCAAAAAAAATATTAAGTGGTCAGTCTAAAGCTGGTTACAGAGATCCCTTCTGTATCAAATATGGAATTATTGATGGTACACCACAATTAAAATCATAATTCAACAATAGGCCTGATAGTAGGAGGGTCAGGAAATTACTATAAATACTGTTTATGCTCGTTTTAAGGGCCCGTTTGAATAGCCCCTGTGTGAACAGAACATAAAAATAAATAAGGGCCGGTGCTCGAATACCCGCCCGATGTAAAAGCTGATTTTCAGTGGTAGAGAACAATAGGAATTGAGAAGCGCTCTTGTCACAATGCTGTTGAATTTTAAGCGCTGGTAGATAACACTCACGCCTTAGGCGTCCAAAAGTCAAAACTTTCGTTATTCTATAATTTCACTTCAAAAATTACAAGCGCCCGTGCTTGAATAAGGGCCCGGTTAGTGAGTTTGGTTTAAAGAATATGGGCCCGGCCTACAAAACGAGCAAATACGGTAATTTGAAATTTTCAATAGCGAAAGTTACATATCCTACATACCGACTATTTTTAGTATGAATGAGATCAGCTGTTTGAAAATTGAAAAATCATCTGTAGAAGCCATTTCACAATATTTCTTTACAATATTCTCCAAAATCTTGGAACAGGATAAAAGATGACCAAAGACTGGCATTGTTTCTTCCAAAGACAAACTTTCAATATTGACTTTTCTCAATATTTGCATGTATTTTTCTATTCCTTGGAACACAATCTGAAAATTTAAGGAGAAAAGCAAATTTAATTATGTAAAAAGCATGCATATTGCCTACCAAGCTACCATTTCGAAAAATGGGAACAATCACCCAGAAAAACTTAACCTTATTTAAGAGGCGTTTTTAATAAAAATTTCGAGAATGTAATCATGTGTTATGTTTTCCAATGATTCCTTCCAAGAGTTTGCTAACAGTTATGCTTGTTATTTTCAATACTTATATCAAAATCTAGTTCGGAAATCCGAAACTTGTGTTTTTTGAAATCTGTTTTTTTTGAATTTTTTTGTAAAAATTTTTATGTCATCTGAAAATTTTATACGGTGTGTGAAATGTATAAAAAATAAATATAACCAAAAAAAATTATAATATTTAACCTTCACTTCATCAAAGCTGTCTATTTTCAACAGCTTTTTATTCTGAAGGATGCCGGTCACCATTTTAGCAGGATCCATTTTTGGTGGTGGCGAAGTAAATGGCGGCAGCATCTTGTTAGGAATGTATTCTGAAAATATATTATTGAATCAGTATTTAGAAAAGGATTAGGTGTAATTTCATGTTAGCTTATTGAAGAGCAATATATACCAGAATAAAAGCAGGAAATTTAGAATTTCAACATTTGCTCTTGAAAAATGATTTTTCAGAACAAACCTGACAGCCTCTTGGCAGCAATCTTTAACACCAAGAAAGAAATTCCATCTTGAGAAGAATCTGGGAAAAAATCGAAAGCCTTCTCCAGCAATGTTTTGCAGTCATCTGACCAGGTTAGATTACAGAACATCTGAATATAATATAGATCACATTTAGGAGTAGACTACAATAGATGATACATAAAAATCAGAACATAGGAAGTTGTAATCAGTCCAGTGTTATGAGAATAATCCCTCTTTGAACACAAAACAGCAAAATATACACAAGCAAATATATATTAACCCTTGCCATGCGATTTTTATTTTTTATTAAATAATCGTATTGGCTACGCCGATTTTATGCATTTGTACCCCCACAACTAATCGATCGACTAACAAAAAACTAATGATCCTCTGCTGCCCACTGACGGCTCATTGGAAAGCTTATTTAAAGAGCTTGCAATTAGCGATTAAAAAAAATTTTTTTTTAAAAAGTGGTGGTCTGAGTCACAAACCGGATAGAAAAAAGGCATTTTTTTTTCTTGGGAGTTGAAACTTCAAACCGTGATAAAAAATAGAAATATTCGCTAAATCCTTTACTGTTACCGCTTCGTGGTTGGCAAACAATAGCATAATATTGCTGTAGCAATTTCGTGATCTAACTCAAAATACTTTGGTAGATGGAATGGATAATATGTCTTCTATTACCACCCAAAACACCGAAATTTGCATAAATTTCAAAAACACTTCCTCGATCCGCCGCAAATAAAATTCCCGTCGTAAGCGAAAGCGAGATTTACCGTCGCTTATGTTAATCTCGAAGAAGACTTCTTATCAATAAACTAAAATCCGGAAAAACTAGACCAACAGTTTGCAACCGATTGCTAAATAAAACAGTGGAGTACATCAACGTACCTGCCGCAATCTAGCGACTTTTGTCGTGGGTACGTATACATGCCCACCGCACGGAAAGGGTTAAACACTTGGATAATTGAATCAGCCATTAATAATCCTATCAAAATTTAATCGCATAAGGACAAAATACGACATAAAATCTATAACTTTCAGAATTCTTACAAAAGGCCTGAACAATATTTCGCATAGTCGTACTTACCAAACTGACTGCTGCATTGATCATCCACTTTCTTATAACCTTATGATTCAACAGTACAGGTGAAAAGTCTACAACATGTTTGAATACAGGAATCAAAATCCCACCTAGAAAATAAAAACTTTGTCAAAATGTAAGTAAAAAAGAGAATAACGAATTTATAATAGTCTGTCATTTTTTTATATGTCAAATCAAATTCTGCTTTATATTAAAAAAGATACCTTAAACTAGCAATATCTATTACAGAATACCAGTGGTTTAGTATTTTAGAACTCTAACTCTTAAAATCAATTTAGAAATCATTTTAAATAAACTTACTGGAAACAATAATAGAACAAAGAGATAATGCTCAAATACATAGGCTTAAAGCCTTCTTTCAGAATGGTGTTCTCATGAATTAAATAATTAAAAAAGCGAAATTGGCTGAAATATCAGGCCTGCATCACAGAAAAAGCGGATAGTTAAGTGGCTCAATTCAATTTCAGTCATCAATTACCTGATTGTGATAATTTTCCTGTGTTTATTGATTGTAAATACGTTTCTAACTGTTTTAATAAATCATTCAAGGCATCACACACTGCATCAGCATTTTCCACAAGTGTAAGTTTTTTTGATTTTTGTGATATTTCTATCACATTATGATTTTGAGTTAATTTTTGAATCTTTATTAAAATAAGGAGAACAAAATTAAGTTTTGGGTCATTCGTTGATAACGCAGAAAACTCGATCAAAGGGAAGTCATCTGTGAAGAGCGAGCTGGATGCAAATGTTGTTTTGTCGTTGTTCTTGTTGTATAGCACATTTTGAATTCCCGGTAACACTTCATCAGATTCAACAACAACATATTTTTCCAGTGCGTTTGATAACTGTGTTTCTATCAAAGTGGCCGATAAAAAATTTCCAATCAATTTTTCACTGATTGTATTTTTCAAAACCATTTCTTGCAAAGCCTTTCTTGATGATTTTAAAGACGAAATGTTTTCTTTGAATTTTTCACGAACTGTCAAATGATTCCAAAGTGTAAATATAGGTGTCTTTGAAACAACTTTGTGAAGTAATTTAAACAACATATTGAGGAATCCAAGAGTGGAAGATTGAGTGTTTTCGTTGTAACCCTCCACTGGATTTTTCGAAATTTCTTCAACCTTTTCAATGACAAAAATAAGTAATGAGGGTGTGGTTGTTACAGTATCACATATACCAGTGGATGAAGTTTCTTATTAGAAGTAAGCATCATGCTTGCATGCTTTAGCAAAAAACTTGGTTTATGGTTTTCATGTTCAGATTATAGATTTCAAAAAAGCTTAATGAAAACTATTTCACCGGGATTTTTCAAATTTCAAAATGATAGTCATATTCAAAATAATTTAATATATTGATTTAACGAGTAGCAAAATCATAACCAGAATCGAGGATGTATCATGCATGATATTAAAAATCATAATGTTACTGTAAAAAATTATAATCTAAATTAAAAAAAATAATTTATTCAAATGACGTTTCTCGATATCACAAGAACAAAACTGGAAGCCAGCAGTACAAGTTTTAAAAATTTTACAAAGGGAATTTACCAATATATATATATATATCTGCACCTATAGGTGTATTAAATAAAGTAAAAATACCCAAATGAAAACTGATTATTAAAACAAACAATCCTGGTTAAGATATATTTAGAAATGAATTCATAATAAAATTGAAATTGTAACACTCCTGTACAATAGAAGAGCAGAATAAATAATTGAAACAAACAACAATCGAACTACTCACTTTTTGTGAAATCCTTACAAGAATAGTTGACCAAATCTCAATAACTAAACTTGGAGACAACTTTGAAGCAAACATTTTTCCGAGACAGTTGCCAAATTCCTCAGCAATGTTTATTAAACGTTTTGTATCAATGTTTTGGGATGTATTATATTCAACAGCACTTTCAAGTACAAGTATCACAATGTTGACCAATCTGACAGACTAAAATAGAAATACCGTAGTCCGTATTTCAAAAACATAATAGGATTGGTGAAAACCATCGCTTTTTCAATTACATACGAGTTTAGAAAGCAGAAATTGTCAATATTTATATCTTAGAGCAGGGGTCTGCAACCTTTAATACAGGAGTGCCAGATACAAATAACTGGGTGAAACCACAGGCCGCACCGTTATTTAACATAGGATTTCTAGTAGTTGCAAGCACAAAAATTTCAGTTATTGATCTTATGACATGTGTCCTTCGTACAAGCTAGCTGTTAGGGCATTGTAATGTTATAGATAATAAACTGAACTTAGGTATAAGCTTTGCGAAGCAATGGGATTGGAATTACTCTCACGTACCAGATTAAACTAAATTACTCGATTCACTGGCCGCACACCCTTCAAAATTAGCACTTCTCCATGGGCCACACATTTTTTTCTTGTGAGATGCATTTGGGCGGCAGTTTGCACTACCCTGTCTTAGAATAATGTCGTAATGTATTACAATGAAAATCAAAAATTTATCAGTACTCAAAAACGGAACATAACAGATGGAAAAATCATATATTTGTTAAATGATCCCTATGAGGGAGCTTAGAAAAAATATATAAAAGTAATAGCCTCCTAGTACTTGGTCTATTGAAGATTTGAAAAAGATTGGTCAGACAGGAAATCAATGTTAAATTTAAAATCCATCAAACAGACTTTATTTATTAGGATACTAGCAAACAAGCATACCTGTCGAATCTTAATATAAACATCAACAAAGCAGTCAACCATTTCAAAAATATTTTTTAAAGGAATTGTATTGGATGAGTCTTTACTGACGGATTTGATTATGATTGACTTCATCCATGGCTCAACAATTGATTTGTCAATTTCAGCCGTTACCATCATACAAGACAACCACTGGCAACTGAAAAAAGAAAGTGATCTTTTCTGAGTAAACTTTGACAGGATATATTATCTAAAGATAAATATTATTAGGTGATTTAAAATCCTATCAAAAACATTATAAACATATTAGGAAAGTTGATTTTCATCCGGGATTCCTATAACATATTAATAAGTTTAGTATATGAACTTGATCTCCCTTAGACTAATTTCAAAAAAAGATTTAAAATCCCAGGTAATTTTTATGGTTGAATAAAAATTGCACGCTGTATCTTTGTGAACAAGTTATTTTCACACTACAAGGTGTTTATCAAGTCCTCTAACATCAGTTCTCAACATATTTAGGCGCCACATGCAGAACTGATTTTTCTTTTCACTGCAAGGAGACCCTCGTTTTCCTTGATAAAATTCTTGCTGAGGTTATTTCATCACTTTGATGATGTCACTGTGGTGTTTTCACTTTGATGAGCATGAATTGTTTGAAAATAATGGGATTTGGAATCTACCAGTCAAAATCACACTACAACAGGAATAATAAATAGAGGGGCCATAAGTGCCAAAACCCACTGGAAGGTGGCCAAGAGGGATAAAAAGTTGGAAACCACTGCTATATATGGTACCGATAAATTTCCTTTGCACTTTAATAAGTGCCATTTGTATTACAAATGTCAAATACAACCAAATACATAATTAGTGTTGGGCTTACCATGGCTTATAATTAGTGACAAGGGATTCTGTAATTTTCTTCATCCATTGCAGTAAATCTTCACTTAGATTTTTATCGACAGCAGGTTGATATAATCTGTATAAATCTGCCATCTATCAATTAAAAATAATAGAGATTCCGATGAAAGTATGTAAAATCTATTTATGATCATATAAATGTTATAATTTATAACTTATTTCATTTTCTTTTAATAATCATGTTGGATAATTAATTTCTAAAAGATTGATAGCCTTTTTAGCGTAATTTAGTTCAAAACGAGGCCATCATACATTGACCTAAAAGTGAAACACCCTATGAGACATACTACCGGTAATTGATAATTCAGAAACTATTCCTTGATACAGCAGGACAGTTACCGTAAATTATTACCTAGATTGAGTAGAAAATAAGACAAACCTTTAATAGTCCACAAAGCAGGGCAATATTCAATTTGTCACAAGAAGTAATATCACGACATTTTGTTTGATGAACACATGCAATATTAGTCAATTCCTTCAACATTTTGATCTTCACTTCAGACTTTACTTTAGCATAAATGAGGAAAAGTTTGAAAAATAAGGTAATACAATTTTCACCAACTTTTCCATCAGTTTGCTCCTGTGAAAATATGACAAACAGACAGAAATTTATACAGAATTCTGCTTTATAAAATTAAATTTGTGTAACAAAAACTACTAAAACCGAAAACCGGGACATCTAAGCATACCACAGTGTGTACGATGACCAGAGTTGGCCGATACAAAATAATGTTCGATTCCAAATACAACCTAAAATATTATTTTCGAATACAGTGTTGCCCCAACCTTTTATGTCTCATAGCCCTCTTTCGAAGGCTTTATAAGATCATGACCCCTGTTTACCACTACAAAAATACAAGCAATGGAGCAATGCACACATTGCGCACATTCTAAGCCATCTCTATTTACTTTGATAAAGCCAAAGCCAACGTAATTGTCGTCATATTTCCGTTTCTAGAAATTAAATTTCTTCTCCTATATACGAATATAATAGGTTATAATGGTTATCTCTCTGCAGGTCAGATAGCCTGCCAGTGCCAACCAATTACAAAGATTAGAATTTGCAGAGCACTGAGATATCCAAGGTGATATTTTGATTCATAGAATCCAAATCCCATTATGATCAAACAATTCTTACACAAGAAAGTGAAAACACCCTCAGACTGAAAATTACCTTTCCAGTTGATAAAACTATAGAGAACGAGGAATTTTCTTATAAAGGGTAAATTATACAAACAAAATCGCATTAAAATCAAATTAGCTAACTACCTTTTGAGATATATTTTGTAGCACACCCATAACCAAGTTAAGTCTCTTTGATCTTTGAAATTTCTTCGACCTGCGTCTCGTTTCATCAGTTTCAACATCATTTTTTGTGCCAAATTCATCAGAAATAAGGTCATCATAGATTTTCCTATTTTCTCTGAAAATTATTAACATCATTTACAATTTCATATGCAAATCAAGAAAATACTAAACAGCTATAAGCAATTTGAGTATTTCTACATCTCACATTATAATATAGATGTCAGATCTATCAGATGACATAAAAAATTAGATTAGAACCTTATATGAATACAAACCACAGCCTTTCTTCCAGCCTGCGGTTGATTTTGGGTATGGGGATAGAGATAGCCACTTCATTCAGCGACTTAATTTTCATAACTTATAATAAACTGTTTTCCTATATGGAAAAATAGTGACACGGAAATAAGACATCAGGCTGACATATGACAATCAGTATACTGTTTTGAAGTAAATGGGATTGCAATTTGATAAAAAAAGGGCGCTCCTAAAGTATGTGTATCGATATGGAGGTAATTTTATTCGCCTATTTTACATTAAGTTGTGTAAAGGAACTGAAACCTATGGGCAGGGGGATATTGATATTCACTTGGCTAACACAGACAGTCCCCGAACCCGTAATAGAAGTAAAATAAGGAAAATTGGAATAAAATTATAACCTAACCCTAACCTGGTACACAAATTATGGGATTATCAAAATAGGAGCAGAAAAACTGTAATATTTGTGAGAAAATTTATGTGACAAATGTAATACTAAAATTGGTTATATCCATGTTTTATTCAGAGAACATAAATTTTTCTTTATTATCATTCTAACAATAAAGTACCAACTCTGAAAATAATGCTGTTAAAATGGTCTTTTCCAACACTGATAAAAGAGTTGCAATGACATCATGCTCTGTTTTTTCTATATTAGTACAATCACAATGCAGTTCCAACACAGGCAGCAACAGATGCTTGCAAAATGGCATGAGAGACTGAAAAATATTTGAAGTTAACATACCGTAACATTATGATGACACTAAATAAGGTTAAAAGAATGTAATCTATGTATATATAAAAATAATTTGACACAAACTAGCAAAGAATCAAATTTACAGGGTGATCGTACCCTAAAGTAATCTAGGACTAGGAGACGGTGTTTCCTAACCGCTGGTCGTTATCTCCACCCCATTCTAGCTACCAAGCTTCGCACATAACTAGTTCACTTTTGCAAAACATCATGGCTGGAGGACCCGCTCGAATTTTTTAAAAGTTATGCACCAATATTCATCATTGTCAAAATTTGTTTGAAATCTGATTGACAAATTGAGATTTTTTTGGTGATTTGTTATTCTTTGTTTTCATGTTCTGTACCAAAATATGTATGTTACGCAAACATAGGATATTTGTTTCTGCCTCAATTATTAGGATATTTTGTTACCAGTCCATGAGGTTGTTTAATTTGATGTCACCAGTCTGTGGGGGTGGAAAAGTTGGAAACCACTGATCTAGGAAGTTGGGCATAAAATTTAAAGTTAAGTTATTTCTAGAATATGTTTCTAATGACTTGGGTGCTGTTTTTTGGGGTCACCCTTTATTTTCAAATATGTGGTATGTTTTAATAACCTTTTAATGTTTTTTTTTTTGTTTTTTGTTTTTTCACTAATTGCATCCCATAAAATACCCCACTATTTTAAAAGCTTATTGAATTAAATTTTTATTACCAACAATAATAAAATAAGATTAAAAAAACTTATAGAAATACCAATTAAATTTTTAATGAGCTCGAATTTTCTTATTTGGAAAACCATACGATGAAGGTAAATTGAACCTTACTTTTTTATTGGCATTGTAACCTTTCATCAATTTCAAGTTCTTTTCCAAAAGAAATCTAACATGATCTAAAAAGTCATTGAGTTCCGTGTGATTTGTAGAATTCTTCATTTGTCTGAATAGTAACATTAAAGATGAACAATGGAATTCAAAGGCAGAAAAACAATTTTTATAAAATTGACTTCAATATCCTATGAGGTATATTTCTCAATATTCAGAATTATGGGGATGGCAGTGACAGAAATCTTTCTGAGCGTTAGAAATGTGGTTGTCATTATAACGATAAATCAGAACCGCAGATCACCTTAAATGAGGTTGCTACATCAAATTTTGTGAGTGGTGATTGTTGTTGTACTACTTGCATTTATTGTAAGTTATTTACTGAACTGCACGTTTGTTTAGTCATATATTACCTTATCCATCCATCTAAACTAAACCACTCCAATCAAGACCAAATAAAAATTGATTTGATTAAAAGTATGTTAGTTCAGTTTGGATTTTTTTCCAGTATGGCATTGTTTACCTAATTTTCTACACCCTTGGTAGGGGGATGGGCATTTAGTCTTTCAACTGACGGTAATCAGCCCTATAGCCTCTGTAGCTGCGCCGCACGATGTTTGTCTGACAAAAACATAATATAACTCATCCAAATCTCACAAACATACTAGCGATTTTGTGTAAGCTTCAAGCTTTGGAAACTCAATCTAATTTATTGCAAAGTGAAACGATTACTAGATCATGCCTATTCAAGATACAAGATAATAAATAATTCACTTGAAAAGAATGGATTTCACCAAACCTGCATCAAAAAAGCAATATCTACTTCACTACTCATGGGAAAAGAGTATTACTGAAAATTTGGAAGGAAAACTTTAGAACTTACAATTTGACAAAATTGATCCAGGTTGAAGTATAGGCTGACAACGCCTCAAACTGTGATGAGATATTGCATATTATTTTATCATTCGTCAGTAAGATTTCCCCAATTGATCGAAGACATTCTCTCATGTCGCCAAAATTATTATCTTGATTTTGCAGATATTCCGATATAGTCTAAATGAAATATGTAATAAACAATATTTCTCATGTATTTTGAAAGGTATATATCTAGTTATCTATTGCCACATGGTTTTCCCTTATCTTATTATATTTGTTCCCCACAATCTAGAAAAAATTCAAACTCAACTGAAATTTGAGTAGGAAATATTTTATTAAAATAGAAACATAAGGGATATCGCGAAATAACAGTGTACATTCACTAAAACTACACAAAGAATATCTCTAACATCATAGTCAACTGATGAGATTTACATGTTGTCCATAAAATAGAAACATAAAGGATATTGCGAAATAACAGTGTTTATTCACTAAAAGAATTCACTTAAATCACAATAGGATTAAAAGACTTCAATGAATTATGGCCATGAACCGAATTTATACAATATGCATTCATTCATGCTTCATTTTGCGAATTCAATATGGATGAATTAAATATGTGTCTTCAAAACCACCTGTGTAACAGCAGGCTTGACGGTCACAGTTTTTAAATCAGGCAATTCTTCAACAAGACATTTTGAAGTCAAAAAATCTTTAAATGTGTGTATAGCAGCAGTGAAATCTGAAGAACTGCAAAGATAAAGTTGAATAATGATGTTGTTATTTGTAACATTCGGATATTTCAGCGTTTCCCAACCCATGAGAAATTTTGTTGTTTTGGGAGAGGAACTACAAAAATACTTTGTAATTGGTGTAGCCATAATAAGATGGTTTACCGTAGTTATATAGTACTATTGTAATACGTATTTAACTAGAGCTGCGTGCAGCTTTAACAGGCTTCCCTATTCGAAAGCTGGAGTGCAAGGTACATGTAACACTAGTTAATGATGCTATAAAGATTAAAAAAGTAATGCAGGGAGGGCATAAAGAATCCAAAATAGGCAAACAAAGGAATATATCAAAAGTATATTCGATTCTCTTATTTTAAACACTTATCATTCGAATCATCTCATGTCTTTTATCAGCAATGCCTTACATGTTTCATTTCACATTTCTTGAATACTTATCAGATCGGTTACTTTCAGAAAAATTTCATTGAAGGGTCCAGTGAATAATGTTAAAAATTTCCAATTTTTTAATAGGAATTAACATGAAGCAACTAGTTAAGATCTGATCAACGCATCTTAGGTAGTAGCACCTTAGGTGGGATAAACTCACTTTGATACAAGAGATGTTAACTGAGTGCCCAGCCAATTCAATAGCAACTGATACTTTCTTGCCAAAACGAATTCATTTGAAATCCAAAGGACACGACAGAGCTTTAATCTCGAAGCAAATGGAACTTCATTATCATTCAAAAGATGGTACGAGTCTATAAAATATTATATATTCAATTGAGAGGTATGTTAAAACGAGAGTGAAAAGAGGTTCGTATACACATAGACACTTGAACTAATATTTTTATTGCTCATGCGTTTTGAAAATTGTTGCTCCACAACCTCTCCATTCTACTACATCTCCCGGCAAAACCAAAAAAAGCTTCCAACCCTTCCATTTTCCGAGGATTCAGTCAAATCATTGTTTGTTTGTTTTAATTTTTTGAATTACCAGATTTAAACATATGAAATTTCAATTACTAGAATATCCAGTTTCGGCCATCCTTGGCCGGCTTAAATGACCAACATGCCATGTGTTGCGCACTTCTGTTCTAGAATAATCTTTCTCCCTGTACCAACTATTTTGATAATACTCGGAGAGTCGTAAGAGGGAGAAAACGTGTGGAATATGATTTGAAATTAGCAGTTGTATTGTATATATGTATAATTGTACCATATTAGATTTTTTTTGAGATCCCCATTCATGAGTATTGCCAACATCACTTTAGGCAGTCAGATAATAAATGGTCCTAAATTAGCCACCATAACTGATGAAACAACCTTACAATAGGAGATGAGTATTTTCATCTCAATACATCCATTTAAAATCATCATTTTATTGTAGTAAAATTTTTGATAACTATGAGATTTTGTGAGAGTTTTTTCATTTTCGATAGTCAGGCTCTGATACGAACATTCGAGTTAAATTGAGTAGAAACCTACTAATCCCAAAGTCAAGACCTCACCTGCACCAACTGAAAATTTCTCCATATTTCTTTTTATTAACATTTAATATGCACAGTTTATTAATACATTGAATGCTGTAATATAAAAAGAATGAAAACATGGTAAATTATATATGATTGAGATGACTTACAAATCAAACTTGCATCTTGTAGGAAGGTTGTAATCATAGTAGGTACTGGCAAATAATAAATGTATCGCTGTAACACATTTCGAGCACTTTGAGGACTGATGTATTTACCAAGTTTGAAATCACAATCACTAAGAAAAAGTAAAGTAAATTCAACACGGTGTATGGAGTGGAACATATTTATCCATCATATGACTTGCAATGGTCCTAATCCGAAAGATGATATTAATCAAATTCCCATTTAAAATCAGTGGGGTTCAGATTTCTCCACTACTCAAAGAATTGAAGTGTTAAGATAAAAAGGTTGCCATGATCAAATAATCTCATGCTGATGATAAAATATAAAGCTGCCATTTTGATCCAATTGATTCCCCCCTACTAGAGACTGGTATATTTATAAACCAAAGGACAAAAAGTCAAAGGTGGTTAATATATAACCAATTACAAAGGTTAATTAAAATTTGCAGAACACAGAAGAATTTATATTGTTATTGTGATTGGTAGATGCCAAATCCCATTATGACCAAACAATTCTTGCACAAATAAAGAGAAACTCCTGTGATCGAAAATAACCTTTTCAGTTAATAATGAAACAATAAGATTTTTGTTTTGAAAGAGAAAGTATGCAAACAAAATCGCATTAAAATCAATTTGGCACCTAGTATTGTGAACCCCTCAAAAGACCACCTGCCCCCGGTTGGGAACCATCGTTCTAATGAATCATATTAATAGAAAACTAAATAAATTTGCAAATTTAAAGTTGACAAAGCAATATTTTAAACCCACAAATCAACCGATTATCAAAGACTGTCTAACGTTGACAATACTGAATTAACTTCCCAAACTAAATTTCTCATTTGTTCTAATAAATTTTTCAATTGTTCATTTCTGGTATTTAAAATGGTTTCAAGTTCACTTTTCTTTTGTTCAAGAAAAATTTCTTTCTGACTTCTCGGAAGTTCATCGGCTAAACTTTCACCAGAATCCATATTTTGATTAGTATGAGGAATTAAAACACACGGATCTACGTCATCTGGAAGTTTCTTTTGGCATTCTCTATATACATGTTTCAGTCTTTTAAAATGGGATTCAATTTGCACGAGACTGTCTGCAATCTTTTTCGATACATTTTGTGTGTTTCTCATACTAGGTTGGGTTCCATTAGGAAGTTGCATTAGTTTGAAGTTTTGGAAGACTTCACTGACTTTTTGTACGAGTTCTTGCACTGTATCTTGCCCCATTTGGCAAAGAGATGCTATGTTCAATTCATGTGGTTGTTTAGGCCCTAATGGTTCAGGATGGCCAGGGGGTACACCCGGAATATTAGCCATATTGTATAATATTATTTCTAAAAAGAAAATTGTGTTTAAGAAGTGACAGTTTTTGCAGTATTTTACAATCAAGTTCGCACCCATCTACACAAAAAAAAATGAAACAAAAGAAGAATAAAAACGAAAAAACTGACTTATGTAGCTAATAATGTTTTAGCTAAATGGATCACACGTATAATATTAGGGACAAAAAAATATTGGAACTGATATTCTGATGATTAAATTAAAATTGTGTATCTTTGTCAATAAAATAAAATGGCAGTTGAAAATTTGGTAGAAACAGTAACAAAAGGCACTTTATTGGCATTGTTGAATTTTGAATAGGCTGTATCGCTGATATAAAAAACAAATATATACAGTAACCAACAGGTAGCAATATTTCAAATGTGAAGGCAACCATTTCAATCTCATTTATGCCAAACAAAATCCCTCTATGTTAAGCAATATTATGCACAGCCAACAAATGCCAATTATTGACATCATGTCATGAAAACATTCATTTTTTCAGTAATGAAAAAATATTCATGAAATAAATTGAAAAATATAGTACGGTAAGTGATTAATAAATAGCCCCCGATAAACACAACCGAAAAAAATATAAATTTAAATGATTCGGATATTGTTTATGCCTTGGTTTAAACAACTAAATCTCATTTGAATCTTAATTACCGGTAAATATTACATCCAAAAAACTATATATGCAAAATTATAATGCGTCAATTATTTTAATCCAAATAGCTAAATATCAAACATATGAGCTTCAATAAAAATACCTGCTTGGCAGTGTCACGACTTGAGATCGTTATTTAACATCCAGAAAATCATAAAATATGTTCAGTACAAGTTAAATAACACAGGTATCAAATTTTGGCAATCAAAAATTGGCAAAAAAATGATTCATTATGCAATATTTTTGTATGTTTGATCAAGATAAAATGAAACTGTATAGAAAATAGTAATTGAAAAATTTGAATCTCAATGTCCAAAATAGCTTTAACGATTGCTGATCATTCTGCACAAAAACGATTACCAAAATAGGTATTCCAAAAAATAAATTCCATGTCAAGATATTCAAAAAAAAATTGGAGACCAGGAAAATCAAGATAAATTTAAGATGCTTATATTTTAGGATCAATATACTATGATGAAATGCTTCGAAAACTTTTATTTTTATCCAAGTTATCTCAAAGTATGGCTTAGAAGAGAAGTCATGGGAATGGTGAGTGATTGCTTATAAGTCATCTGGTATAAATTTGCCAATGACTGGAATAAAGAATTTAATCTTATCACGAGTGGTCTGCTTTTATAAGGAACATTTCATCTGTTGATACAAGAATGCTACAAATAAAATTGGACAAAACAAAGACAATTTAAAGCCCAAAAGTATACAACGGAGATACTAAGTAAAATCTATCTAATGCTATCATGATAGTGTCAAGGTACAAAAGTTAGATTAAGACAATGAATTTCCTTCAAGTTGAGCTGAGACAAAACAACAAAATTTGTAAATAATTTACAAAAAGAAAAATACATAAAAATCAGTGGTTTGTTTTAAATAATGTTCAATGCTGGTGTTTGAATCAAGTAAATTGGGGTCTCTGATGGCTTCTTTTCTCATGATAGTCACCGAACACAATGGTGTGGTGACTTAATCATTACCCAGTATGAATTGGAATATTATCATAAAATGATGAACTCCAAAACAATATGCTTCATTTGGCTAGTATAATCCTGATTGACATGTTCATTCTGGTGACTATGTTAAAATCTCTTTTTAGTGTTTTCACAGAAAGTTTTAAACTTTCACAGACTTACTCCATACAAAATTATTACAAATAACAAACAAACAGAACATTGAGAAACCTACACAGATTCAATTAAAAGATACAAAAATTGGAACATTGACTGGAAAGTATCTTCATAACTTTCAAAGAAGAATAGCAAAGCATTTAAGGCATTCGGGACTAATGCAACATGTTTGAATCATAATGCCTCTTACTCTAGAAAACATGGGCTAACTAAGAAACGAATGTTAGAATCCGGTGTTATTCATGCCGAGAGTGTTATTACCAGTTGTAGGTGCAGATATGGTTTCCACAAATAGCAAACTGGCAATTGAAGCGGTCATGCAACAAGTGAAAATTCCTCCCATGAAAGCTCTCATTGCTAATTCCGCTAAATCCCCTTTTCTTTCTGGCATCAAACTTCCCAATCCTCCGATAATGATTCCCAGAGAACTTATGTTACAAAAACCACACAGAGCATGAATTGCAACAACTTCAGATCTCTCGGACATAAACATTGCAGTTCCATTGTTAAATTTTGGAACGTTACCAAGAAGTCTGTTTTCGACCAGTGGTTTCATACTTTTATAAGCAATAAATTCATTCAGAAATGTTTTTACACCAAATAACTCCCCAACTGTACCACAATCTTCCCAATCTGCACCCATCAAAAAAGCAAGAGGCATGAAGAGATAACCACATAAAACTTGGAAAGTGAAATCAGGGTAACCAACAAATGCTCCAAACCAATTTAGACTGCTATTGATGAACGCAAGCAGTGCTAGAAATGCAATGAGGTTTGCAGCAATATTGGCAACTAGGCCAATAGACATTGATGCTCCTACAGCAGCAGCTTCTACTATATTTCGATCAGATCCTTCAGTTAATTTCAAGGAATGGGTTGTTATAAACTTAGATTTTTGACGTTCTGGAAACAGCAAGCGAGATATTGCAAGACTGGCAGGTGCAGACATTACACAAGCTGTTAGTAAATGAACACTGTCAATTCCCATTTCTACAAATGCACCGAAAACAGAAAACGCGATTGAACCTAGTCCACATGTAAGAACGGAATGTATTTCGGCTCTTGTCAAATCATTTAAGTAGGGCCGAACAACTAATGGAGCTTCTGTCATTCCAACAAAGATATTTGCAACAGAAACTGTTGATTCGATAGCCGAGGTACCAAGAGTCTTTTGCGTCACCCATGATAGCTTTCCAATGAACCATTGCATGATTCCTATATAATACAACATGTTCATCACAGTACTGAAGAAAACAATCATGGGAAGAATCTTAAAAGCAAACATATGAACAAAGTATGCATCACCAAACACAAACTTTGATCCATAGTCGGAATATCTCATGAAAGTTGCCACTTGGTCTCCAATGAACTTAACAGCATTGAATCCCACCTTTGTACGAAGCACAATCAAGCCTAGAATGAACTGCATAATGATTCCCCAAAGCACAGGACGCCAGGATACATCATTTGGATATTTGGAGAAGATGAAACAGACGAAGATGATAAGACACAGTCCGAGTAAGGAAACTAATTGGCGAGGACTCTGAATTATTATACTAACAAGCAGCCAAATAAAAAAAGCACAGACACAAACTACTTGCAACCAGAACAGAACTTTTTTCACTTTTTCAGATTTTTTGCATGCTTTCAAGTTGCATGTATTCTTCAGCAATCGAGATATTCTTTTAGAGCATACTTCCAAAAGAACAATGACAAGTACAACGACTGTTAATACAATCAAAGGTATCGCTTGTTGAATCCATAGACCATCGCACCAATGAAATAAGCACAATATCCTGCCAATAATAAGCCAAAAAAAACATGTCGTAAAATGGTTTTATTCATCTTTACAAAAGTGGTCGCTTCATTAACACCTTTTAGTAGCATTTGAGTGAAACAATTTCCTTTATTCTGCTCATCAATGGGTTCGGTGCTATTAGAAGAATCGAGTGGAGCCTTTTCCATGCTTTTGTCATCCATTTCTATCTCAACATCATCACTCCCTTCAGAAACTTTTCTCTTTTCATCACTTATAACTTCTCCATAACTTGGAATACTTCCGTCTCCTTTACCATCCATGCTAGATATTATATTGAATGACTTCAATGCTATAAATACAATAACAGGAATAATGACAAAATTCATAAAAAATTCAGTTTAACATAAACTTGGATAGGCCTAATAAAGTCACGGAATACAGTGGGGCACAGTTCTCCGATTCCAAGAGCAGCTCCACATTGAAAAACATCTATTATACAGGAAGGAAGGTGTTGTTTCACTATCAATATAAATTTAACTAATTGAAAAAAGAAACTTCGATTTTGTGCTTCTTTTTGACTTCGTTATACGATAATTTAATTGATGTCATGGATTCACAAAAATTTATAAAAAAATCAGTTCCGACTCCTATAAATCGAAACACATAATCTTGAAATCCTTTGATCTAATTATTGTATTTTTACGCACCATTATTTTGACAGGCATTGTCGAGACTATCGACATTGAACTGAATAAAAATGGTTCAGAAATATAGGGCAAAAGCGAAAAACAGATTAGCAAATTTCGAGAGACACGCCATTCTGTGTATGACTTTCTGTGACATAAACCCAGACATTCTCATGCATCGAGCTTCCTGCCTGATCGAAGCCCCTCGTTTCGAAGACGCACATGCTTTTTTTGATAGCCCCAAATCTGGACTCGGAGTAGTGTGCCAATTGAATGAGGCCAATATACTGATAAAGTGCCTCTGTAAGACCGATAAAATACAGAAATAATATAACATAGCCTAAATCATTACTTTGAAGATAATCAACATAATAATTTTGTAATTAAATCTATAAATTGAAGATTTGGATCCACATTACATCTGGACAATGAAGCAGTTCAGCAGTTGTTGTAAATCCCATATTTGACATCATCATTGATATATAGGTTCCAAATTTCATTCAATTTTTCTAATTTAAGCATGAAAAATACCGTAACATAAGATAAGAATTAGTTAACATCGATATTCTAGATATTACTGTATTAGGATAGGATTTACATATTTATCCCGGGGGAGAGGAAAGCCGATAAGACGGCTTATCCATATGACGAACCACGGCCTCTCGTCCGGTTACCATTCCAAGTCGGGTATGTGATTAGTTATATTGTTTGTTTTCGGAAGCATGGACTTGGTGGTGGAGGAAGCCGTAACCGACCAGCAGTTACGTGAACCACCCAACGACGACAAGGAGTCCAGCAATCCTCTCGCACATAACCATCCCTGCATGGGATTCGAACCTGCGAACCCACGCAGAGTAATTAGAGGTGTGGTGGCGAGCGTATTCCTAGCGCTTAGCCCGTTGAGCCACACCGCCGCGCACTACATAGGTACGAACGTACGGTACACACCTAACAGCTGAACAGTCTAACGTTACGTCTGTATTGCTATAAGTTCAGAAGTTAATCGTTTTCAAATATAAAATTTCTATCTACCGTAGATATTTGCATACCAAATTACGGTACTGATTTAAGTTCTCCTGAATACAGGAATATGGAATTACTTGATAATATTTGAATTTTCTCAGTGATAGGCTAGATAAGATAAGTTTATTTCGACTCCATAATCAGCAGAAAGGCGATAAAACGGTAGATAAAAACAAATAAATAAAAACTGATTATGAAATCAGGAGAGTAAACAAAACCTTGGATAAGGTTTAAAAAGTACAGAATAAAAGATGGAAAGTATTGCCAAAAAGAAGTGGTACGTGTTCACTCACATAAAACTACTGAATCAAACCATTCACACTCATAGGGCATTAATAAAATTCTGAAATTAGAAAAAAGAGAGAAGATTCAGATAAATTTTATGGTAACCAAAAAAATAAATAAATAAACACATAAAAAGAGAGAAAAAAGATAAGAAATGTAATAAATAACAAGAATTGTTTGCCACACCATTTTAATAATTTTGTAAAAATTTCCAAACAAGAGTGAACATTTTTTGCATTCGGCATTACTAGATACGGTACCTACATTCTCACAATGACAAATCACTGCATGTATAATAACAGCAATAATAAATCCAGGCATCTGGAACAAATAACTACTAATCCCATAACTGCATAAAAATTGAAAACAGAAGGGCAGAGATGAAACAAACCGAGACACAACAGTCAACATCACTCCCTAATTCTCAAAAAACAAAACCGCCTATATATTCTGTGAATTCAATCCAAACCTCCCGCGCCATATTTTCAACCGGTTTTCCAGGCGGGAAACAACGTGCGCGCCGCGATGAATGAGACACCCTTCTAGCAATGTACATCAGCTAGTGGCATAAAATAAAACTACCTGCCTTAGGTCAATCGAAAAGCCTTGTACCGGTACTTCTTCATCTACACTACATGACTCCAAAAATTGCATTACCTGTACATTTTTGGTGAATGTGATCAACACGTGCAGCCTAGATAAACAAATATGCTATCCTACTTTTTATAGCAACACGAACATACCTTCTTCTGTTTGAATTTTGATCACGAACGAAGGTTTTTCTTGTTATTCTAATGAGGTGTTCAAGCATGATCAGTTACTACTTTTCAGAATATGTATTTGGCCAGAGTTTACTTTTTTCCAACCAGTAAAAAACGAAATACATCCGATTCATATTGGGATCACAATCGCATATCACCCATGTTAACTAGTTTGGCGCATGCAATCCCCCGCCTCTTAATCCAAAACTATACCTTGAATAGGGTTGCCAACTATGGAAAGTCTCAATAAAGGACATAGATCACCGTCATCATTTATTTCGTAACTTGCAGGAAAGAACAATATAAAACAATAAAATACAAATTATATACAAGCTAAAAAGATATATTGAAAATCTTCATGTGTTTTTCATTTAGTGTATTGGCCCAATCTAGCTCTAATTTTGCAGTTGCTTAAGTTTATATTTCTCAAAGTTATCTTGTTCTGACTCTTTGCTGACTTCAGCAATTGTGGGTCACGTTTTGTTTTTTCCGAAAATTCACGACACGTGTCTTTCAAGTTGAAGTATATTGAAAGCTCACTATTCATTAGTTGTATGGAGCATCTGTTCCTTTCACTGCGCCATTTAGCTGACATCACACTAAAACTGCGTTCACAATAAGCTGAGGTTCCGGGAATAGAGGGCACAAATGAAACTATTTTGAAAACATTAACACACTTGAGATCGGCATTTACTGCTTGTTGTTTTGCATTCTGTGAACAGTTTAGTGCAGGGTCGGCCAACCTTTTTGGCCGACGGGCCACATTTTGTTCACTAGTAATTGCGCGGGCCACTTAACATGGTAATTATGTTCTAGTTTTGCTACACTGACTAAAAGTTAATGAAAAAACAAACAAAACCCTCGCACCAAACTTTCTCAATAAAAAGAACAATAAAAAAACAAAGATACAGTTAAGTCAACAAAGTTTTTCTACACGTAGATTTTTTAGTGTGAAGTTTGGCACTGTTTTTTGCTAACAAGTTTGTCAATATTCGCTGAAATGGACGATGTAGCAATGCGAAGCGAATTTTCCATATGAATGCTAGAAATTAGTGATCTCACAGGGGATTTGACATGGTTCATCTGTGAAAAAACTTGCTTGTACAAGTAGGCTAAGTGCTGACAAATAATGAGGTCATTAAAACTGCCGTTCTGCCCAAGTGTATAAGCGACTATTTATGTATCGATATCTTCCAGTTGGTTTCAATTCCAAATGGCGCACTCGTGGCTGGTTTGAAAGGGCTAGCAGAGCGCATTTCAGGAAAATGAACAAATTGTTTGTATCAAGACTTTATATTAACTACATCACTCGAGAAATAGAAGTTTTACTCATTTTTTTTTCATTTAATTCCGAAAATACAGCGCGGGCCACTCAAAACTCATCGGCGGACCGCATGTGGCCCGCGGGCCACGGGTTGGACGACCCTGGTTTAGTGCTTTGAATCGCGCCAAAAGTTTTTTGAATGCGTGCAACTTCATCAAATAGGTCATTCATATTCAAATTAAGTTTGTCTTTTAGCTTCAAATGCTCTACAATTTTTACAAGTGTCTGATATTTTGGAGAAAGATTATCCAAAAGAGATAATTTTGATAATTTTCCAAATGTTGAATTTTCATTAAAGTCAAATTTTTTTTTCTAAATACGTTATTGCAGAGTTGAGAAATAATCTAAAATCTTCAGTTGCCTCTCGAGCTTCAGCAGCACTCACAATTGCAAGAAGTTGGTGAACATCATACCCAAAAAATTCTTCATCAGATGTAGATTTTAACCTATTTCTTAATTTAGTAAGAATAATGAAAACATATGCTGTTGAAGTTTCATTTTTTTCCAGTTCTTGAACAGCTAATTTGTGAGAATATCAAATACATTTCAATAAGCTGAGGAACTTCTGTTGACTCATTGTCAATCCTAGGAAGTTTAAGTAATTGTTTGGAACATTCAGCTGGTCTGCTCAGGAAATAAGAACTTATAGGGCTTTCCAAGAAAGTAAGATTCTTTCGATGCATGGGTGCAGAGATAGCGACCTAGCAGGTACATGACGCAGAATTTTATGAAATTCCGTCTCTACAAATATATGAATGTCTATAAGAGTTTCTCGTCTTTTTGCTGACATTGAGACATGACTGTAAATTTTCAAGACAACATTCAAATTTCCTAAAGCAAATTTCAATGTATTGTGTACAATGTGTGCACTGCAGTTAGCCGTAATAATACTATCATTTAGTGTGCGAACATTAGTATAAAGAGAATGTTTTTCTCCAAAGTTGCAATTTGCGTTATCTGCACTCAACAAGAAACTCTTTTCCGATCAAGTTGTAAATTGTTCATAGCGTTTTTCAAACAAGTGAACATTCTATCCGCACTTTCATCTGCATTCTAGAAGAAATCAATAATATAAGTAACTGTGCCATGTTCCAAGCTAAACCATTTTCTTTGGCCATTTGAGCCGGACCAAAGCGAAATTAAAAAGAATAATAGGAAGCTTGAAATACATAAACGGAGACGATTTAAGAACGGAACAACATCAAACACAGTACTATAACTATCGGGCGAAACGATGCTGGAAAAAATAAAGGACAATTATCATCTTAAGAAGGACAAAAATCTCAAATAAAGGATTGTCCTTTGAAATAAAGGACGGTTGGCAACCCTAAGTCCTTGAAGCAGTTGAAATCCAGCACCACTCGTTAATGAGACGGCAGATTTGTAGATATTTCTACGTCCAGAGAAGCGAAAAACACCTCATGAAGTTTCACCGTGGCACCAGTCACCAGATATGAAATGTAACGGCGATTTTGGACTCGGGAGTACGATATAATTTTTAAATAGTCTTAGAGTATGTTTCATGCCAATGGTCCTCCAGATAAACTCTTTTCTGAAGCACAACTTACAATAAAATATACCACCAGCGCTGGCCTGAATGTAAAAAGAAATTCTAAATAAATCCTAAGAATGTCCGAATTCAATGACTCAGTCAATGCTAAATAACCAGCAACATCTTCATGTAATATCGCGTCCCTTTACTCGCAGTTGCAAGACCAAGGCGGTTGAATCCAGGACTGCACAAAAGTTTTGACTGATTTTAAATCGCTGCACTACAAAGACTATAAATTTCATAACTGTGTGCTAATTACAGTATATGGTTCCCCTGCGACAATGAGTGAATATATAGTGGCTAGCTTCTAACAAGAAATTGGGCGTTATACAAGTAAACAATTGAGTACCAAAGTAAAATTCAAGCAGATAAATTTCATGACATGCATTTTTCCAATTGAATAATGTTGCTACTTCTTGTGGTGAATGGTGCTTTCAAATTCCATTCCCTAAGAACTAAAAAACATACCATCATCTTTCAATACCGAGTGTGAAAGAAAATATACAACCCATCTTTATTACGATATGTATATATCAAATTACAACTGAAACAATCATATTATGCATATTAAATACATAAGAAACACAAAAACCAACCATCTATATTGCCGCTGGAAAATCAGCAGTGAACACCTCTAAAAATACTGCAGCACCATATATAAATAAGAAGCGTTGAGTTATGCAACTATTAAGTAAGGTTATAAAGGAAAAGAACCAGAATAATATAATGTTGATAAATTACTTAACTAATAAAGATATATCTAAACGATTGACTACATGAAGGATAATCTAGTCTAGAGAATTATAATCGCCAAGTTTGTGAATGATCTCAAGTGCTAATTGCTTTTGAAAAATATCTAATTTTAAAAAAGTACCTAAGTTCTGCACTGGGATGACTAAAACCGAATATTTCACTATTTCGAATATATCCTGGGAAAATATCTTCGACTATGGTATACATTCAAAATTGGGGCTAATTTATTGTGGAAAATTACATAAATATAAAAGTCATTAGTTTATCTGACCGCTTAAAATACCTAATTTTGAAATAAAAATACTGTCAATTATTCCTAAATATATATGAATTTTGAATGTAATCGAATATTAGATTCGCTTTGGACATCCCTGGATCAGCAGGTCAGATGGTTGACAACCTTACAAACCAGATACCGCTATCTAGTCACCGAACAAGAGGTTGTGGTCCACCATACCCTAAAGCCATCGACTTTTATATATTCTGAAAAGTCTTAAATTAATTAAAGAAGGATGATTATACTCAAGTGTACTTATGAGAAATGGGCAAAGAAAATCCTTTGGAGTGGTTGCTTTTGATCACAATAAAGTAAAGAATATGGCAACCGAAGACTTCCAGAAAATGATAAATTTCTGATATCTCTAAATGATTGTTTACTGGCGAAAAATCTGTTGAAATAGCTTGCAATTGTCTACATTAACCAAATTTATTATACCAAGCATGCTTAACAATAATACGTAAAAAGAAATCCTCAGAATTCTTGATCCATGGCTTTCAATAAAATTCCCATGGGAGTGGTCTTAAGGCCGACAGATTCCACTTTATTATTTACTTTGTTTTTTAAATTTCTCATCCGCAATGATGCATGAAGAAGAATACCTTTTATAAAAAAAAATATATAAATATACAAATGATTAATTACAGATCGAAGCAAGCCCAATGAAAGTTTTGAAATCAATCACTAAAAAAAACGGATATTCTACTAGAATATTTCACCTAAAAAATAATAAAAAGGATAAAAATATAAATTTGAACTTACAGAACATTGGTAATGCAATTCCAAATATGAACACGAGTACAGATCCCAACGCATACATCAGCATAGTAGAAACTGTGATAATCATCCCAATGACAACGCCAGGATATTTCCTTTTAAAATCTCGAATTTCAGCCCTGCTAAAAATGATCAGAAAAGCAATGTTTTATTTACAGAGCAATTTATCATTGTAGGTTATTGTTTAAACCAGTAGTTCTAAATCAATGGTAAATTTAACCATTCGAAAATATTCATTTTTTATACTACTAGTTTCATTTTTTGCATGTTATCAAACACTTTGTACATCTGTTATTATACTCTCATTGCAAGATACAGGTCAGCCTAGCCTACTTTTTTGTATAATATTGACGATGTGCCAAAATGGGCAGTTTGTACAATCGACTAAAAAGACTTGTTAAAGCAATGCAGTAAAATTACCTATTTGAAGCAACATACAGTGTCCCTGCAAATGTACCGCCCACCAAAATTCCACCGAGTATCATTTCGTATGGTCTGACATAACTGAAAGAATTTGAGTACAATTTAAGATACTAGGATACGAATTTCCCTTTTTTCAGGAGGAACGCCTAATATTACGGCAAACCACAACCTCTCGTCCGGTGCCCTGTCTATGTTAGGCATGGGATTAATTAGCCAGTTATTGTTTGTCTTCAGATGCATCAGCCATCAACTGAACAGTGGAGCAAGCAGTAACTAACCCTGCGTGGATAGGAATCTAGAAATCCTCTCCCACATATTCGAATCTGCGAACTCACACAAGGTAATCAAAGTGGCGGTAGCAAGCGTATTCTTAACGTCTAGCACGATGTGCCTCACTGCCGGGCAGAGCGTTGATGACAATAACATCTGCAATACCCTAGTACCCTATAACAGGGCTATTCAACTATTTTTACCGAAGATCCGCATACAGAACTTCAAAAATATTTGGGTCCGGTCTTTCCAGATATTATATTTCGGCATCTTTAAACACGCACTTCCTCGGTCGACTAATGATTATTAGCTAATCAAGATTGTTTATTATGGTGTTATAGTTCCTCCCCATATATATTTAAATTATAAAGTGATTTTATAAAAAGAAACTTCAAAAGTGGGGCTAATGATCCAAAATAAAGAATTAGACGCGGTTCGAATTGAATACCCGAAAGGTCCGGATTCGGACCGCGGTCCGCCAGTTGAGTAGCCCTGCCCTGTAATATCATGTTAATACTTCATACTGATAGTTATGGGAGAATCAAAATATATATACGATTTTACATGAAAGTGTTGGAAAGCCTGAAAAAATCAAAACATTTCGAGTTGTTAAATGTACAGTGTACACACATTCAAAGTCAAATTTTTATTCCTACTGATTAAAATAGAAAATTGATATTAGAAAAAAACAATAATATTGCTATTACCCAACGATCAAAAATATCACAAGTGCAGATATCATGTAGTTCGTTTGATAATACAATAAATTATTCACGATTCTGTAATTCCATTTTTCTTTATTCTGATAATCGGGAAGCCCAAACCTTGCAGACCCAAGAAGATAATCTTGAAAGGTACGAATAGGAGCAAACTGTACATCATTCCCTGCCATTTTGAGTTTTTATTTTTGTCTTAATTTAAGTAATAACCTGGAAAAATGACAAAAACTGTAACACAATTCACAAATTCCATTTAGAGAGAAATGCTTATAAACATGCACAAATTAGGGATGTCCACAGCCAACAGGAAGGGACTCTCAGAGTCTCAGGAAGTTTAAAAAAAAAACGTTTTTTCACTCAAAAATAAGCTCAAATGTTTTGAATTTTCGTACCACTTGGTTGAACATCCCTGAAAGAACAAACCAGATTAGCCCAAAGAAAATCAAATTTTCTAGAAAACTCAAAGTGAGCAACATAATTCTTGTTGTCACCCCAAAATCATGATAAAAGCCATTATGATTTGGTATACATGATGTACTTATAATGCAACTAGAAATTATTTTTATTGTCTGTATCTTTCCAAAATGACTGTTGAATAACATTTTTGAGCATTGCTTAAACTTCCGATTCTAAGGCAGGCAATCACCACCGGCAATCGAATGAGATTACTACCAGATATTTGCCAGGCTGTAATAAAAAAAGGGCCTGATGTATTAGATTACCGGTGGTTTGAGTATGTTCGAGTTTCTGGCAAAAACATATACAATTTCTTACAAAAAAATTCTAGCTTATAATAGTATCAAGCCAGTAGCATATATCATGCTAACACAAAATTCTCCACCACAATTTCCTAGCTATGTACAGAAAAACCACAAAAAATAATCAAAGCGTTATTGAAACAAGCTTCACAAGGCATTAATAATTTATGCATAAACCATTCCGACAGAAATCGAAACTACGAGAGTGTGAAAGAAATAACCTATTGATACCATGTTCATCTTTACATCAACAAATGACTATTAACGCAACATCTCATTAATAAATCGGTTTCTCACTATATACAACACCCAGAAAAACACTAATTTATTAGTACTAAAAATACTGTAACTGATACAGTAAATTTACTCCAAACTATCATCAATATGTATCAACAACTATATAGGCCTCAGCCAATCAGTCTTGCCTATAACTTGTAATGTTTGCAATATCAGTGAAGACTCAGACCTTGCATGGGCGTGAAAAATAGGTTTATTACATACCCACAAAGTACCCACATTTTGGCACCGCTTGAGAATAAGTACATATACCCAATAAAATCTACATAATTCAATGTGTCGCACAAACCAACATAATTTAATATTTCCACAGGGGAACTTGGTTATATAACACATAAAAATATTAAATAAATGTGTATCAGATCAGTTTGTTGAATTGAAGTGATACATATTCACTAAATAGGAATGCAATGCACAAGAACAGGACCACAATCAAAAACAATACACAAGTTCCTTACAATTAACATTGATCTGTAATGCATAACAGCAATCCACCATTTAAATGACATCAAAGCACTTGATTTCTGATCAAAAATGAATAGAAATACATCTGAATTTCCAGTTATATTGAAGGCTATGTGTCTCGCATGCTCATGACTTGATCTAATTGTAGCACACAATGGAATAGGACAAGGGCACATATCATTTCCATTTCCAGCCTTGCTTCCATTTATCGGCTTGACTTCCAGTATTTGCCGCCCGAGCTCGTGGTGGCATCATATCAAGAAGCAATTGGCGTTCTTCTGGCTTCAATGAACTGGTATTAAATGGAAAAGGCAGCGTTGTTGATGATCTTGATTGACTTTGAGGACGAAATCCCCCACTTGAACTACCAGAACTTGTGTTAGAGCGTTGTTGTTGGTACTCCTGTTGAGCTCTTTGAAGTATTTTCTGATGACGACGCAACTGTTCTTCTTGAAGTTTCTTCAATTGTGCTTGCTGTTGTTGCAGTTGTGTTGCCGCAGCTACAACAGCGGCAGTCAGGCTTTGATTGGTGACCTGGGCAGATTGACTGGCTTGAGTCTGTTGCATCTGCGCTTGTTGTTCCTGCATCCTCTGTTCAATTTCCTGTTCTTGCTGCAAAGCTTTGACGAAAGCAGTTTTCAGTCGATTGGTGTGTTCAGCCTTGAGTGCCTTTTTCTGATTAGTATTGACACAACTCAAGCATATAACTCATCAGGTTTATCTTTTACTGCTTCCAAAGTGGACTGAAATCTTTTTTGCACTGCATGCAAATATGCGGAACAGGAATGTTTTCTTCTCTCTCTTTTTCTTCCTTGCGCAAATTTTTATTTTGCAAATGTTGAATCTTATTGACGACTTGCTCCAAACCCATCAAGCATATAAACTCATTGCTTGCAGCACTTGGTAAGAATGTAATTTCAGGTGGAGGTGGTTTAGGCGGAGGAATTTCAAGAAGTGTTTTTTCAAGCTGTTTACGAAGAGCAAGCTTCGCAGCCGCCTGTTGTTGTTTATAAGACATTGCAGGAGCAATGGGTCGTTTTTGCTGCTGCTGTAAAGCTTTTTGCTGTTGTAATAAAAATTGCTGCATATTAGCTGCCAAGTCACCTTGTCCAAGAAGTAATGGATTATTGCCATGTGAGCCACGCAACAGATTTCCCGCTTGCATAAGCTGAGGCATTTGCATCATGGCCGCGAGCGCATTGCGATTTGCTTGTAATTGAGCACTGCTAGTTCCACTGCTACTACTACTAGAACTTGATGTTTTATATCCTTGCGATTTCTGCGATGAGATAGTGCTCGAAGATTTTTGCTTCGAAGAATAGTTTGTAGACACATTGGTGCTTCGTTGATTGCTTGACGAACTGTATTGAGAAGGTGTTGTGCTAGGTTTTGTGCTTGCGACATTTGTAGTCGACTGTTGATATTTTGAAAGTTGACTTTGCCGCAGTTTTTTTAGTAGTACCAACTTGGCTTCTTCTCTTCGAACAGAGTCACGAAGTTGTCGAATGCGACTCTCTTGCGTTTTATGCATTCTTGCAAGCTTTATCAATGTTTCTGTTTTGCTATTCTTTCCTGGACTAAGTCCAAGTTCATCATCGCTAACAACAATTACATCAGCATCTCCAGTATCAGCAATTATAATATCAGTGATACCATCAACGTCAGATTTTTTGACTACAACATTTTCTTTATCTTCATTTGGCTCCTTGGATTTGCTCAAGTCAACAATACTTTCTACGGATTTGTCAGTCATTTCAATATCAGTCATTTCTGGCTTCTTATTGTCTTCAACTTCCTTTTCTTTCTTCTCTAAGTTTGTAACTTCATCTAGTAATGGTTTTGCCTTCGCAACGGTAGATTCAGTTTCCAGCACTTTTTCAGTTTCTGGATTTGATTTTGCAATTTTTCTGATTCGTTATCATTTTTTCCAGTTTGGAAATATCAGAATCCAAGAATCCTTCCTCTGTATCAACAGTTTGATCCTGATTGTTATCCACATCCACTTCTTCTACTTTCATTCTTTTTGCGTCCTCTTCTGGATCACCAGAATTGCTATCATCCTCTAATTTTCGTTTCATAGATTCTGCCAATTTCTTTTCATCAGTTTTATTCTGCTCAACTTCTACTTCTGCATTTTTGTCTACATCATCTTGTTGCGAAGGTTTTTCTAAATCGTGTGTAACATCTTGAACTTCACGACTTTCTTCGAGCGGAATTGCCGGTTCAATTTGTGATTTTTGTTCCTTTTCTCCTGGGCCATCTATCCCTTTTTCAGGTTCCGACATGATGCCCGAAACTATGGGCAAAATGTCCAAATATCAGTATTAAAATCTCAATAATTTTAAATTAGAAGATGAATATTCTATAATTATCAAAATCATAACTTGATGGATGAACTATGACACTATATGTGGGAGGGAATGCAGGGGAGAAGACATGGTCTACATGGAAATAGATAAATCAACTTTTCCTAATATTAGAATCACCCTATATGAGCCCAATTCAAGTATTATCTCTAAAAATTCACTGGTTACCATTTATTTTTAACGAATACTGAATAGTCGAGTAAAGAATATTTTCAATATACAACAGGAGTCTGGAACATGCAGACATGGAAGGTCGATACTCCTATTGTAATTGTAAATAAATAAGAAACATTAAGTCTGTTAAGAAGTCTGTAACATAGCGTGTTTTTTCTCTGATGTACTTCATCGTAATCGCTGATTGTTTTGGCAATGCGGTCGTTTCGACGATCGACATACAGACATACCGATATTGACGGACAACAATGTCCAGACATCCCCCAAAGGAGGAGGGTTTATTCATCGGCAAAATGGGATTCTATGAAACAAGACAATGCCTCTCAATCTGAAAAGTGCGCCGTACTCTCATGGGACCTTAATTGTATTTTTCACTGAATCATCTCGAATGCTACAGTAAAATTTTTATATTTTGACTGTGATCTTACTTATCACTGAACTTATATATTATCCACACCGTCTTGAAGTAAAAATAGTAACATTATCGACATCGTAATTCAGATAATTATGAAGATGATAAATGAATTTTTTGTGTTTTTCTATGGTGTTCGTGTTATTTTTGTTTTAAATGGATAAGTCTGCAACTTGTGATTGTGTGAATCCTGAATGTTACTTTGATTTAAAATAGTGAATAAATAAATCAGCATTTCGACAGTCATGAGGCTAGATGACACTATATCTGTATATCAGTATATAGAGCACTTCTTGAATGATATTTACATTGAGGATTAACAATATTAAAACTAATTAATAGTTTAACTTATACTATAAGACAAGTTCAGGCAAAATCAGAGAGCAAACATCAGTCACAATACTGCAATAAGTTCCAAGTTAGGAATACAACATGCGGACATATTGACATAAACCAACACGACAGTCCGAGAGTAATAGACTATCAGAATATTGGGGTTGGACCTAATAAAATTATGAATAAAATAAACCTTAAATTTATTCCTGTAAGTTACGGTTATTGCTGTATTGTGGTAGAGGTACTTACGGTAGGTATTGTTAAGCTCTATTAAGATTTTGTCTAAACAGACACAACATATATATTTGGATAGAGATACCGTAATCACCATAGCCGAAGCTGGGAAATATTCACTCACAACCTCTTGAACGTGCACAACCTAAACTTCTGATTCACGGCCCCTGGATTTGCTCTTCAATTCGATATGGCAAAAGACAAACAAATGGCAATCGGAAGGGTTTTTACATGAAAAAGGGCCATCATGCAGCTCTCGGGCGCCGCATATTGAATAAAAGAATATTGAACTCAAATCGTTTCAATCAACAAAAACATTATCAAATTAGATAAAAAAAAATGAAATTTAGTTAAGTCAATAATCGCGTCAAAAACGTAAATGAATACCAGTACCTCCAAACCAACACCACACATAAACCCTTTTCTTCATCGCGGAAAATCCCATTCAAATCATCATGGCTTTGTGCCTCGAAACGGCTCGATGACCTTCAACGGTCCTGCATAATGGCCAACACAAAAACAATGCGTAAATTGGATAATTCTATAAAATTATGAATATTGTTTTTCATTGTTTGCGGAAATAAAATCTCTCTCTCTTTCTTGGCAGTCCCGCCAGTGGTCTGAGTTTGCAGGTTTGTTTAGTTAGGTTGGAAATAAGGTTTGAATAGCATCCAAGATTCCTGGGCAAACTCCGACTCTGAAACAGTTTATCCATAGACAGAAGATTCTGAATCTTCATGACACGTGACACTGTCCGGGTTATTTACAAAATAAAAGATCTTAGAGATCGACAGTATATGGCACACCAATGACATTAAACAACATGATAGGCAACTCTGACGTCACTCCATAAGACTACAGGCGAAAGATTGTATTTCATGATACGCTCCAATGCACATATTTCCTGTAACGAAAGAAAATAATCTTTATATCTAAGAAGTTTTGCTCACTTGGAAAGCTGGAATGGCAGGCAAGCTGTAAAGAGCAATTCTGGACATCATAGACGTTTTTTTTTATCAGAGAAGATTACAAACGCGATAGCGGAAAGATTTGAGTGGAACATTTTGCAGATATTGACAAAGTTCAAAGTTAGTAATTTTAATGTTTGCGCTTAAACATCGAAATTTCATTCAAAGAGGGTGTCATACAAAACAGCAAAAATGTTTTTACTTCTCTTAACGGTGCTGTGATACAATTCCATAACACAAAGTTTGCCCCTATCGAACTTGCTTTTGTAGGTGAATTTATTAGACATATTACATATTCAGTTAATGGTATGGTAACATTGCTGGTACATAATGCATCGTAGATAGGTTTGTTTAAATTTAGCTCATAGCCCACTAATTAATATTATCGTCTATGCAGGAGATTGCAGGGTTGAATTCACTTGCAGCCTTACCGATCACCTTGACGATGCTCATTTAGTTTGGCTCGAGCAGTCTTCTTGAAATGCTTGTGTGGATGGAAACTACCTATATGTTTTGCCTTCCTCCGAATTTAGACAAATTTATTCTGAGGGATTTCGAATATAATTCTCATTGATTGTTGGCTGTTTATAATTCCTATTAATTGTGAATTCTGATTATAACAAAGACTTAAAAAAAATTTTTACCTAATTTATTGGCACCTTTTTCTTGTCCATACTCCAAGCAGAGGTAATAAACAAGACAATACATTTATGTCACCTGGAAGCAAAATATGAACACTAATTAATAGTTTGACACATTGAGATAATAAATCATGACAGAAAATACAAGTTAAAGATATGTATGACCATCACATGGTAATTAAAATTAAAAAAAAATTAATAGGGGCTGTGGAGTATAAAAAGTTCAAGACAAAGAAAAGAACAAATATTCATAGCTCATAAACTCTCAATTTTGCCTCCAATGCTTTGTGGAGCCCAATATATTTCGAGTGGCTGAATCGGTTTATCTTTATGATAGCACCGATTTTGTATTTAATATAGCGAGATTTTCTCAATTTTATTGAAGTGATATTATTTCCCAAAGCAATGCTTAAATCGTCTAGAATAGATCAGTGGTGTCAAACTCATGGGTTTTCGAGAGCCGCATTGCATTTTGGAAATTGTAAAAAGGGCCGCAAACAGTTTTTGATAATGTATACTTTGAAAGATATTTTTAAGATAGTTTTAGTTTGTGACATATATTGTGATGCAACTAAACAGTTGGATTAAGTTTTATTATTTTATTCAATTTCAAATGCAACTACATATTAATATTTGCATTCCATTATTATTGCAACATTTGCAAGTTACTGTATTTATTATAAAAAATCATAAAATTCTATGTACAACCATCAAAATCATTTTTGAACAAGCTTTGGACAAGGAAAGAATAATACATACACTAAAAATGACTTAATCTAAATATATGAATCTAATATTAACTAAAATACTACAGTATAAACTTAATGTTTTTTTTAATTACATTTGTCCTGACGTTTGGCATCTTTTTTTGTGTCACCAGCATACTAAGGCCAGACTGAAATGATTATATAATACCAACTCTAACTAACGAGGTCACATGATCATGGGTTAATCTGGATCTTTGCGAATATTTAATTAATTCCAGTAATGCAAAAAAGTTACTTTTATCATTTCATATATAGATCAGTAAAAAACAAATGACAGATTTTTTCGACAAGACATTTCGCACCACATTGCGTGGCATTAGATTGCTTGAATTATTATTGATATTGATTTTTAGTAACTAAGTCGTTGTATAATTATATTAATACATAAACACATGTAAATTTTCTGTTCAAAGTTGGTCTTCGAATTTGTCATATTGACTGCTGAGCTTATTGTGTTTTTTCATTGTATTGATGGAAATATGACAAATTAAACAATGTGCTTTAGAATTTTGTGAAATGCAGAAATATTGCAACTCCCATTTTCTTCGAAAATGCCACCTTCTTCATGTACTTTGCGTTTAATTTAATCACTTAAGTGTTTTATTCAAGTATTCTTTTGCTAGCTTGATGTGTATTCTTAATTAGGTCAAAATGTGGACGAAAAAAAATTAATATTCCAAAACTACTTTCAGTAAATTGTTTTCTGTGTGAATAATCAATTTCACTTTAAAAGGTTTGAAAAATCTATTACATTTAGATAAAAAAAACTTCCAAAATACTATTACAATTATTGTTAAGCGTTCGAGGGCCGCACTGGAAGTTCTCTGGGGCCGCGAGTTTGACATCCTTGGTCTAGAATGAAGTTGTCCAAAATATATATAACAGTATTTTATCATGAATGATGATTATACTCCTTCCGGAATTTCTTCTATAGTACTACCAAAAGTTGATGAACCAAATATAATACAGGTGCAGTGAGTTACCCGCAATCCTCATTTTCCAAAGCTGTTTTAAGTATGTCTTGCGTGTTTTGTGCATTTTTACAAATAAGACCGCTTATGCAATCTTACGCTTTGGAATTTTTAGTTCTTTTCCTCAAGCCCTGCAGGATGTGGGGGCCATACACAACTCTACCGAAGGGTCAAATGTCTTTGCATGCCTCCATAAGTTGTTTTTCTATTGCAAACATTCATGGAGTACTCTAATTATATTTCTTGGAATCACACTGTCACTGATATGTCGCCAGACTTCTGATATCTCCCCTTCTGCTATAATTGTCCTGTGACTAAATAATAGGAAATGGAGATTAGACGAATCGTTGAAAGTTTTGCTTTATGTCGGCTTAATTTCTTGATTGATATACTTACTATTTTTGCTATTGCCTCTTGTGCTGCAGGGGTCTCACAATGCTCAGACAGGTTTGTCCACAACTTTCACATCTGAAGAAAGAGAGGAGATTTATTAATTTTCGCGTTAAGAACAACTAAGGCAGTCTATATGATTTAGAATGGAAAAGCTAATAAATCCAATATCTCATATTTTATGAAAAAATGTTTTACTGAATTTGGTATAAAACTAATAAAAGGGTTTAGTCAGAAAATTACAAGCATTCGTGGCTCCAAATACTTGAGAGATCAGACTATACAATATAGACCGATATGAGTGAAATGTTAGGTGAACTTGTTAACACTTTGATTCAATACGCAAATAAAAGTGAATGCGCAATAGTATGTTACAATGAGCAGCAATCAGCAATGACTATATATCCTCACTGATTAAAAAAATCTAAACGGAGGTGCATGAACTATTTGACCATAAGGGGTAAGTAAATATGCAATTTCGGCAAATGGGCAACTGAACGGACCGTACTGAATTAATAACTTCGTAGTATTTGACAAAGGCTGGCTTTCCCACATGTACTTAACAGTGCGATGCCCGGGTGTGATATACAACAATAGTATTTACCTTACCCTTTTACCTCAACTTTCCAAAATATCATTGAAATCGACAACAACTGTCAAAGCAGGCACGAACACCATTCGTTCTATGCCTTGAAAGCAGCACACATCCGCTCGTTTTCGTCTGGTCAAGTATGTGCATTGGAGCGTGCTATCGGATACGATCTTCGGCCAAAAATGCCGGAGTTGTCATTGGGCACACTGGGCAACGATAGAGTTCAAACAGAATAAATCAGAGACTAACCAGGACTCGATAGAGTTACTCCTGACCAGAGGGAGACGGACACTAAAAAATGGTAGCACAATATTTAAAGACCAAAAATGGGTGATAATGTGCAGCGCACAAGAGCGGAAATACAGAGAAGGAAACTTTCATTGAAATCAGAAAAACGAATGAGAAAATTACTGTTATCAAACTCTGAGCCAGCTCAGGAGAATAAAACGGAACTTGCAATTAATTTGACGGGTGAGAAAGAAATGTCAACTCCAAATACTTTACTACAATTTAATGATCTAATGCCAATCAATGAAGCCCACACCACAAAATAAAAAACAAACAATCATCCAACCTCAATCATCTATTCACCAGATGGTGTCCTAGTCTCTTTGTGCCAATATTATTGTGTATTTTACTGTTGAAACCTTTCAACAGCAAACATGCTACTATACATTTCTTAGTAATATTGGCATTGGACAAGCTTGTTGTCAACGGCCAGAATGCATTTGTATTGAAAATTTACACTGTGTTAGAAAATTTGTTTCATACTTTTACCACGTTTTGTTTTTTATTTTTAATGATTCAGAGGTTAATTGGGAACACTTAACATATTGCCTTTTATGCTGTTAATTTGCTGCAAGCCACTGAATAATATAAGTTTCGGACATTTGGTCCCAAACAGTTGAAAATCTGTCTTTCAGACCAAAGGTAATAAATACTTTTGCCCTTGCACCAATCTGCCAATGGTATCCCAATGCATGACCTTCGACCAATGCAGTATGTATAAACTATCACGCTTACAGATTGATTAGTATTTCTTCTGCATGAAAATTTTGCTGTATCTTACTCACCTAAACTGCCTGAGATTAGATACGCCACGTCCTAAATTATATTGTTAAGTGTAGCACGAACCCATTTATTGCATCTGGCCTAAGTTGAACTAGTGAGTTCACTTTGTCTACAAATATGCAATCAAGACTAGTCGTCGTACTGAAGGAATTTAGTGGCATTGATTTGATATATTGTATTTTGCAATCACAGTGGTTTTCAACTTTGTTACTTTTATATTTGCTTTATTTCAGGAAGACATACCAGAGATATTGAATGAAATTCAGAAATCAGCACAAAGACACACCTCGGGAATTCAGATAATGGATATTCTTTTTATGTAAATTTTTTATTTATGCTAAAATTACTTCAACCATATTTGGTATTTATATATCACGATTATATTTGATGTGAATTTCAAATAGAATTCTAGATGATAGATGTATTTCAACACCTCAAACTCTCGAAATAAAGCCCAACATATAAGAAATACCACAAAAGAGATGACATTAAAGTGATAACAGATTGCAACATCACGCAAAGAATTAAAAATTCTCTTCCGATCCCACTTTTGAATATCGTGGGACCAACCTAGACTAGAATACTCAGTCAGATTTGGCCTTTTCCATCAACCCTGTCTATTCATCTTAATCGATTAACCGGTAAATTATTAATTACCTTTGCAAAAGTCCATGGTTTATCAGACCATGTTTCTCTTTACAAACATAAATATGAAAAAACATATCGTAGAAATAAATGAATTAGGTAAAGTCTTCTTACTTTAAACACACAAACGTCAGTTTTTATGCTGGGACAACAGGCACAATAGCTTGTGCATTCAATCCAAGGGGATTTCAAATAGTGTAATTGTGAAGTAAATTCTTTTAATTTTTTTCATTATCTTTTTCAACTCAGTGCCAAGTTTTTGATTAATGTTTAAGTAGATTTTTTGCAAACTGAATCGCAATTCCTGATCATTAATGTTTACTTTTATGCATTTTAAAGTAAGCATGTGAGCCTAGGGGATAAAGACATCTTTGTCCGATTTTTCTTCAAAATACTAAAAAAAATCACCCATGTTCGCCAAACACGGTTCAGCGGATAATTGAACTGCAGCTCACAAATTACATTATTATTATAGCACTGCGGTGTGGCGAATAAACCCGCTCGCCACCGCACCTCTGATTATGCGTTTTCGAATAAGAAACAATAACACATTTATGATAAATACAATATGTAAAATATTGAATCATATTTTAGTTATGTTTAACACAATCCTGTTAATATTCGCGGCACACCATTTGGGAACCGCTGTTTTAGACAATTTTTGCGGTCAAGTGTAGCTTGCTGACGTGCTGTTCGGTTTGCTATCTTTTCGTCAAAACTTTGTCTTCCGAGGGGTTTCAGCAGCAATCAAAATAAATTCCGATCAGTAGGCCTACTCTTAAATAGTAGGTAGGTGATTAATATAAATAAAAAGAATGGTTTACTTTAACCCAAAAGGACTTTGGGTTATAGTCACTTTGGTTTAACACAGTCTGTTAGCGCCAACTTGTGATAACAATCTCAAAATGAGCATCAAAAATTTTGCAATGATAGAGTGTAAACAGATTTTTGAGGATCAAGAAGACATTCCTTGACCATGCAGACAATTAGGAATTATATGAAATACCTAAAAAAAAAACAGTTAGAAGGATATTCATCTTTTTAAGCAGTTTTTATAACTTATCCATTTATAAGCTTATTTATTCACTGAACTAAACTTTAGCTCAGTGCTCTTCAACCGGGTATACGATATACCCAAGTGTATACCGGACCATGAGTTGGGTATACAACTGATAAAGGGTAAACGAAGGGTGTACACCCGACATGAGCACATTGTTACATCACAAATTGTATAGATAATGCGGTCACGTGTCGGTGATTTCGGCTGCCATGCACTTCGTTTGATTTACGTTATACATTATTGCCATTGACGTCAAGGACGTCAGTCAAATTTTTAACTTGCGAACACTAGCCTATTAGATTGCATGATGATATTGCAGTACAATATGTGCTTAAAATTTAATGTTTATTCGAGCCATAAATAAACATTGGTATTTGTAGGGTATACAAAGCTCTTGAAATATTGTAAAAAGGTATACCGCGATAAAAAAAAAAAGGTTGAAGAACACTGCGTTAGCTATTACAGAAAAACCCCATGTAACGTAATGATCCCATTTCGAGAATCTATTTGTAACTGTATTTGAACGAGTGAAAGAGAATGGCAGAAAACGACGAAACTGACGCAAAATATATAAATTGCCATTCAAAAAACGACAAATATGTATTTTTTAAAATCGACTCGGAAAAAACAAGAGTGAAATATAAAACCCTGCTAAATTGAATCTATGTAATAAATGTCTCTGGTCCGTCATCAAATCTTAGAATGTATTGTTGACTAAATACCATCAATCCACCAGCGAACACCACTAAGAATAATAAAATAAAGTCAATAATATAAATGTACACGAGCAAGTAATTTGAGCTGAACGTGCAATACAATGTAGTTAACTTGATCAGTCCAAAAATAGCTAAGACTCCAATGCAGACGTAAATAATTTTGTTCACTTTTCCACGCTTTTTTTGTGCAATTCTGCATGAAATTACAGCTGAAATATAAACAACAACTATTATATCGAGTTGATATATATATATTTATATGTATCATGCATTGCTGATAATGAGATTTATTTTTTTCGAGACACAGATATGACCTTAAGTGGTCAGTTAAAATAATAAAGGTTTCATCAAATAATATTGTAAGAAATTAAATTTTTCATTATTGTGAATTTATGTTATTTAACAAATAACGTGGAACATTGTTTTCTTGATTTGAATGGATTGTACGCGATTAACAAAATGTGCCAGTAATAGCCCTTTTCATTGAACTGCAAACAGTTTTCATAACTCAGAGTCGGGTTCGTAATCGAGGATAAATTAATCCGCCTTGGGGGTAAGTATTGGAGGCAAGAAATTCACATTTTTTATTTTACCGACTACAAAAATAGGCTCAACGATTTCATTGCATCATTTGCGGTGGTGATAACATAAAAAAGAAAAGGAGAAATAATTTCTCTTTTGGAATTTGGCATGGTGTAAACTTCAAGGTTATGAAATTCTGCTTTGGATTGTCAGTCAGTCAGTAGTTTATTACTTTATTATTATTTTAATCGGTAAGTATGTTGATAGGTATCTGTCTGTCTGTTTGTCTGTTAGATGCACGCGATATCTCACGAATGCGAGATTGGATCTGCTGCAGATTTTGCATGTGCATTCATCATATCTCGTACCAGAAGCCCTTGATTTTGGGCAATTATGTTGTTTTGGGGAACCCTAACTTTCGATCGATAAGTCTCCGGTCTCTGACTGATATTCTCGCTTTATCTGTCGAACATATTGGATTTAGGATTAACATATTTATACCGAAGGAGAGGAAAACCGATAAGCTGGGTTAAGCATATGGCGGGCCATGGCCTTTTGTCCGGTTACTAGTTCATGTCAGATATGGGATTAGTTTGACGGGTATTTGTATTCAGATGCAGCATGAGACGTCAATTATTTGGCTGTAACTTGCGTTTTAACATTAAGCTCAATGTATTAATACAATGAGACCTACCTGCTATCGTAACAACTGTGATAAAAGCGTTCGCTGTTATCGTCCAATCTTCGTAGTCCTTATAAAGATGAAAATCTTTCCAATTCTTCATAATTTGTAATCGAAGGTTCAGGAGGCACATCAGAATAGCCCCCACAAAAATGATTTCGAATTGAGAAACCCAAGCTGTTTCTTGAGGTATGGTTCTATTGCCTATGTTAATTATCGTTACATTTTTGTTCCTGCTATTTTTTCTTAGCATTTTTCTAGAAGGTAAAAAATTGAAGTGTTGTGACCAAATAGAATACGACTTTTCATATTTTCCAGGCCTCTCTCTTTCGGTTAACTACTCCCTTTCGAAAATAGTCTGAACGAACGGGCCTTGATTGGTGGTAGGCCCCGTGACCCTACAACATCATCACGCGATAATAAATAAAGCACAACCGGTGTTAGCAAAACGGTATAATTTGCCAATTATATAGTTTTGCTAACACCGGTTGTGCTTTATTTACTATCGATTTGAATACACCTGTTGGCAATCACGCGCTATCAGGCGGCGACGGAGAAGTCTTGCAGACAGTGCCGGTAACCAACAGGGCCGTGCATTTTTATATGTGTGAACAAAGCCATGCCAGTCATATAAGTCTGGTATATCAGTGACGTAATAGTATAACCATATCTTACACTCTATTGTGAAGTCATTATTACATAAAATGCAACTGTTCAAGTTGTTGGATACGAAATAGACTTATCGTTCGTTTTGTTGTTAACTTTGTTGCAGTTATCGTTTTTGTTGTTGTGAGAAACGTTTTTCTCCCCGAATACTAATATAATGAACTAGCCATTTCAAATTGTCACTACTCATAGAGTCGTTAAAACGCTATTACGAGTGCTTCAAATTTCGTCCGAGTCATATTTCATATTGGACCCGTTATTTTATTCAATATTTTGCTGTTTTATTAGTTAGAAGAGAACATTTTCAAGCTCTTCAGCAAACTCAAGTGTTTTAAACTAAAACTTCATATCCAAATATCTGATCGCTACTCGTTTGTTTAAGACAATGTCAACAAATATATATATATATATATGCAAAATTTATTCGCCTGTTCGTAGAGACGAAAATCTATAAGATTGGTATTTTCGCAATACTTCCACGACTTATAAAATATGTTGATTCATTTTTGAACTTATTTTGCATTATCACGATCCCAACACAACAGTTATCGTTATCGTCAACAGTTAGAGTTATCGTAGCCACAGACAGAGCGAGTCAATAAGGGCGATTTATGAATAAATTGAACACCGAGCCATGGCCGTCGTAGAGTGTCTTGCTAGTGTAGGAAATCAAGCCAATAGAGTGCATTCAAATCCTATGAGATGTTCGTATATATTCAATACGAACAGGTAATAACAAACCTATAAAAAATTAGAATTGACGTCAATTAGAACACGTAATTGAATGAAAAATATTATTTTGTATTTGAGATAGCTAAAATAGGGCAAGCTATCACATTTATCTTGTATAGTAGGTCGGGGTAGTTCGGACACCCGGGGTATGATGGTCAGTCAAAATAAAATCCTCCTACTAGCGACATCTCGCGCTTTTTCGTCGCTCAAAACGCATCGCGTGAAAGAGCGACATCATGCGAACAACGACAGAACCAAGATTTTACATTTCAGGCTCGACAACTTACAAGGCGGTGCTTTTTGGGGAAGGGGTGTTTCTGCTGGGACAGAAAAACGTCAAATTATAGAGTCCCATGGTGGCGAAGAATAATTTTAGCCGGAAAAGTCTGCGAACTCGGTTCTATTTTGTTTATTTGTTGAAAGTAGTTGCATTAGATCGAATAAATTCTTAAGCAAACTGTCAGTACTCATTTTTGGGCTGGCAGGGTCACTTAAGAGGTAGGTTGAATTTTGAGTGGGGGAGGGGAGAGGATTTTTTTCAATATAGTCTGTTGGGAATGTCAATGGGCCGTCGTCATCGAAACTTATAAATAATTATTTTTTGGTACTAAGTACCCTTTTACAACAAAGATCAAAAGCACACCCATCGCCATATTTATATTGGATCTCTTAGAAGTTAAGCCCGGCGTAAAATTTCATCTTACCCCGTCAAATTATTTTTTTCATATGCGTATAAAATACGCCCAAGGTTATGCCAAGAAATTACAAAATAAATACTTCTAGATGTAGTCCGTGTAAAGAAGATAGAAAAATTGCAGTTGAAAAAGCGCAAACTAAATTTTAAATTTCTAGTTTTCCTAAAACTGTTCAAACTCTTTTGAAAATTGCCCTGTTATGTCCTTTATGGGGTAAGACGGACATACTTTTTAATATGCAAGAAAAGTGATCTGTTTAAAAAAAATTTAAGAGACATAATCCTGGGCCATCTAGGCGTTGATCGAAGTCTTATGACCAAAATCTTAGACACCATCAAGTTAATTTTGGTGTGTGTCCGTCTTTCCCACAAAGAGTCTAACTTACCCCGATATTTTTTTAGCTGAAAATCGGGCGTAAATTCCGATTCGTTGCTATGGCAACAATGTGCAAATGTGGCAAGATAGCTGAAGGGTGGGTGCATGAATCAATCGTAGAACGAATGCAGCTGCGACATTATTTGAAGAGTTATTCAAAATAACTTATTAGTGGGTCCGACTTCCCCCGACCTACTATATAAAGGTTGTTGCGTTGTTTTTATACACATGTGGGTTACATTTAATTATTAAATGTCTATGATCTGAATGTCCCGTTATATCTTTGGTCGCAACTTCATGACGGTTTTTTTCATCGAGTACTGCCCGTTGTGGGGCCATTTTTCCCACTCTACTCCATTCTCAGAACCGCTATATGCTCCACCCACGTGGTATTGTCCATTCAAATTGGAATGATCACAAGCATTAAACCACCATCCACCACCGTGAACTGAAGCGCAATTACTCGAATGTTGATCATTGTCCTGATCCGGAGTTGAAAATTTGTTCTTATTATGGTACGACAAGCTGTCACCTGCTGTTCCCGAAAAACCACCGACAGACAGGCGATATTTTGTTTCAGCACTCCCAAGAGCGAAAGATCTATAAAGCAAGCGTTGAGGATGTTAAAAAATAAAAATATTAAATGTGTAAAAATTTAATGAATATTTAATTAGCTATTCTAAAAAAACAATCCGCTAACGTGCAAATATAAGGCAGGCATAGATCGAATGAACAGTCGTGTCTAAGATATTTGGCCTGTAAGCGGTAACATCTGGTTGGATTTATGTTCGATATTGACAATCATCTAAGAATTAGCAAAAAACGAAAAATATAGATAGATTTGTCATATATTACGCAGACAACTGCTTTTCGGGCTTTCTGACTGGTTTTATCAGCAAGAAGTAATGGGAATGACTTACCCATATTCGGCATATCTAGTTTGTCCGGCCCAGTCGGTCAACTCTATTTTTAAAACGTAATTTGCAGTTTGTGTTAATTTGCGAATGGCTTCCAGACCTTCAGGAGCAACAAAGTAAATTAAAAAAACTCTGTCTTCGCCAATTTTATTATTTTAATTGAGATATATATATATAATTTAGATTTCTGAGATCCTGAAATCCGAAATTACAAGACTATGATAAATTTGCAAAAACGCTATATTCCGACCCAAATATCTTCATGTGTACAACTAACTATTTATTCTTTTGCTCGTGTGATAATATCATGTTGAGTTGTTAAAAATAATTTAAATCTTCTACCTAACCAGAATTCTCCACTTCTATTTCCAAATCCTGCGACATAGTCCGCCCAATTCCTATTGAAATCTACCGAACCGTCTTGTCTTCTTTGAATTACCTAAAAATTGGTTGTTATTGAAATTTATCAGAATATTTTTATCTGACTTTATGCCGAAAATCAATGGGTTACGTGATAGATCAAATTATTTCATAATATTTTTAATGACTTTCACTCTCTCCGATTGAAGAGGAGCAACTTGTATAGATTTTAAATATATATATATTATATATATAATTTAAAACGTTCACTCCCGCCGTTTTGAAAGTGTGAAGAGGAGTAATATGCTACCATACATTAGGTATTCAGCATTACGGTATCTATTACAATTACTATATACAGATATGCTATAATATATAGGCCGAGAAAATTTGAATATGTCCTCACCGTCCACTTGTTACCATCAGTGGAAATATCGCAATAAACTTCGTACTTGTTTATATTAGGAAAGATATCAACAACTCCACCATTGTTGTTCCAAGTTTTTGCCTCTTCATTTGACACCTCGCTGCAGTCGTGGTGCAGGTGCTTGTCTAGCTCTGTTACATTGTAAAATAGATGTTCCATGTTATATATTTTGTCAAAAATCCGATATAATAATCAAAAAGCAGATACGAATTTTCAAATAAAACTATAATTTGAAATATAAACAAACCATATTTAAATTCTTCTTTTGCAACTTTTTCATTTAGCATTGCGTCATATTTTGATAATTTTGCATCAATTCGATCTTCTATCTCTGGAGTTATGAAATATATTTATGTAAAAACTTGGCATCCGAAGGAGAAATACCGTATATTGGGTTGACAAAAGTTTTGTCTTCAAAGGAATCTCGTTCCCAACTTCAGCAATCAACTGCGTGATAATTAGAATTTAATTAAAATACCAAACAAACGCAAACAAAAATCAGTCATATCTTTTTTACACAAGTTAGACAAAGTTATAAGATCACCTCGATACTTTTTTTCTATTTTCTCTTCAATGGCAGTGTAGTTTACCACAGCAGGATGTCCTCGATCACCCTTTGTGCCTTGCGGTCCTGCTTTTCCGACCCTTGGTAGCTGAAACGAAGGTTCTATTTGGTCTGTACTTTGTTGGAAGCAAAACTGATTGACTTGTGAACAAAATTCACCTGCTGTCCGACAAATATTGCCATTTACTACGGCAAATATCCCCCAAAGGATCGCCGCAAACCGAAGTAGCATAATGACGCAGTATGTTTCTGTAGAGATTTATATTTTCCTGAACCTCATAGAAATATTACAATTGATAAGAAATAAAGCGTATCCGCGTAGATAGAAATCATCAGGATTTTTGGAATTAAAAGATAAATAAAATAATCAAATATGAATCCTCACCGAACCCACTCACAATTAGTATATATATATATATATACGTTATAAATATGTACCGTATTTTAGTATTTTACAGGCCATAAGTCGCACTTCAAATCCTTTTTTTATTTTCAAAAATCATGCGCCTTATAATCCAGTCTGTCTAACTAATGTATGGTCTGGCAATTCTCAACGTTTCCACGGTCTTGTCAGCCGAATTTTAATTAGGACAACTTTTAAACTAAACGTGCAGATTTAAGTTAATTTAAGACATCCGGTTACTTCGAAAATGAAAATGAGGATCAATCGATTTTAAACTTTTTCATGACCTCGTCAGCCAAATTTAATACAACGTTCAAACTAAACGTGCAGATTTGAGTTCAAAATGAAAAAGATTTTTGTAACAACACCGACAGTTTTATTATTATTTTCTACTGTTCTGAATTTGGCGATTCCAATGAAGACGAATAAGATCTTCAAATTAATCTATCGGAAAAATAAATCTAAAATCTACCTATTTTATTGAATAATATAAATCAAAAATTCATCGAATCGGTCGGGATAATCATGAGCGCAACAGACAGTTTCTTTGGTATCACTTGTCACGAATCATTGTTGTGTCGCTGATTACGGCCCGTTGTGGGGCCATTTTCCCCACTCTGCTTAAATCTCAGGACCGCTTTATTCTCCTCTTACGTGGTACTGCCCATTCAAATTGGAAAGGTCACAGGCGTTAAAGCACCATCCGCCACCGTGACTTATCTGAGCAACGCTATTGCCTACTCGGAAAATGTTGCTGGTTTTACTATAAATCACTGGCTAAAGATCGGCAAAAACTCCTCGTGGACCGCACGTATAAATAAATTTCGATACAATTTGCAGCTTCATTTAACGTAGACGAAACTGTTTAACAGTAATCATGGCAAACGATTCTATCAACTCTATTTTGTTACCCGGACGCTATAATGTACATTGATAATGTAATGAATGAGAAATATAGTACCTTGGTATAAGGCTTTATTCAACTTAAATTTGAAAGCACTCTTAGAATGAATCTAAAGTAAAATATAACACAAGTAAATGTTATTAAACAAGAAAACAAATACGTATCGAATTGCTGATTCTAACAGCAAGCGGCTCAATAGTTAAACGAATAAAGTTGAAAGAATTAACACACTACATCTACAGCACAGCAATGATTGGTGTCTGATTTAAAACGCCACAGCAATCATCGCTTGACTGCAGCTGTATAAACAGATAGATACATTGAGTTGCATTTCCAAGTTATCACAGATAACAGCACCCATGCAATTTTAAAAACTTTTTCTAAATGATTCTTGCCAATGAAATCATGTTTGTAATTTCTGGCGCAAGTTTTTGCTAACTTCAATGAATTGATATTGCTTTCTTAATAGCTCTTGTCGGCACGATTTTTTGTTTGCAACATTATAAATACCGTTTTTGCTCGTTTTATAGCCCGGGCCCATATTTTTTTCAACCAACTCACTAACCGGGCCCTTTTTCAAACCGGCCCTTATTCAAGCATGGGCGCTTGTTATTTTCGATCGTTACAATAAATAATAGATTGTTATTTTCAGTTCTCAAGTATGATTTAAACGAGAATAACAAGAAGTTTGACTTTTCCACGCAACGCACGTACAAATCCGCAAAAGAAGAAAAGTTTTGCGACGCCCTATCAATGTTGAAACGACACAATTGGGCGTCGCGACGCCCAGTTTGAGAACCATGGTGTTAAGTAATCAGCCGCGCAGCCAGGACTTTCAAAAGGGTGGGGTTTCAAAATCGGATATTCGAATTACCGTGTGTAACTACGTGCTCGTTAAAAGAGTCGCCTTTTCAGCGTATAATGATTTTTCTGTTGCTTAAATTATTCAATCCATGACAACTACGAATTTCGAAAATGTCCTCATATATATATTAATTTAATTGTGTCCAATGTAACTAGCGTTTGCGACTTCTCACGTCAAAATAAAAATATTATTCCTCTAAAATACCATGGCTATCTGTGAACATAAAAATATGAGATAAGCTGACTGATGTATTCAATTTTAATACGTAATTTTGCAATCTTGCGAACTCGTTATAGCCGATAGAAAAATCTTAATATCTGTTATAAAATCCGTGTAGTACAAATTTACTTCATACAATGAAAATACATATAAAGTAGGTTATATCAGTAAATCAAATACACATATTCACCCGCCTTCACCGCCTCGAAATCCACATCAAACCGTCGCAGCGGTAACACCACTTGTTGAAAGAGCCGATTTTTTTTAACGAAACGAAAAATGAATTTTCTGTTGTGCAAAGTAATCAATCCATGACCGGTACGGGCATATTTAAAATGTCTTGCTTTATTAATTTAATTGTCATCAATTTAAACTGTGGTTGTGTCGACAAAACAAGCGCCACTCTAAACCACCACGGCATTCCGCGGGCATAAAAATGTGTGATAAACTGCCCGATTATATATTGTTTTGATCCGTATTTTTGCTTTTTTGCAAATTCCACAAATTGTGTACTTGTAACACTGACTCCTTTCAATCGCAATGCTGCCACTCCGATTATTTTTAAAGATAAAACGTTCTGAAAAATCCGTAATTCTGCTTTAAAATCTCACGGATAAATTTTATTTCAGTACAATAAATTTTGTTCGAATGTACTTTATAGAAAAATTATCTTATACATCATCACAAACCGGGAAAAGTCGCGTTTTCAACCTTGTTTAATGTTAACACGAACATTTGCAACAACAATTTTAAAGTAATGGATAACAAGGTAAATCCCGCTCACAATTCATCGTGTTTCGATTCTAGTGACGATATGTTCTAAACGCGGAGCGAACACAATGTATGCCATAGGCAGACGAAATTTTACGATTTTCAATGCCTAGAAAAGCGTTTTTAGACTGTCGCGGGCCTCAACAACACTTGTTTACGGTTTTATTTTCAGTATTTAATATTGCCGCTTCTCAATCGAACAATTTAGGTCGTGGATTTATTCATTAATTTGTCCTTAGAATCTCGCCGCCGATGAACGTATAATAAGTCTCACCGGATGCACAATTCCGTGCGAGTAACAAAATAAAATATATAATTGTCATCGTTATCGTGGTACAAATTTGGCGTTTACGGCCTAAATAACACGTCACGACGATGAAAACATTCGGCGGTTTTAGCAAAAGGCAATCGTACGTTGGCAAAAACAGCGTTTTTTTCCCCGAGTCGAGGGCTGAATTACCATCAATAATTGCGTTTATTTGTCATCCAGGTCTGGGAGCCATTCACAAATTAACAAAAACTGCAAATTACATTTCGAAAATTCAACAATTCAACAGCGTTGTGACAAAAGCGCTTCTTATTTCCTATTGTTATCTACCGCTGAAAAATCAGCTTTTACATCGGGCGGGTATTCAAGCACCGGCCCTTATTTATTTATATGTCCTGTTTACACGGGCGGCTATTCAAACGGGCCCCCTAATCAAGATCGGGCGTTGAAACGAGCATATACGGTAGTCCTAAATATAGTTTGATAAAAATGAGAAAAAATGGTTTTCGCTGAATGACTGAAATTTTTTTTTTTTGAGTTTTTGCAACATTTATTTGTGCAAGTTTGAATGAACGAATGCTTTAAATCAGCGTGACTAAGAACTCAAAATAAAAAAAAACACAGTCTTCATGACGCAGCATAGGCACTTTGATTTAGGTTTGCTTTTGACAATTGGATAAATCGTACAAATATATTGGAATGTTGCAAATGCTACAATTATAAATTTATATATATATATTGGACTGCGAAGTGCTGAGAAATTAGAAGTAGCAAATGAGCATACTATTACGGACTGATCACCTCTCAAGTGAAAGTTATGTCAACATTAACAGTTTATTGACTAAAATCTGGGAGGGAATCCATAGGAGAGTCGCACGCGAATGGCGCTAGTTGACCTCAGTTGCCTTGTATAACCCAAATATGGCATCTCTATTGTTACCATTCTCGAGAAATACCCTAAAATCACCGGGGCGTGACTGTGGAGAAAAAGAATTATTTTCCCTAAAAATTAAATTATGACCTTTGCCCAACCGTTTCAATGTCTTCAAATTCCGAATAAAGCCTCTCCGAGACCTGCACTAAGCCAACTGCAGCGAACTGAGCAAAAAAAATTTTTTGTTCATTAAAAATGGCTCTGCTATGTTATCGCTATCACTTCTGTCCAAGATTATGAACAGTTGCTAATAATGCAGCGGTTTCCGGCATCCTTATATTGCCTCGTGTAGGCGAAGATGTTGTTTCCGTCTGTGGAAAAGAAGGCTGGATATTCAGGTAAGTCGTTACTTAGACGTCTTTCCGCACTCGATGTACGCCACTCTTGCATGGCTGGACTATTCGATCTCGGAATATAATCTCTTGATCATTTTACATATGAATCGTGTGTTTTGGGAAATTTTCTTTTAAATTTGAACAAAAATACACACAAAATGATTGCACCTGAACTAGTTTGCTGATACGGGTGCATAAATATTTCTTGCAAGTTACTGATCCAGTCCAACAATGCGTTGTTAATTTTCGGAATCGTGCTTTAGTTCCCTCGCGCGAATGTGATGTTCTTAACGGGTGCCTCCAAATTATCGTGTCCCATTGAATAGATGCTTTCACTAGTCATCTGACCAAAGTACTATAGGGTAAACGTCTGTCAAGTGTACCACTGTACCCCACTTGTGGGGCACATTCGGACAGACCCTGGGGCACAATGGGTCAGTCTGTCAAAATTCAACGAAGTATGCCCTTGAAAATAAGCAATTAATCAGCATAATCGTCTAGAGAACAGAGAGACTTCAAATTTGAAGATTTAATATTTTTAAAATCAATGTTCAACTGAAATAGTTCAGATATTTTGACAAAAAAATTCGCAAACAAATTTGATTATTTCCTTCCTCGAATCTAAATCTGGAAATATGATTGATTCTCGAATATATTCCATATTTGGTCACGGGTCGAAAGAAACCATGATATTACACAAAATATAACGCATCTCTAGGTCTCTAAGTACTTATTGTATCAAACACTGTCAAGTTGTGCCCTGTAGGGTATGCCCCGCTGAACCCCGGTCCATTGTTTCCCATAGGAAACAAATATTTCCAGATCATCCCACGGCGAAATTCGGAAGGCACATCCACACGCCAACGTTATGAATATTTTACAGTGGATCAAAGCTGAAAAATATCAGACGGTGGTTTGTCATGTTGGAAAGTCCAAAGTAGAAAAAAGGAAAATCTGGAACGGTGAAATTTTAGTTTCAACCTCCCAAAATCAATTCCACCTCATAGCTTGCGCCGCTCCACCCGTCCGTTGTCCGTTCGCGGGGACTTTGTAACTAACCAAAGGGCGGATCAGAACATCGAACCGCGGACAGGATTGCGGATATAGTATCAGTGTGAGAACTGATTTTCCACTGTGCCCCATGTCCCAACGTGCCCCACCTTTCCCTATCTATCCCAACCCATAACATAGAAGGGGTCCCATTTTATATTCTCACATTATTTATTTGCGGCACAATATACATTTGCAAACATTACGTCTGACGAATAATACACAAAACTACCAAAAAGAGGCATTATTTACATTATAACCACGCTCGAATATCTGTCTGACCGAAAGAAGTGGCGGAACGGTGGAATAAATTATAATTGTTACGTCATTGTAAACTAATCACTGAATTGTAATTGTTATGAAAATAAACAAGGAAATCGATGCTAAGAAAACATACATTGTTCGTTTTGTTGTTAACTTTGTTGCTGTTATCGTTTTTGCTGTTGTGAAAAATGCGCTTCTTCTAACTAATGGACAAACCAATTTCTGATTTCACTACTCACATATCTGATCATTGATCTTTGGTTAAGACAATGGCAACAAATATATATATGCAAAATTTATTAGTCTGTTCACAGAAACGAAAATCTATAAAGTTAGTTTCCGCGCAATACTTGCATGACCTATAAAATATGTTGGTTAATTTTTTTGAAGCTATATTGTACATCACATAGCAACAGTTATTAGAGCTTTAGTAGCCAAAGGAAAAGTGACTGACATGTTTGCTTTGTTTGATGAAACTAGTTGTTATTTTGGAAATTTTCCAGGATAGAATGACATACTGAGTCAATAAGGACGATTGATTTATAAATAAATTGAACACCCAGTTATGACCGTCGTAAAGTATCTTGCTCGTGTTGGAATTGAGCAGTTGGCGTGTGTGAAATTCTATAAAAGGTCACGTATTCAATAGAAAACTTAATAACAAAACTACAAAAAAAACTAAAAATTAAAACTGACGCTAATTAGAGCACGTAAGCAAATGAAAAGTTTTATACTGTATTCCAGATAGCTGAAAGCAAGGCAAGTAATCATGTTTATCTTGTATAAAGGTAGATGCGTTTTTTTATACAGATGTGGATTACATTTAATTATCAAATGTCCATGATCTGAATGTCTCGTTATATCTTTGGTCGCAACTTCATGACGGTTTTTTTCATTGAGTAATGCCCGTTGTGGGGCCATTTTTCCCACTCTACTCCATTCTCAGGACCGCTGTATGCTCCACCCACGTGGTACTGCCCATTCAAATTGGAAAGATCACAAGCATTAAACCACCATCCACCACCGTGAACTGAAGCGCAATTACTCGAATATTGATCATTGTCCTGATCCGGAGTTGAAAATTTGTTATCATTGTGGTACGACAAGCTGTTACCTGCTGTTCCCGAGAAACCACTGACAACCAGGCGATATTTTGTTTCAGCACTCCCAAGAGCGAAAGATCTGAAAAGCAAGCGCGAAGGATGTTTAAAGATAAAAAGTATTAAAACGTTGTGAAAATTTAATAAATATTTAATTGCCATTCTAAAAAAACAATTCGCTAATCGCTAACGTACAAATAGAAGACAGACAAAGATCGATTGAACTGTCGTGTCTGAGATATTTGGCCGGCAACTTCTGGTTGGATTTATATTGGATATTTAAATCAGCAAGAAGTATAGGAATGACTTAACTTACCCGTATTCGGCATATCTAGTTTGTCCGGCCCAGTCGGTCAACTCTATTTTCAAAATGTAATTTGCAGTTTGTGTTAATTTGCGAATGGCTTCCAGACCTGGATGACAAATACCGGTAAACGCAATTAATGATGTTTATTCAGCCCTCGACTCGAGAAAAAAAACGCTGTTTTTGCCAATTTTATTATATCAATTGATATATATATATATATTTTACTTCCGAGATTTTGAAATCCGAAATTACAAGACAATGATAATAATTCAAAATGCAACTCTTATTCTAACTCTATATATAGCAAAATCGCTATATTTCGATCCAAATGTCCTTTTGTATAAAACTATTTATTTTTCTGCTAACTATTTATTCTTCAGTTCGATGTGACAATATTATATTGAGTTGTTTAAATTAAAATAAAATCTCCTACCTAACCAGAATTCTCTACTATTTCCAAATCCTGTTACGTAGTCAGCCCAATTCCTATTGAAATCTACTGAGCCGTCTTGTCTTCTTTGAATTACCTAAATATTTGAATGTTATTGAATTTTTATCTGGATTTATGTAGTAAATCACTGTGTAGATCGAATCGTTTCGTAATATTTTTAATAACTGCCACTCTCTCCGATTGAAGAGGAGTAATGGTATATATTTTAAATATATATAATTTGAAATGTTCATTCCCACCGTTTTGAAAGTGTGAAGAGAAGTAATATGCTACTATAGGGCTATACATTAGGTATCCAACATTACATTATCTATTACAATTACTTATAATTTTTAAGCCGAACAAATTTGAATATGTTGTTATCTCACCGTCCACTTGTTACCATCAGTGGAAATATCGCAATGGACTTCGTACATGTTCACATTAGGAATAATATCAAGAACTCCACCATCGTTGTTCCAAGTTTTTGCCTCTTCATTTGACACATCGCTGCAGTCGTGTCTCAGGAGCTTGCCTAGCTCTGTTAAATTGTACAATAGACGTTCCACGTTATATATATTTTTTAAAATCAGATACGAATTTTTAAATAAACCTATAATTTGGAATAAAAACAAACCATATTTGAATTCTTCCTTTGCCACTTTTTCGTTTAGCAGTGCGTCATATTTTGATAATTTTGCATCAATTCGATCTTCTATCTCTAAAGGTATGAAAAAAATTTATGTGAAAATCTGGCATCCAAAGAAGGTATATATATATTGGTTTGACAATAACATTTACTCATATTCGAATTCAATAAAAATTTCGTTCTCGACTTCAGCAATCAACTTCGTGATAACTATAATTTAATGAATACCAAATAAATGCAAATTAAAATCAAGCCTATGTTTACGTGCGTTTGAAAATGACATAAAAGCACCTCGAAACTTTGTTTCTAACTTCTTTTCAATGGCAGTGTAGTTTACCGCAGCACGTTCTCCTCGATCACCCTTTATGCCTTGTGGTCCTGCTTTTCCGACTCTTGGTGGTTGAAACGTAGGTTCTATTCCGTCAGGACTCTGGTGGAAGCAAAGCTGATTGACTTGTGAACAAAGTTCACCTGCTGTCCGACAAATATCACCATTTACGAAAGCAAACACGCTGTATAGTACCGGTGCAAACCACAGTAACATCATGACATAGGATGTTTATGTAAACTGCCTATATCTGTCCTCACTTCAAAATAATACGCTTGATTAAAAAAATAGATTATGTGAAGATGGCGAATTTATCATTAATTTTTAAGTAAGAGAGATCTAATCATCAAATAGCCTACAAATTCCTTTCAAACACAGTGAAAACTTGAGCTTAACATGAACGTTTTTTGTGAGGTTATCACACCTTGATTCCGAACAAGTCTCTAAATATACAGTCACTACAATTCTAATATTGATAACTGCATCCATGACTTTCAAAAATGTTGACCTTTCCTTGATGATGTTTTGCTATTTTTGCGAACGAAGTGACGTTTGCGATTTTAGGTGAAAATTTTTGCTAATTTCAATGAATTGGTATTGCTTCCTTGATAGCTCTTGTTAGCAAAAACTTTTGTTTGCAACAATATATATAGTCCTAAATATAGTTTGATAAAAATGAGAAAAAAATGTTTTTCGCTGACTGACTAGAAGTTTTGTGCATCGGAATGAAAATATGGAACTTTTTGGAATTTTTGCAACATTTATTTTTGCAAATTTTAATGACCGAATGCTTTAAATCTGCATGACTAAGAATTTACAGTCTTCATGACGCAGCATAAAGCACTTCGCCTAAAGTTCGTTTGGCATTTTGATAAATCGTACGAATATATTATATTGGTATGTTGCGAATGATACAATTATATATAGATATTGGCCTGCGAAGTGCTGAAAATTACGAGTTGCAAGTGAGCATAATATTACGGACTGATCACCTCTCAAATGGCAGTTACATTCATAGCTTATTGATCAAAACCTGTTTCATTGAATCCAGTAGAGGTCGCACCTGCGGCGCTACCCCCAAGCGGAAATGTAGGGGAAAGTTTCGAATGAAATACAAAATGTGCGCTCGTTAGGGGTAGATAAATGCATGCGAGTCGTTGCACAAAAAATGGCGGAAATTGGCCTCGGTTCTCTTGTATAACTCGAATATGACATCTCTACCTGGTACCATTCTCGAGATATGACCTTTACAGGACCTTGACTGAGGAGAAAAAATATTCTTTTCCCAACCATTTCAATTTTCAATGAGAGACATGCACTAAGCCGACTGGAGGGGTCCAAAATTTTTTTTTTGTTCGAAATGACTATGTTATCGCTTCCGCTATGACTTTTATGTCTAAGATGACGAACACTTGCTAATTTACACAACTTTATTCTCAATATAAAGAAAACATCAAAATTACAAAGAAACGAAATAAAAATCAGACACTTCCTTCTGTACATAAATTATATAGTTAAGCACTCGAGAGTCGACACACAATGACTTGGCTTATCTTAGGCTCCGGGTAATATAAAAATTACAGTTCCGTAAGGGCACAACTCATTTTTTGTCTAGTAAATGGGACCAAGTTCTGCGTCTGTGGGTTGTGTAATTGCGCTGCAGCCGACGTGGGGATCGCCGAGGTCGAGACGTTTGTGAAGCGGTTTCTGGCATCCTTACATTGCCTCGTGTAGGCGAAGACGTTGTTTCCGTCTGTGGTAAAGAAGGCGACATATCAGGATATTCAGGTATGCCGTTACTTAGACGTCTTTCCGTACTCGATGTACGCCACTCTTGCATGGCTGGACTGTTCGATCTCGGAGTGGAATCTCTTGACCACAACCTGTCTGGTGATTGTGATGCAGTGAAAGAATTTGCTTGAAATCGGTTTCGCGCAGATAGTCTGCTTGGTTGAAAAGACGCGGTCACGGGTGAAGAGTCTCTCGTTCCCGTCAGTGGAACTCGATAAGCCAATTTTCCATAAGAATCGCCTGTTTTTGGAAATTTCTTTTCCTAAATTTGAACAAAAATACACACAAAATGATTGCACCTGAACTAGTTTAGTAATGCAGTTGCACAAATATTTCTTGCAAGTTACAGATCCAGTCCAACGATGCCATGTGCTCCACTTGTATGGATGCTTACATTAACCATCTTACCAAAGTACTATATACATCCAAACTCATAACATAGAATGAATCCCGTTTCATATCCTCACAATAATCATTAACCTCACAACATATATTTGCGACCCAGGGGCGGACAAAGTTTTTTATGCAAGTGCTGCATTCAGAAAACCTTTTTTTGCAAATGCCCGCATTATTGAGAAAAGTACTTACTGTTTTCGAAAGACCATATTATCATATAGTACCATTAGTTAAAATTTAATCTGGCTGACATTGTTTAACAGGAGATGAAAAGAAAAACATTATTATTATTTTAGTAATTCATAGTTTAGATGTTTTGAATAAACTTTAAAAATAAATCTAAATTCAGTTTGCCCATTTCTGATATACGCTAACTCATAACAGTGTGACAAAGGTGACACGCGGTGTTTTATTTGCGTATAAATATACACACCGCACGCCAAATATAGTTATTGACCGAATATAAATAAAATAATCTGGATTATAATAATTTCAAGGCGAAATATCACTCTCTGGTGACACACTGAATTCCTGCAAGGAACTGCTATTCATCCACCTTACCGTCTATTGCGTCACGACGGCGATAAAGAACTTGAATTTAAATTGTTCTCATTTACTTCATTGGGCATGAGCCGTTTATTAGCTGGATACATATATATAAATATAATAATATACAAGTTCTAAGTAAAAACCATATTAAGCATGCACGCAATGAACGTGAAATAAGCGTGGAATAAAATACAAAAGTACAAAAAGCAGAAAATTGTATGTATACATGTAGGCGACATTTCATGCTATTACAGAGTATTTTTATTGGCAAAATTGTCCGCCTTGAATATTTGATTTTCACAGATGCAGTGATCTTGATTTGAATAATTTCTTGATGTGATGATCTTTGGATGCAAAATGAAGGTCGGTATTCACCAGTTTTTCCACAAGGATTCCTGTGAAATTAGCAAACACCGGATGAGAATGATGAAAAATTACTTTACCATGAACAAATGCGAAGATCGCATGTCCTGAACATGATGGGGAATCGATAGAAAATAGTCCAAGATTTTCCATTGTATGTTAAAGATGAAAGTCATAACATGGCGAATCGTGGCCACTCGGCTGATCGATAAATCCGGTCGGATATAGTAATACATTGCTTAATACATATAATTATATGGAGTTGGTTGACAAATATGGTAGGAGTGAATTAGTCACATATTTCTTTTAGTGTTTATTGCATTCAAATTCTATTTTACTATTCGACTTATGACGTGTTTCGAATCGTGTATTTCTCGAATGTTTTTGTAACTTTGCAAACGTAAAATTACACAAGAAAGACCGTTCAGCATCGAAAAATATACAGTTTTGTTTACAGTTGTCATATGATATTGAGCAAAATATGGAGAAGCAATGATGTAACCATTTTAGGTTTGAATATAGTTGCATGCAAATTTGAAGATAGCTTTCTGTGACAAAATTTTATATTTCATGCTCGGTTGAAATAATTTATAATAATAATAAAATTTTAGCAATAACTCAAGACTCTATCATGTCTCATCATATTTATGGAGTTGTTTAAAAAGAATTCAGAATCATGAGTTAGAAACCAAACCATAAACCGAGCTATAATAAAGCGCCGTCATAAGACCATATCACAAAAAAAGGTTCGCCGCCAAAATACCATAAGGACCCATCCAACTTAGTCGATTCTAGGCCGCGAAATTATTTTTCTAAGTGAACAGTAGTTGTAACGTCGATACTAAATTAGACTGTTGTACTTATCCAGATATGGGATGCTAGAATCGCATTTATGATTTATTGATGGTGATGACACTCATAAACTCAAGCAAAGAAGTAGTTACCTCTTCGCTGTAGCTACGTCGTCTCGCTTCAGCGGAAGAATCCGATTTTGTCGAAGCTTGCGATCTAGCTCTGGATGCACGTCCTGAAAGATACTTTTCTGCAATAGCTTTTACTTCATCATCCAATTGGTCTAATTGTTTATCATCTGTAAAAATATCAATATAATTTCTCAAGGAGCGACGAAAATTTAGCATACAGATGCATTTGAGTATAACTATAGCAATTAACTCGCTAATATAGCAATTAACCCCCAAATGTACCTCATTTCATGTTAAAAATATGAAAACAAAGTTAATTTTTTCCAAAATTGAAACAAAGACTTTCGTTTGAATCAAATTAATCCACTTTAGAGAAAATAACAAGTTTCGTCCGGCCATTATCAAACTGAAATTTATTTTATCACGATATTTAAACACTAATTTAAATAATTATATGTAAGATCCCATCCGTACGATGTTTATAATTACCCATATTGAGCTAATAAGAGTTTCTGTTTATAACGTGAATCACGAGCTCAAGTTTACAGTATTTAATTAGATGTATGATCGACGTATAAATACGACTCCGATATCTTTCGATAGTTACGATGTAAATGATTCTAAATCTGAGAATAAAATCAAACAGAGTTTTCTAAAGTTTCTTCATTAACGTGGGCATTGAAGCTGAAGGGTGAACGGGCGATTGGCAGTTCTATAACGGTCTACGAAATAGCAATATACGGTGACATCACATTCATTTACCATTTATATATTCTATATACCCAGCAAATTGAAAATCCTTATATTGAAATTGCTACTAATTTTCATTTTTGTTAATACTATTTATGATTTGATTTTCGCTTACCATCAAAAGATACATTTGATTCCCTTCGATCCGAACCGGTATAATCGCTTCGTGATGTCACTGATAAAACGTCATCGTCATCCGTGCGTGTAACTCTGGCAGCTGCAACGACTTCTTCAGCGTCGTCTGCTTTAGGAAGTAGAAGTTTTGCTTGAAAAACATCTCCAGAGTGAGTGGTTGACGCAGCGGACGACGTAACTTCTGAATCACACGACGCATGGTCACTGGTTGTCTCATAATCTTCTGATCCAATTTCTTCATCCTCTCCTAGATCAAATGATAAAATATCACGATTTGATCACCGTCAAAGCTGCCTTTGTGTATATTACAAAGTGGCCTGAAAAAAACTCAAAAATTTCTTAAAACTTGGACTTCTGTTTGTGTATAATTGATAAATAAATATTCAGTAATCTAGAACTCTACGCACCACTTAGCTGTGTTCTCTCTAGATTCTAGAATATTCCAATTGGCCAGGGGTCCCCTGTAGTTCGAGGTTCAAATCTTGATTTTTTATAAAATCTGTCAGATGCTACTGTTAGCCCATTATTCTCGGCAAAGCTGGTTATATGCTAGGGCAGGGGTCACCAAACTTTTTTGACCGCGGGCCGGATATGACTCAAATTGTGTTGAAACGGGCCAGATGAATATTTTTGTCAATGCAATACAATAAATTCACAAATGTTGGGAATATCGCAGAATATAGATCGAGAACATCCTAGGAGTTTAGCTGTTATCAAAACGTTGCTGTCATATATTAGAAATGTTACAAAATCCGCGACAAAAATTGTACGCATCACGTCTGCTAAGTACCGTTGCGCCGTGTTGAAATATCGCTCATAAAAACGAATGCCTGCTGTAGCTTGGAATTCTATGAAATTTTGACATAATTTAGATAAAATAAACAACTATTATCTGGTATTTGAATTTCATGCGCATAAATTTCCCAACATTCGACGCTTTTAAAAATTACGCTCCAGTTATACGTAGTGCAAATTATTGATATTGTCTATGGACACCAATAAAATTTATATGGACGTGTGTATTTCTTGTCTAACTTGATACGTACCAATTTTTATGAAGTTCGTACAATCAGAACATCGTTAAATATTACCCACAATGAACCACTGTCAAACCATAGGCGTAGCCAGGGGGGGGGCAGAGGGGCCATGGCCCCCCCCCCAAAATTTTCAAGAATTCCATTCCTAATCCACCAGTTTTGTGGCATCTTGTCTCGTCAAGCGTGTACACCGCAATACAGATCGTTATGACGCTACTAGCAACCACCGTTGAGGCTGAGCGGTCTTTCTCATGCATGAAACGGGTAACGACATGGCTGCGCTCATCAATGACGTCCAATCGCCTTTCTGATTTGTGTGTGCTTCACTGTCACCGTGAAATGGTCACCGAGGAGAAAATTAATCGAGTTGTGTCGAGCATAGTTGGCGGGAAGCGAAGGATGGACTTTTAATTGGGCGATGTATTTTACTTATTCAAATTGCGTTGTTAATATTTGTTGTTTCAAATAAAAAATTGTTTATTAATGGATTTTGTTTTCACAAAAATCCAGCTGAGTAATTGAATCAGTTTGCTTGGTGACCAACTGTTGTTGTTTTGCGCTTGAAGAACGGGCGCTTGAAGAACGGTGTTTTAAACCCAATATAATTTCTAAAATTTTCAAATTTGGCCCCCCCCCCAAAAATTTTGGGCTGGCTGCGCCACTGTGTCAAACTATCATGCACAACTCCAGCGTTTATTTGCGACGATCTTTCGGCGGTGTCAATGACCGTTGCCAGAATAAAATCCTGAAATAATCTAAATATACCATAGATGTGACGCACATCGAAAGATTAGTGATTGATATGTGTTATTTTTCCATATTTAGTACAGTTCTTATCAAAAACGTAATACAATCATTATGGAAAAAATTGGCTGTCGGGCGGTACTAAAATTCCGATATCTCCGTTAGTTTTTATTTAAATCGGATGAACTTCAATTTTTTTGTAACATACCTACATGAATATCCGCATTAAAGCAGTACAAAAATTAGTGTGGCTTTTGAAATTGGAGCAGTACGCGAGGGATTACAGTACTGTTAGCACAAGATGCACATTCGACGTTTATTTTAGCACGAAAAACAAACAGTTTCGTCGAAAGCAAGCGCCACGAGTGTACAAGTGTATCGCAGAAAACGTAGCAAAAACGAAGTTTTGTTTACAACCACGACTGAAAATCTGTTAGGGTGACAAAAGTGTTATTACGTCACTTTTCTGCATCTTGCCGATTGGCCAATGTTACGAAATAAACAAGGACGACGATGCTCGTGAAAATCTTCCTTGGAAAAAAATTTAGCCATTTTTGCGTGTTATTGCGGACGGATAAAATGACGTCGCGGGCCGGATCCGGCCCGCGGGCCGTAGTTTGGTGACCCTGTGCTAGGGCCTAGTGGTTAATGCGTTGTATCATCGTAGCCTAAAAATACGGTAAGCAAAGCAGAACGGAAAAGATTCCGTTTATTACAAAATATAGTAGCTTCCTGCATATCAGTGTCTTCTTATATATGTGATCTTAACTGTACAGCGCCTAAAGACTCCTTGCACATCAGTGTCTGAGTATACAGGACTTTGTTCGAAGTGAAAACGCGTACAAACATGGTGATAAAAATAATTTATAAATTCGTCATTAAATCTAATATTCAAGGATGTAGCCACAATTTTATGGAACCAAACTATCCGCAGTGACCAGCAATGGTCAGTCTTAACTAAAATACTAAAATGCGTCAACAGTTCCTACATCAGATTATTATTCAAATATTCGCAACCCAACTTACAAATTCTGATTGCATAATGGGGATATAAATATATTTCAAATTCAAAAATGTTTACCTCTAGCTGGAAAATTGATACGCGATAAATATTTTGCATGGTTTGAAAAATCTACCGCAAACATTCCCATCTGGTGTATGTCCGCAGGTGGTTTCCTCACGTCAGTGGCTTTTGCTGTCGAAGTCACTCTGAAATGCAACATTTTGATTGGATGGTTTATTTAGGGGAGTGGTTTCTGTAGTGAACTGTTTATCGTCGTCGCCTCGTGGGTAGGTAGATAGGTGACGACGAGCCAAAACTTTGTCTTTGTCTCATTCGACGGCAAGGCAGTATTTATGAAAAGGAATAAAACGTTATGGCCGTTGTTAAGACCATCTTCAATATAAAAATATAACTGGTTCCATCTTTGCTTGACTCATTCCAATGGGAGAATTGGGACAATCAAACAGAATTTCATTTGTCTTGTTTGGTCGGAAACAGCTTATAAGAATACAGAGAAATTCGGAGCTCAAATTTTAGTCAACGCTGCATAACGGAGGCTTGGGCACAAACAAATACTCTGCGTGCCATACATGTACCTATGTAAATGAATGAACTGCGCATATGGCCCATATCAAGCCTAGTTGAGTAATTTAATTTAGGAAGAATGCGCGGCGTGCGTAATGGACGGCTTTCGATATACAAAACCATGCGTCAAACGTTATCTTTCTGCGTATGACGTGACGCTGTCAAAGTCATTTGTGGTTCACTGCGATATGAAATCCAGGCCCATGGGACGATTTCCACCTTTAAACGATTATAATTAGAACACAAAATGCCTTTCATATCTCGAACGGGAGCTTTGTTTAACATTTCTAGATTGTTCCAATTCATGTCACTGTACGTTTGATAAAAAAAAATTTCAAATTCTTCACATTATTACGAAATTGACCAAATTTTAATGTAATATAAAAAGTTTCTTGTCATGCCCACTGTTTTTTGTTTTTTATATAGAAGTCATGCAAAACAAAGAGTCGAACTTATATTAGTTTTTTCAATGCGGGGGATCCCCCCCCCCCCCTGTTAGACCGATGGGCGTGTACCCGGCGCCAATTGGTTGCAAAGATCTTCACTGGATGTCATTTGTCATGACCGCGGCGATAATATAGAGTAAATCGACTACGATTTGTTTAATTCTTAGACTGTATTTCATTTTCTGTTTTGCTTTCGTTTGTTAACTTTCTAATATTGAACGCGGCGACTAACAGAACTGACGAAAACGTGTTAAAGGAAAACTCAAAATTTTTTATAGAAGTAGGCGGTCACGGGTGTTAAGAGTTTTTGGAACGGGTTACGGGTCAAAGTTTGAAAACCACTAGTTAGTTATAGATTAGAAGTACCGCTAAATACGCCAACCCTGATCGGTGGGCCAATATGTAAAAGGTATCCAATATAAACACACGTAATGAAGAAAAATAAATGTTGTCAGGTAAAAATAAAGCTGGTTATTTGGCAGTGTTACCCATGATGACAATAATAAATATACAATAATGACACGGTAAAATGCAGCAGAAGGTTGTCGAATGGTGTTTGTTGTACGACAACTCCAAACGCTTCAGTGAAACATGTATTTTAAAATACAGAGAGCGTTTTCAAATAAAATGTCTGTACAAACCTGTTGATTAAATCACGACTGACTGATAAAAATTGAGCAGCGTTAGGTTCTTCCAACAACGACAAAGCTTCTTCGACAAGTTTACTTGAAGATTCGAGTTGACTGCCGTATTGTTTCAGCATACTTTGCAAAATCTATAAGGATGAATTGGAAAAACTCAATGTGCTTGATAATTTTACGTAAACTCATTTAATGATTACTTGAACGGGTTAAAAGAGAAAAAGCAATAATCAGTGGGGTTGTATCCAGTGGTGGGATTCAAATTTTTTGTCAGCCGGTTCCATCACACAAATGTCATATTTTTCAGCCGGTTCTGTTACAAAAAGTCATGTTTTTTTCAGTAATGCCAACCGGTTCGCTGATCTCATAAAATTCCGTGAGACGGTTTTATAGAACCGGTGCGAACCGGCTGAATCCCATTACTGGTTGTATCAGAACCTGATTAATTTTAATTCTGTTTTCGATTTGTATGCAAACGAATATGAACAAATCGCGCATCGACGTGCAAAATAGCCGGAGTGCGTTATAGAGTTATTATTTTGAAAGCGTTTAGGGTCATCTGCTATTCACTATCAAAATTTTTTGATAAAGGGTCGTATTGACAGACCTATGGGAAAGGCCGAAAGAAATATAAACAGATTTATTTTTATATAATTTAATGCTTTTGTCCACATGCGCCCAGTGGTGGGATTCAGCCGGTTCGCACCGGTTCTATAGAACCGTCTCACTGAATTTAATGAGATCAGCAAACCGGTTGACATTACTGGTTACTATCAATGTTCTGTTTGTAACATCTACCTTATGTTTGTAACAAAACCGGCCTAAAAATATGACTTTTGTGAAGGAACCGGCTGACAAAAAATTTGAATCCCACCACTGTATGCGACCCTACCTCAACCATACTTGTTCTAATATACGTGAGTGTGACAAATAAACACTTTTACCTCTGTTTTTTCCTGTGTTAATGCTTTGACTTTGCTTAACATAGCTTGTTTCCTTTGTTCGAGAACAGCATAAAGCTTATCAAAAGATGCACATACATCACTTTGTACGGTTTTGCTGTTTTCCTGAATTCAGAACAAAGATTATACAATAATTGATGTTGAAACAAATGCAATATATAATATATATATTAAATCATTAAAATGGCAAATATTAAAAAGAGCTAATCGAATAAATGAGAATATAGACCTAGGGATATATTTCAGGGATTGGGCTATTTTGTTCAAACACCACTTTCTTATCATTTTAATTCAACCTCATCATTCAAACTAAACCATTTATCGTTTTCTTTAAAAGACGATGATTAGACTGATTGCAGTTCAAATTTCTCAGTAACCGTAAGTCATCCGATGTTGATCTTTAGTTGCCCCTTCTCGAATGGGTATACATTTCTTTTTACTTTCTTTTTTGCAATTTCGACAACTTACCCTAAGGGCCTAAGCTTTATTCTTTATCAACAAAAACTCGAAAACTTCTATTTCAGAGGGTCACAAGAGGGTCGAAATATGCCATATAGACCGAATAATTTGTAATGAAAGCTGTAAAAAGTCATATGTCAATTGCAACTTACCTCTGTCTTAACAGTCAGTTCTTCTGTTTTGGAAATTATTGTTTGAAGACGATCATTTCCAGCCACCAACATCGCAATCGCTCCACTGACTTCAGACTGAAAAGTTTAACATTTGCCGTATAAAAGTTAAAACTATTATCCAAAAAGCTTGAATCAATCTATTATAGATAGATTACTATAGCTTACAAATACTACAAGTACAAATTATTAGTTTAAACATATTGAGAAAAAAAATAAATGTAATAAAAGATTTAATTCGGGACACTAGAAACCAACTTGGTTATTGCGTCGCCCTGTCAGTCCACGGGATAATTTGTGGCCATGGATATCAGCTTTAGACTCCACGTATTTTGGAGCATAGAAGTATTAAAATTTTCTAAAGCTTTCCAACGGGGAATTATTACGAAAGCTAATATATATAGTATAACTATAGTATATAGTATATACCTTATGATCTTTGTACACTTTTTCAACAGGGAAGACTGTGCATTCTTGATGCTGTCCAAATACTTTACACATAGAACAAGTTGGTTTTTGACACGTCACACAGAAAATGTTCAGTTTCTCCTCCTCGTGCTCTTCGCACATGAGAACCTAAATATTGTATATTGATTTATTGGGATAGAGCGTGGAAATATAATCAGAGATGTACATTCATTATATAAAAAAAAATAAACCTTCGTCAGCCATTGCAGTTATGTCCAATTTTTAAAGATCAATTATTTCTTTTATCACATAACGAAGAAAGTAAACGTCAATTTTTGAATCGTGTTAAGAGTATGACAGAATTTCGGGTACCATTTTCGAGAGACTCCGGACTTGGCGTCAGTCGCACTTCATTGGTACATACACAATCATATAAGAGCGAAGTCCGTGGATTGACTTACCTCGACTTTACGGAATGGCTTTTTGCTTTCTGACTGATACATATCGATAATATTTTCAACAAGTAAATTGCGCTGCAATCCATAAACTCCATGTCTGTCCAACATAACTTCATATCTGCAGGTTGGGCATCTGAAAATACCAGACAAAGTAAGCCAAAGTTATATTTAAGCTACTTTCTCATTTTATATTGCATTTGCCTACCTAAATCGACCGCCAGATCCCATCGGTGTCCCTCTGTTTTGAAAAACATCATTTGCACATTTTCTACAGAGATTGTGCTGACATGGTAGGATAACGACGGGTTTGCTATAAACTTCAAGACAAATTGGGCAACTCAGAAGCCTTTCAACTTCGGCTTCATAATCTACTCCCGGACCTTTCGACAGCATTCGTAAGGCTTCCATCTCAAACCAATGTATATATAATATAAATCTATCCGGTTAAAATGTCGTTCCTTGCTATTATATAATAAAAATAGGGATGATACATTTTTCTAGCCACCACCGATTTGATATCAAATCACGCTGATGCAAAAATACGGCGATACATTAAATATGGCTTCATGCTATATTGACTAATGACTCAATAGGTATTGATGACGTAACAATTCAAAATCCACTATTTACTTTCAAATTTCCCAGTTTAAAGTAGTGATTTTGAACTGCAGAACACTTCTAGATAATATATATATTTGTATATATCAAATGAAAATAACTGGTCTAGTTCACTTCTTACTTCACCGACCATTACCAAACTCAAAAGGGATTGTGTTTTTACGAAAATAAAATAATACAATCAAACGAGTGAATATCAAAGCCGTTGGTAATCAAAGAACTACAAGCTGAAAAAATGATATATACATTATGAGTTCGCGATTTTAAACAATAAAAACAATTTGGTCAAATGGGAAAAATGGGTACTTTTCAATACAATACGGATTCCCGGCTTGTGACGCGGTGTTGCTAGTCACACGATCAAAACACCTTATTTGACTTCCCTATATTTTTGGATAAATGTGAAAAACCAACCCTATCCACCCTTTCATCTGCCTCTGCCCGACCAAACAAACAGCTCAAATTAAAAAATGTGTCACTTGTGATATGCAAAATATAACTTATCAAACTAAGAGTCAAAGCGAATTTGCCTGCGTCGATATTAGTTAGCTAAGTTCTGTAAAGCACCTCCGCGTTGTCTACATCCTAATGACTAAAACTAATTAGTTTTTGAAGTATTCTTCCGGATTACGAACTTTTTCTAATGTTGAAATAACATCATCGTCATCGATCATGTCACACCATCTTCCCAATAAATCGGATGATTCGACGGCAAGAAAGGCTCGTTCGTTAATTGTTTTTGCAACTTCGATCGACAGCTGAACAGACTGAAAAGTGTGATTGTGTGACGTAGCTAACGACTCGATTGAGATGACGTCGAATCATAACCCTGGGGAATGTCTGAAACACTTCATCGCATAGGCATCAAATGACAAGTACGAACCATAGCAAATTCTCACCCTAGCTCTTTGTTTCCAACCAGCCGGCCTCCAAGTTGACAATGGGTTACAATACAAGTTATGTATTAAAATTTATTTGATTGTCGTCAGAAGAAAGTGGAAATGGTAATTTAACGCTTGAAATTCACTTGTACGAGGCAGTTCTTAATCTTGAAAAACGAAGAAAATTCGAGATTTCTGAAATAATTTTCGACACTAACTTCAACAAGACTTCGCTGATGTAAGCTGACTTGAAAACTACCGTTCCCATTACCTTTACGCCTGAATAATGCATTAATTATAACTATCGTGCTCTTGATTACGACCGACTGGCAATCGTCAAACGAAGGGGAATGACACGATAGTAACAGATAACTAAAGTCTGATGGTGCGAATAGAAGTTGCGAACTACTTGACGCCGTATTCTAATTCAGCTGCCACCACAACAGTCGGGATTTGAACGTAATGAACTTTCCAAAGTTATCGTTGAATATAAGGGAACCCAATATCGAAGCCACTGAGAGGGGAAATTATCAAAAAATAGTGATCTGTTGCAATTGAATAAGCGTACTAAATCTTACCATACCTTCTTGAAAAAGTAATTATCGGAAAATCTATCACAATGATTCCATGACAAGTTTATGTATACTATTTCATTGGACAGATACCTACTTTGACTATAGTGCAATGATTAGACAGAGAATAAGCGCATGTACTCTTGAGTCTTGAAGACAATATGGTCAATGAAGACGGCCGAGATGGCTTTAAATGTAGGCCTTTGTAGTAAAATCGGAAACTGTAAAGTTACAGGATCGCAGCTAAGGGGTCGTGTTTTTGGAGGCGTCCGACTTTGAAGTCGAAAAAATATGGTAACCCTAGGAATGATCAAGAACTTTGTAGGGTTCGTGCTGTTGTTCCCTAAACTCCGCGTACCAAGACTACGCTCCCTTATTCCTGTCCGCTTTCAAGTCTCTGATAAAATGTGCAAGATCTTTGTTGTATCATTAAAGCCATGATAAAAACATAAAATAGATATTCAAAACACTAAAGGAACTTAATTGAGTTGCGGTGATAGAGGTAGTTGGGCTGCGTGAGAGTCGAGCGTTGTAGGTCGAGTGTCGTAATCGAGCGTCAGGAATCCAGTGTCGTAATTTGTAAGATTCGAAAAATCCAAAAACGTGGCAGCGCGTCACGGGTCATGTGACCCTAGATGTCGCTATAACTTACTAATACATCTTTCAACATATTACCTCTATCTGTGTCCCAATTACAAAACAATTCACCACCAATCTGGAAATCCATTCAAGTATTTTTATAATACTGCAATTAGTAGAACTACTTAAACGAGTTTCAAATAGCCAAGAACGGGCCTAGAATTATCTTACAATCTAAATTTAACCTAAGGAGCGAGCGAGGTTCGTCCTGACTGGGATCAGATGCTAGACTTGAGCCATACCCAAGCGAACACACTCCTTGTTCCGACCTTCAACGTTAGGTCAGTCGCTTTGTTTCTATGCGCGTGATGTCGGCCAGGTCTGCAGAGGGAAAACTCACTCCAGCCCACGTTAAAAATTTGGCGTATGAAACAATTATTGAAGTGTGTTAGACATTCTTGGTCAATCTAATGCGTCGAAAATTCAAATTGCCACCATTAGATCTCAGTAATTGAGGCCTAAATTGACTAAACAACAAGTCAAATTTCGACTCCACATTCCAGTTGTCGGCTTATTCTACGCAAGAAGAGACATTATCGAAAAACTAGTGGTGATGGCAGAGGTGCTTCATTTTCGAGCCTTCAGAAGGCCTGCACAATTGTTAATGAAGGTTGCTATTAGTTCAAGACAGAGATTAAGATCACGAGTTAATGAATACAGCTTTATATATATATAGCATGGTAACATAAATAAAATAGTTCCCCATATTGCGATTCATGTTTAGAAATAGACTACACCAACTCCATTGACTTGGCATTTAGTGTTACTCAGTTTATTCAACGTCTTCATCAACAATACCAATAATCAGACACAATAACATGATAAATATCTTGTGAGCGTTAATAAAACCATTAAAATAATATTATAATCTATTATTGCATCACATGTGTACTTGCGTTGTATAGATACCGTATAGAAATTGCTACACAAAAGCAAATAATGGGAAACATAAATTATATATATATGTCGTTAATGACAAGACAAAGAGCATCAAAAGGCAATCGCGAATTAAACTTACCCATATAGCTGATGATCCTATAGCTGATTTTCCTATAATTAACAAACTCCTATCTCAAAACATATTTCAGAATTTAGAAAAAAAAGTAAAACGACATATGCACTTTTAGACTATGTGTATGTACGGATTGTGCTGGTGATTGAATTGCATTTAACGCTATGTTGGCAAAATAAAATTGTCAATTAGGGAATGCGCTATGTATGAGGAAAGTAAAACAGAAGTGTACCTTATGCACAGAACCAAGCAAAAAATTCTAATAAGTAACACTTGAAATATGAGCTGGGTATAACATGTTAAATAAGAATAGCTTGATAAGTTACAAAATATTAATGCTTTCGGCCAAATCAAAGTAAACTATTTAACAACAGCTATAATGAAAAGTCGTATTTCAAATACATTTTCAAGTTTTTGAAGATATCTAATATTAATATTTTGTATTTTTTGTCTGATTTCTGAAATGAAACATTCAACCATGCTCTTGGTAAAAATGCTAGATTGAAAAAAAAAAATTGTCTACTGCAGGTTTGAAATTTTTAAAATTCAATTTAGGCCTTACAATCTAGACTACAATTATTGGTATTTGTTCCGGGATAAATATACATAAAGTCAAATACCAATTTTCAGATTTCATAGAGAACATAATGTCATAGAAGCTCATAGACACAAATGGTGACTGGGTAAAAAAATTTCAAATCCTCTCACACCCACCGTACAACCATAATTATAGCCAGGCATAATATTTTTAAGGTAAATTATGTTAACGTTAACTTTAAAATACAAAATGTAACCATTATCCTAGACCAAATTGGATGCACCCCAAGTGCTTCATTGTAAAAAATTCTTTCCAAAGGGTATCCTGTGAACAGAACTACAGGTTTTCAGACACAAACGATATACACCACCTATGAAATAAAATAGATAGAAAAGGACATAATTACAAAACATTGCAATATATACATAATAGATTGAAAAACACCAGCCTGAATATGGTATTTGTTTATAACTAAGGCACATATGATCTAAATTCAATAGTTAAGAATGAATATAGAAATGAGGATTGATAGTATTGAAGAAGTTTGGAATTAGCTACTTGATAACGATGTTGTAGAGAGAGATCTATAAAAAAGGCATTATCAATCTAAAAAATGGTGTTTTAGTAAAATTTTTAGATTTCCAATTATTGCAGTGACATGAAAAATTTTGTCGAATTACTTCATTCTTAATAGAAAGGGGAAATGGCATGAATGATAAAAATATCATTATATGCTTGCTACATCCGATGTGCTTAGATCAGATATATAGGCCTCCATCTTAAATACTTCTTCTCCTGTCGCAGAGTGAGAGTTAAGCATTGATAAATTCGTCATTTTCAGAACTGTTGAGAAGCTCTTCCTGAAAATTCAAGTTACTCTTTAAAAACATTGCAGGAAAATATTGTAATATTGTTTAAATCCCAGGTTTTTTTATTGAAATATCAACAACATTTGGAGAGAATATGTATGATTTCAATCCCTACATATTTTTACCAATCTAAACATGTGTACTACAGACGCCATCTACATTTTTAAAGAATTTTACTGTTTAACACAACTTAGAAGCTATGATTCATGAGACGATTGAGCCCCATTACAATCTTTTCGCTCCTTCAGAATAAAGCATACCTAATCTGATCAAAAAGATACGTTATCAGAAAAAATGCGACTCCTATTTTTTTTTTAAACGGGACCAAATGAATACTTTATGCATATTTTCTGATATGATAAGTCCAAAAGACTTTATAAATTGCTCATCACTTCGTTTAATCATAATAACCGGGATAACATCATACCTCAATCACAATAATAATTAGTAGTATTGCTAATACCGGTAATTAGTTGCTTACATTTACAAGTAATTAGCATTAGTAACCGAAAGTTTGAAGTTACTGATTGTAGTATATAGCCATTGTAATTTTCATATGCAACAAAAATATTTTTTAATTTTAAATGATTGTTTCCGCATTTAATATAACATAGATGATTCATATTTTATTTCACACGAAAAATCAAAATTTGCAACAAGCTCCTTTTCTCGAATTATGTGCACCTCTTGCGCAATCTGCAAAATTGTGGTCACAAGAGATAACACGATAGGTCAGCAAATCCATGATTATACCAAGGTTGAATCAAGATTACCACAATAAAATTATTCACAAACATGCTAATATTTTCAAACAAGAAAATCAATCAGTTGAAATTACAGATAAATATTTGGGAAAAGTTGATTTCAACCGTTATTTTTATTTATTTTACCACCATCTTTTCACCCAAGGAAAATGTAATATTAGTTTTTGAAGAGGTTTAATATCAGTTCATGCCACCTTCTCTGCATATATGGGCCAGTATTGTTTAAAAGTTGGCATCCAGGGATAATCACGATTACCCTGAAAAGAATTATTTGGTCAATACACCGAAAATGGACGCTGTAAAAAAATAGATGTTGCCTATTTCAGTCCCAGAGACTGAATCCATTGATTTGTTTTTTTATGGAAAGTAATGGTAATTACTGAAAATGTCCAACAGAAATAGTTAAACTTGAACTAAGAGTAGCTGGAAAAGTATGCGGCTGCGTCAACGATTTTAAACAGACTTGCTCTTTCACTAAGGATGACAAAAAAATCTACCCTAAATAATTGAATTCAATGATATTTAGTAGAGGTGTCCTTCCCTGCTGAAAAGTGCAATTTGAGAAAGTAATTTAGTTCAAATTTTTGTTTGGTAAAATTTTACGAATGTTTGCAACTTGTCATACCATCTCTGCCATACCCCAAACCAACGTTAATTATGACAACAGAGCATATAATCCGGTGTTCTAGCTACTTCATTTATTTATCAAACCATAATTATGTCCCTTTTCCTTGGAATAGGCTTGTTACTGACAGTCGTATAATAATGTTTCATTACCATTTTTAAAATAAAGGGATGATACATAACCAGTATCGTTTTCTTGATGTTAGCTTTTACTTGGTCCAGTTTCAGATGCTAATTAGAGAGCTATAAAGGTGCACAGTGCATTGTGATATTCATTGTGTTACAAACAGTAACTAACAGTTGAGGTTACGTGAAACTAATTATCTTTCCTTGCTCTATGCCTTTGCGAAGGTGAATCCGTATGCGTATAACGCAAGAATGCTATAGCAAGAGTGAAAACTGACTATTCTATTCAATTCAAGAGTTACAAACAGTATTTACCGTACTATTTATATTTAAAAAAGTTAATACACTACACTACCTTATCACCCAAATCCTTTCCACGTTTATTCAGCTTTATTTTTGGCTTCGAAATTCTTGTTGAATCATCTGTTATATCTTCTAATGTGTCAGGTACTGGTTGATTTAAAGTTTCAGGTAAAGCGAATGTCATTATTGCAGCTAGTATTGACAATGCTCCGTATAAAGCATAAGGTGCAGCTGAACCTAAAGCAGTCTGGAAATAGAAAACACTCAAGATGAAATAGTTGAATTAGGAAAGTGTGAGAAACTACAAATAATTGAAATATTGTTGTCAATTAGAAAAGGGAGTAGTCTGGACATGAGCGAGTGACTGCTTTGGCCTCTTAGATTCGAACCTATTTCTATGACCCAACAGAGGATTGTCAAACTTTAATAATTCGCTCTTCTGGGGCAGGAGATTTTTATTTGAGCCAGTGTCTGAAGCATTCTAATTTCTAACCAACTGCCCGGCCTTGATTCTTCGAATACATTCTGAAATATTATCGAATTTAGTTTTATTATTTTGGTTTTTCTTTTATATAGTTTCAGAAGGTGAGTGTCTATTTTTTTCTGACCCCTAGATCTAATAACTTTAAAAATGAAACCCTTTTTTTAATATATTCTCAAATTCAAGAATTTGTAATATTCAATATAACTACCTAATTCATCAAAGTGAGATATGGGTAAGAGGTAAAAGCTTCAACTTAACTTCAATAACATCACAGGCTACGCATCTCAGGTCCAAATAAAAAAGCCCCACCTCCCCTGAGTGTAAAAAATTGGGTGGGCAATGCTGAACCAGGAAAATTTTGGTACTTCCAAAAATAGTAGCTATTCACATATTGTCGAATATAAGTTGTTGCTTCGAAGCAAAAAGTGTAAAGTAAGTCCAGAAGTGAAAACTACACCAAACGGTTTACGATCCATGAAGGTAATCGGGATCAAATCTTCAATACTTACTAATAAATGAACATAAGGTGCCAATATTCCACCTATCCTTGCACACATTGATGACGTTCCCATTCCTACATTTCTTACAACAGTTGGAAATAATTCGGAAGCATAGATATAAACCAGAGCAAATGCAGCTGAAATTGCTAGCTTTCCTCCAAGAGCAAGAGCCGTCTTTGTTGTGGTTGTTTCTATAAGAAAAAATATTTAAATTCAAGAAAAGTTTCAACAAGGGAAATGGATTTATCAGAAACATTGATTCATTGCACTGACAGATATTTTCCAAATTTAGCTCGAGATTTTCAAGCATTTCAAGGAATGTAACCAACAAGCCTTCTTTATATCTTGGACAAATGCAGATATGTTTATATATAAACAACTGATAATATGCAATTGACAATGTGGTGACATTAAACTGGCCACTATGTCCCGTGTGATTACAAGTCCTGGTCAACAGAGGACAACAATCACACGCATAGTATAATACAGTGGTGTGCAACAGTCAATAGCGGAGGGCCATTCACATATAACAGGGTGAAACCGTGGGCTGCACCTTTATTTATACTTATAGTTGCAAGCACAAATCTTTTGGTTATTATTCTTATGAAATGCGTTGTTCGCTTCAGAGAATTGTAATTTCTAACGTCATAAGGCATAGATAATAAATTGGACTCAGATATAGGCTTTGCAACGAAAAGGGATTGGTTGGAATCACCCGCACGTACCAGATCAAACTAAAGTGAAAACTCGTTTCGCGGGCCACAAACAATTGAAAGTTGGCACTTCTCCACAGGCCGCACAATTTTTACTTGTGAGCCACATTAGGCTCGCTGGTCGAGGGTTGCACACCCCTGGTGTAATACATTGTGAATGTTGGGCTTAAACAAATAGATTAACTTCAAGGTCCATTACAGTGAAATTCTTGTTAACAGACTTGTCCCATGAGAAATTGCTAATGCTCCTACGAATGTATGTGTTGGCATCGTATTTCACACATATCAGGTTTAAATCTTATGCTAACCACGTAAAATTTGGTAGGCAATGTCGAACTGAATTAGATAATCGATAAAAATTATTCACTTTCGGAAGAGAAATTTAAGAATATGTACGAAGTATATGAAAAAAATTAAAACAGTCATACTTGATGCATCAGGTAAGAACATGATTGAGATTGAGAATATTCCAACACAAATGGCAAAACCGATGAGAGATCTTCTGCGGCCAGCCCTGAGAAACATAAATAATAGAGGATTAATGCTTCACAGAATAATAATGTATAGGTTTCAATAACAAATTACAACGAAGCACTCTCAAATTTACTTCTTTTCATATCAGCATATCTGAGAACAATTTTTTTAACACATAATTCGTATTGCCATGATAAGATTTCCTGAACATAGCCTACAAATTTCCATGTTTAATTAACTAACAAGGTCAAGCTTACATGTAAATTGCTATTTAGTGCTTGTACTGCAAATTCGGAAGATAATATAACAATAATTAGGATATAGAAAGATTCAGTAACCATTCGATAACATCCCCTGGCTATTGTCAATTTTATATTGTGTTTGTTCATTTTACTGAGTGCTTTTACTGTTTTTGTAGTTGACACAAACTTTTTTGTATATCTTAAGTTATGATCGCCTTCTGGCAAGTCTGTATTTTGTTCATCTGTTTGTTATTGTTATGTTGTTTCATTTTATGCCAGCGAGACCGAAATGAAATTGATTGATTACAGTATAAAGTACATTGGGCTTACTGTTACATCATGAAAGTACATCATAGGCCATGGAGTTGGAGTTTGGCATTTTTTATTGATATTGAACCTAAGATGTGTGTAAAAAATTTAAATCATTCACAGAGTCAGAATTTTGAATTTCTAATTGTGGAAATCAAAGTCGTAATTTCTGATGGAAACTGGTAAAACATCAGAAGTCGGAACTGTTGCGAATTCTCAGCAGACAATAAAGAGAGGCTTGTCTATGCCAAGGAGGAGTAAGAGTTAAAAATTTCCTTACAATCGGAGTCATATTTAAATGGACTGCCGTTTTAGAGTCGCGTGAAAATTTTCACCATCTGCACAAACTTATGGATAACAGAGTAGTTTATAATTGTAAGGAGTGAGACACTGAAAAGGCATCTTTGTGTGTGTACAAAGCTACCATTTCTAGTTGAATGAGTAGGATTCATATGTTGCTAATTTGGAAGGCCCAATGCACTCACAATTAAGCCGTCACATAAAATATAATAAACATAACTTTGTCATTGTGGATAAGTTATAATATGATGATTTGTGAAGGGTCAGTTATTCGCTGGCTAATGAACGGCAAAAAGAAAAACATAATCAAACAAATAACCCACACATTTATTTGTAATTAGTACTGCATTTGACTTACCAAGTTCTGTTTAACAGGGCACCACACAAGACTATAGCAGGAATCTCCACAACACCAGATAATGCTACACTCACATATAAACTTTCTGCAAGATCTTTAGCACTCATTGTTAGACCATAGTATGTAAAGCTGCAGACAAACCTGAACAAATAATAGATAGACTATTTATACTGATATTGATAGAACATGCATAAACTTGATGTTTATACATAGTATATTTACATGTATCTCGTGCTTTGTTGAAATCTGGCCTCCAGTGAAAAATTGAATGTTATTTCAATTACATTATGCTACATTACATCATACATGGTGACCCAGGTCATTTGGAACATATTCGAGAGTGAACATACCTTTTGCAAAGCGCCCTAGAGTACTTATTAAACTCTTGAGTATAGTACAATTACACAAGTTTTAATTAAATAAATTTTCTTCATTTTTGTACATTCACTATTAAGAAAATTATGGATTCTGTATTTTGAGCCAGCCTGTATAAAAAAGAATATTGCTAAAGCAATTTACAGATCTGCAATCTGTTTTATCCGGTATGCGAAACGTCAAACTCAATATGAAAAGCTCAGTGTTTATACAATTACAAAAGAAAACGGTAAGCAATATTTAACTAACTTTGATCTATAATTGGAAAAATCATCAGAAAAATCCATCCTGACAACATTATTATTGATCATCAACTCACCATGTATATCCCATTATCAATGTTCTCCTTGCTAAATTTTTCGATGAAAACAGATCACGGATTGAATATCCATTCTTATTAGATTTTTTTTCTTCTTTCCTTTTCTCCAATACAATACCTATGAAATATGAAAAAGTTGCAAAATCAATTTGTTTAAGACAATAGTGCTGCTTCTTGGTTCACTTGAAACTTTCAAAACCAGAAAAAAGTATGTCTCTGGCATGTTAAAATTAGAGATGTACCGATACCACTTTTGTCGCCGATACCGATCCGATACCAGCTAAAAAAGCCGATACCGATACCGATACACCGATACCACAAAAAGGCCGATATTACCGATACCGATACTATGTAAATATTACTTAATTAGGTGTGCTGTGTAGGGCAGACGGGTTAAAACAATGGTCTTTGAGCGTTGTTCATAGTACACATTATTTCAGATCGAAAAATGATATATCACATAATATGAAATTAATGTTTGGTGTTTGCTTCAACTGATTAAGATACACTGTACAGTAACACTAGTAATCTCGGTGTTTAATTAGAAAACCCATAAGCCGGGATGTCCAATTTGAATTTAATGTTAATATCGCGACCTTCGAATATCGTTATTCGTGTTTAAGAGAATATCGAATATCACCCACACATTCTAGAGCCGCCGTCCTACGTTCAAATTAAAAGCATTTTTCAAATATTTTATTTCGTGGCTAATCGTAATCATCCACGCAATAAGTCAAAGCCAACATGAAAGAATATCAATCAGCACCGACCAAAAGAAGGCCTACCTATAACCGTCGAGGATGTTTTTTCACTTTACTATTTTATATTATTATACAATTGCTATCATATATTTGAGACAGTCTAGGACTCTAGGCCCTCTAGGGCTAGGCGGTCATGTCAATATATCTATAAAGAAATTGTGTTTTAAACAAAAATTAATATCTGCGTAGAGGGATAATTGTGTCGGAATTTAGTTTATCGATGTCGTCGGACTAAATGACACTCGTACTTGACGACAAACACTCGTACTTGACGACAAACAGTCAGAATTTATACCCGTGCCAAAAGTCCATGTGCCGTTAATAAGGACCCCAATTCCACTGTATGATTTAAAACTGGGCGCCAGATTGCTTTTTGTTATGTGCCGTGTTGATATATTTCTTCATAATTACTATGTATGTGTTCACTATTAGCGCACTTTTTTGCGAAAATTGCGAAGCACTTTCGCAACTTTTTTTAGGGACTGCGAAATAGCACTTTTTTCCGATTTTGAAGAGAAATAGCACTTTTTTTCGATTTTGAATGGAATAAAAATTCAAAGTTGACAAATGTTTTTGTGTGCGTATTAAGTTGACAAATAAGTAACATACTAGTACTTTTGTAACTCAATTCTGCATATCATAACGATATTTACCGGAATTCTAACCTATGTGGTGAAGACATGGAAGATAAAGCTTTTGCATTAATGGCAAAATTCTTGTTTATAATATGATTATTATACAAGCACACCGATTCCGCTTCGACCGCGAAAACGCTCGGCGGCGTCTTTGAAACCAGATGTCCGAATGCAAGGCAGTGCGTTTCTCTAAACGAGAGTGGTCATGTGACTGTCAATGACATCGATGAATTGTGACCAAAGTACACGATTTTCTAGTACTGGTTTGACAGGTCTGTGTTCTGTTCTTAGTGAATTTACTGGAGCCATTCAGAAATTTCTGATACTCGACACGACATTGTTTAGTAATGGAATGTAAACTTGGGCCATTGTTTGTTAAAATAGAAGAAACTTTTAGCAGCATCTCACAGATTTGCAAAATCGCCAAATTGACAAAATACATATGTCGTATTAACATTTAACAGCCATTTTATTGTAACCACGAATGTTAAAAGCAAATGGCGTTTCGCGGAATTTTGCGATATTCAGTATTAGCTAGTCTAGTCATTCACGATAAATCAAACTCAGACCAGGGTCAAAAATCAATCTAAACTATTTCCTCATTAATATGCGAGTAGGGGTGGGCAAAATCGAATATTTTTTCGAATTGAATATTTTTAACGAATAAGGAATATTTTTTATGCACAGCAGGAGTCTAGAACGTCGGTCGTAAAATTAGCAAGGAAGCCTTTTCTACTGGTTAATTTCGTTATAATAGCTAATTGTTTTTGTCACCGCAATCGTTTTGGCGACTATATCCTGGGTTTGGCAATCCAGGCTTACGCGTGCGTTCACATCGGCAACAACTGTTAAGGGCATCAACGACAAATTTCAAAACCAAAATAAACATTTGCGTTGACTTGATATTACCTATCAACGTTTGTAAATTTACTGTCCCAATTTTAAGCAAATGGTATTATTATTATCGATGCCGGAATGCAAATATTTAATACGATAATTAACTTTTATAATTTTTTTATGGTGTCTGTATTAATTTACAGATAAATCTCGCAAATCTGAGATTGTGCCAATCCTGAATGTTGATTTAAAATTGTGATTAAATAATTCGGCAATAAAGGCATTTCTGCGTGGCCATAAGACGAGATGACTTTAATAAACAGCACTTCTTTAAGGATATTTTACATATGCGACTAATGCTAAAAACATTGGGCTCGAGTGCTCTGATGCCTAATCAGGCGCTAATTGCAACTAATTCAACTCAAGTTTCAACGACTTTTTTCATCTTCACGATATGTTATCGTTTTTTATTCGGTACTGATAATGATAAATAAAAAATGTGTAATTGTTGATTGCAATTCCGGAAAACGAACGAATTTAACGGCGGTTAACCGCGCATTGGAAAGCAAAACACAATTTATTAACATTACTTTACAATGAGTTACGGGTAAGAATTAACCAGACGGCTATCACTAACATGTAGAAACAATAAATTTGAAACGATTTTGTATAAAGCTTGTCAACATCGTTTTTGTGAATTTAGAAACGTCGATAAGTAAGACGAGTAAATAATGTATTTTATGAAACTTTCATGAGATATTGGTGAGAAATATTATTTTGACCATGTCGAAATGCCATTATTGCCGATTTATTCACGTGTTTAGTTACTATCAGTGTTTTAACCCAAAGCTGAGTTACGTAAATACTTAACACTGAGTACTCAAGAGATAACAAATTTGCGGAGTTTTTCAATTATTATTTAATACGAAAGTAACACAGACACGATCTAAAATTAAAAGCATAGAAATGTCAACTATCTGCTTCACAAATATCGCATCCCGGGGTCAGTAATAGAGATGTACCGATACCACTTTTGTCGCCGATACCGATCCGATACCAGCTAAAAACGCCGATACCGATACGCCGATACTACAAAAATGCCGATATTACCGATATTCCGATACCGATACTATGTAATTATTACTTAATTAGGTGTGCTGTGTAGGGCAGACGGGTTAAAACAATGGTCTTTGAGCGTTGTTCATAGTACACATTATTTCAGATCGAAAAAAAAGATATATCACATAATATGAAATTGATGTTTGGTGTTTGCTTCAACTGATTAAGATACATTGTACAGTAACGCTAGTAATCTCGGTGTTCAATTGAAACTCATAAGCCTGGATGTCAAATTTGAACTCAATATGAATATCGCGACCTTCGAATATCGTTATTCGAGTTTAAAAGAATATCGAATATCACCCACACATTCTAGCGCCGCCGTCCTACGTTCAAATTAAAAGCATTTTACAAATATTTTATTTCGTGGCTAATCGTAATCGTCGGACGCAATAAGTCAAGCCAAATTGAAAGAATATCAATCAGCACCGACAAAAGAAGGCCTACCTATAACCGTCGAGGATGTTTTTTTACTTTACTATTTTATAATATAAAATATTTTACAATTGCTATCATAAATTTTGAATTTCGGAACTTAGTTTATCGATGTCGACGGACTATATGACACTCGTACTTGACGACAAACAGTCAGCATTTATAGCCGTGCCAAAAGTCCTTGTGCCGTTAATAAGGACCCCAATTCCACTGTATGATTTAAAACTGGGCGCCTAGTTGCTTTTTGTTATGTGCTGTGTTGATATATTTCTTCATAATTACTATGTAATATTAAAAATGTCAATATAAAAAATTGACAGCGAAAATCGCCAAATTAGTTAACTAGTTTGGCTGATAAATAGCTAAAACACGTGAATCCTATTCTCTCGCGGGGGTGGGGACATATATGTCTCATAGCTCACGATCTCTCCAGACAAAAAATAAATTAAAAAGTAGTATTCCAACTTATCTTTTAAAACATTCGGGACCATATCAAATAGATAAATATATCGGAAATATCGGCCTTAAATTAACCGATACCGATACATGGCCGATACCGAAAAAATGGCCGATATTGCCGATACCGATACCCGATACCGATACATCGGTACATCTCTAGTCAGTAATAATATTATTGTTCGCTTAAACTCGGGACGGTAATTTACGAACTGATACAAATCCTACACAGAAGATAAAAAATCAGAACAAAATCAATTTTCGTTGTGAATGCGCTCATTAATAGTTGTCTTTAAAATCTTCGCCGATGTGAATTCACAATTCTATCCGAAATATAAAAACCAAACTACGATGTCCTCCGTTACGTGAGAATTAATATTTGCTAGTGAATAAAAACATGCTTTAATAATATAGTTTAACAACACGATCGCGGCGACAAAAAATTTACTGCAGCCTTCGATTATGACAAAATTATGAAATAATCATTGAATGGCAATAAAAATTTAACTTCATTAACAATAATTCTCAAGTAATAGTTTCACATTTTCATGATTTTGATCGTCGCTACATGCGAGCGTGTTTTTGTACATATAAACCATGATGACACTACTGACATCTGCGAGTTATAGATCTCTCCAAATTTAATTTTCGCGATTTTTATTGTTTCATTTCTAGATGCGGATGCCCGCTGACTACGGATAAATGGTCGATGTTTAAAAATAGGACTTCGGACCGTTGGCAAAGAAAGGCGGGCTACACGTAACTGCGAAATTTCGCCGTGAACGACCTTACATTTTAGTTATAAACGCATTACGTCGTCGCGAATTGCAGTTTTGGTGTAATGTTTTAACTTCCCCCTAATCTCCCGTTGAAAAAATCCTGGCTGCGCCCCTGCCCGGTGATAATTCTAGCTAAAATGTTACAATTTTATTCACGGAATCTGCAAATTCACCATTTTGATAATCACGCCCTAATTATTGGTGCAAAAACACTCAAAATATCACGAATTTAATCATTTCCGATGTTACTAGGCGCAATTCATGACGGCGACAGTGTGCGTTGTTACATCGAAATTCACAATTGATTTTACGTTATACTCTTGTTCACGATTTCAACACTCCACCCGCCATGCATGGCTGAGTGGAAGGTTCACATTTTCGAAACATTACTTGGCCAAGGATGGGAGGGATCACTAACGAGCTAATTGAAAGCACATTAAAAGGATTATGACTTGTCATTTTTTTCTGGTTATAGCCTGTACATGTTATACCATGTGTGGGCTCTCGGAACGTCAATTTAACTTTTAATTTTCGACAATCAATTGTATATGCGGCTCCTACATGAAACGGCTAATTCATGCTGCCAATATACGGAGTTTGAAATCTGGGGTATTTATTTCGAATAGTCTATTTATTTTGACTCTTCTAAAATTAGGAAGCTTTGTTGGTACCTTTTTTGGCGCAAAGTATGAAATTGAAACGATACGAATATTTTGCCCAGTCCTATAGGCGAGGTTATGATATTAACGCAGAGAATATTTGTAAGCATATCACTGGATGGAAATATTTTGCACCAAGACTGTTTGCAGAAGTTGATTTATCGAATACACGGAAAGTATTTACTTATCATCTCACTTGCGAACATCGGGGTTTGGGCGGAATTATACGATTATGTTGTTGTTCTTAAATAATAACTTTTTCGATGAATGTTTATTTTACTTTTGTGTATTAATTATGATATGTTGAGTTTTCGTTTATTTCAAATTCGAAATTGTCCGGAATACTCAAACAGGTGTAATAAGTGTAATATTGATAGTATAGTGTAATCGAGTAACCAACTTAGAAGTCTTTAGAGATGTCTAATGAACTTGATGTGTTACGGGTGTCGTAACCCCCGTTTTTTTATTAAATTTGATTGTTCTACCTTCCGCTTATAAAACAACATCGTTATACGGTCATCTAAGGTAACTCTCGCGACCAAATCTTTTTGTTCTGTATGGCATCACCTTAGCGCCATTTATTACCGACTGAATTTTAATTGTGATTTATGGTTATTTTCTGTTAGTTGGCGCTGATAACGTGAAACATTTTTAATATGTTTAATTTTAAAATTAAAAAAAAAATTTAAATATGTTCCTTACGTCTCTGCTATAATTGACAAGCGATAGCACAAGATTCAGCAGCAAATGATAAGCAAAGCTATTTTATAATCATGGGTTGCTTAATAAAGATTTGCTAATTATGGCAGGATATAAAGAACATGGCCTGAAATATATAATTAACAGAACGATGTTTATTTTTCAGTCGACGAAAACCATTAATAATAACGATTGCCGAAATCGCGAAAAAAATGAATACGGATTTTCGATTGTGATCAGATGACTGAGAGGGCACATGTTTTTTCTCTGTTCAAAGCAGATATAAAACGAATACCATGTTGCCGAAAAGCGGTTACGTGTTATCTTTCTTTAGCCAATCAAAATAGTGGTAATGGTATATACAAGAGGTTTCTAAACTTTACAAACTCGGAACGCAATTAATATTAAAATTACAAGTAATGGTGCATGGAAAAACGAATTTGATTTTATTGAAATTGAAACGCACACACTTAAGAGTTTTACATTTCATGCACAACTAACCGATGCTACATGTGAGATTTGTGCACATGAACGATTATATATCGCGATTATTTATGTGAGAATGCGTACTTCTCTTTCAACTTTAATTTCCAGGAATTCGGCGTTCACGTGGTCGACTAAAAAAGATTTATCAAATGGATTGGTATTTCGCGTCACACTCAAAATTATTTGGGAACCACTCATGTCATTCGTTTATTTTTTACATTCATGTTTTTTTCAAGAATCACCCTGTTGTATTTCCTGTACCTTCGCAAAGGAAAACTCTTTGGTGTCATCATTACTATTAGTGTAATTGAAAGTGGCGTTGAGATGCGAATATTTCATACTAGGTCTGCAGCATTAGAGAGAGCGTTATTTATAAATGCTGGAAGTACATGGCATTTCTAAAAAAAATTGCAAATATATGATGTTTTCTACCCGATTTGAACTAACTGGCACGCAAACCAATGCAAGTCGATATTTGAAAATTACACGTCTTAGCGTAATCCCTGAGACAGTATAATATAAATTAGGCCAAGCTAGCTCATGAAAGGGATTTCAAAGTGATCTTGCATCATATTTCGGAAAAAAAATCTTCGATAGAAAGTAGGTCGCTCTATCTATAAAAACAGCAGTACTTTTATGGTGATCTTGCCTTATTTCCCAAAGAAAAACTGGCCGGAGAAACATGACGTTAACCAATCTCTTAAAAGGGAAGAGGGCGGACTACTTTCAAGCATATTCTTTCGGACGAGGAAGCGTGTTATACTAAAGCGATATTGGTGATGGGTCAGGGGGATGTCATTTTGCCCGGGTTTTGTACAAATGATCCCCCTCCCTAGCTATGGCCGGTAGTAACTAATATCTGCATGTATCAATCGGTGTCTGTTAGATGGAAGAAACAAGTTTGCAAGGCTTGTCTGTTCAGGCGGGAGTGCGCTTCGTTACTGACGCTGGTGGTTGATTGCACGAAACTTTTATTCCGGACAAGTGTGCTTATCAGGTGTCCTTTGATGAATTCGCTTGTTTTTAACAAGAGTTTAAACGAAACTCCGTCAACGGAAAGACACTCTATTATTCACAATATTAACGGAAGTAGCGCTTTTTCGAGTATCTATGCTGTTTGAAATGAGTTTAAACGAAAGCTAGGGCACCTAACTAGTTAAAATCAGAAAAAGCACTTTCGCACTTTTTTTTTCGACTGCGAAGCACTTTCGCACTCATAATTTCCTTAGAGTTAACACTGAGTATGTAATATTAAAAATGTCAATATAAAAATTTGACAGCGAAAATAGCTAAAAATACGTGAATCATATTCTCTCGCGGGGGTAGGGACATGTATGGCTCATAGCTCACGATCTCTCCAGACAAAAAATAAATTAAAAAGTAGTATTCCAACTTATCTTTTAAAACATTCTGGACCATATCAAAAAGGTAAATATATCGGAAATATCGGCCTTAATCTAACCGATACCGATACATGGCCGATACCGAAAAAATGGCCGATAATGCCGATACCGATACATCTCTAGTTAAAATCCTAGACACCGAATTCAAGATATTTCATAACTAAAGCTCTAGCTCTAATACCAAAGCAATAAACATCCTACATTACAGATTCAACATCAATGATACAAACAATCACAGAGACTAATTTATCCTGTCGATAGTTTCACAAGCATATTTGATCCTACTGCAAGCATTTTGTAAGGAAACCACGTTTAAATGTGTAACTTACTGGCAACAGTTGACGATGATCTTCCATTCTTTCTGGCAAGATAATGCAAGACTTCTTCAGCAGCTGCTACTTTTCCTTGTGAATATAACCATCTGGGTGATTCAGGAACAATCCTGAAATGAAATTGAGTTATTTAGATTGACCTCATAAAAATTATCTGCTTCTGTTTGTTTTTTCACAATATATCACAATCACACTGCTTTGCATTACATGGAAAAGGTTTTTAAGTCCTCCAGAAGGGTGACAAGGCAATGCTAATGGATGATTCCTTTACCATTGAATTCCCTGTTTATTTCTGCAATAATTGCTTATTCGCAATAAACCAATGATGACATAACAATTGAGATTTCAGAAGCCACTTTTGTCACTCAAGTGAATTTCAATCATAGTTGTGATTCGTGAACCTCGACTCTCTCAATTTTGTGTTCAATTTGTCATTTTTACGTTGTTTTCAAAATTTAGGTATGAATCAAATAATTAGATGATAATTTGTCTTGGCTGAGTTTTCTCTTAGTTGCAGTAATCAAAGATCTCCCACAAAAACTGCAGTAGGCCTGGCTTAAAAGAGGTGTCAGAACTTCTTAATTGCAGCTTGTAAGAAGTTAGGTGGGGTCAAGGGTTGAAGAAATACCCATATTATGACAATGGAATCTAATACCAGTCTATGGGCCTCCGATGCACACATGGACTTGAATAAATCTGGAGCAGTGATAGATATGAGAACATTTTTACATACCAGTAAGGAAAAAGCAACACAAAGGCTGGTACCGATGTCACAATGCACAGATGCCTCCAATTGGTGAATACACTTGCTAAGAATGATAGAACAATGATTCCAATGGAAAATATAGCTGGTAGTATGCTCCCTGAAATTTTACAAAATTTAGAGCATATTATTATTATGAAGCACATTTAGCATTGGTTTTGAAAAGTTTAATTTCATTGTGTTGACCAAAACTACAGATTTGATTCACATACCTGTTATTGGCCAGACAGATGACCCAACTAATTCCTGTGCTAATACAAAGCCAACAAGCACAACACCACCTTGACAAAATCCAGCGAAGAAACGCAATGCACCGAAGATTCTCCAGTCATTTGAAAATGATGTGAGAAATGACACAATGATAAGACCCAAAAACACTAAAAATAAGTATATATATATGAATAAATATAAATGAGACAACTTCTGCTGTAAAAATTGTTTTATTTCATAAAAGAACTCGTCAGTCTAATTTTATCTTAGTATGATGATTAGTAATGTACAAATAATTTAGTTTGGAGTAACACTAATTGGTGTTTTACAAAATCCAGACATTCCGAATGATTGTTTATATCTGCATGATTCATATTTTTACAGTGAAACAGTAATTTTTTTAATAGTTCCACAAAGATTATTCGAAAAATGAATACAGGCAGAACTTTACATAGCAAACGATTTCGATGTGAACACTCCAAATGATATATCGAAAAAATTTGATATTTCCACAATAGGTGACCATGCAATTGAGATCATCATAAAAGGCATTCAAATGCAACAAAATCACTACATACCTCTGAAATACACTGGTTTTCTACCATATTTATCAGATAATTGACCAATCAATATATTTCCTAATAAAACTCCAACCATGAATATAGACTGAAGAGTATCAACAATGTATGCTCGATCTCCACGCAAATTCCACTGCCGAATATAATATATGATCAATTGAAACAAGAGTTGAAAAATGAGCCGAAAATGATAGTCATAAGGTGAGTGTGAATAATAGGAGGTTAGTTTACTAAACGCCGTCAAGTACTTCTAGTTGGCGTGGCATAATCAATTCCGCATATGTCAATTCTAACCTTCCCCTGACTACGTTATCCGAAAATTACGTAACTACAATGTCACAGTGGCGAAATAAGACCGGTCAAAGTATACGGATTGTCGTCCAATACGCTGCAAACTATCACTGTTGTAGTGACATAATTTTTGGATGACGTAGTCAGGTGGGGGTTAGAAACGACATATATGCGAAAATGGTTATACCACACCAACTAGAAGTAGTCGGCGGCATTTAGTGAACTAGCCCCTAAATTTGTCCCAGCCATACATAATAAAATAAGTCTTTTTAGTCTTTGGTTTATTATTCTTTAATCACATAATAACCTATATAATATAGCCTAGTCTTCCTAAATGCAGAATCCAGTACAATGAAAACACAATGACAATGCTATACTAGACAGAATCAGAAACAAAAATAAAATATTTCAGACTTACATCCCAACCTATACAGCTATATTTTTCATATATCTGTATATTCTCGTATAAATTATCACCAAGAAATATTTTTCAAAAACAACATCTAACACTATAAGGAAGGAAAACGTAGCTTAGATCCATAAACAATAAATATTACCTCGTCTACTATAGTTTGCATTCCTACAGGCTCCATTTTCCCCCTTTCACTGGATTTTAATGGGGGAGTTGCACCAACAAAAACCATGAGAACCATCTGGCAAGCCATTGGTATCTTAAAACAAGAGTAGATACAGTTATAGGCTAAATATTAACAAAAAATAGAGAATGCAAGATACCTTACCCCACTTATTCCGATGCATAAAAAGAGAAAAGCTTGATAAAATCCACATGCCCCAACAGATTTGAATCCCTGTTCAACGTTCATGCTGTTATGAGGTGTTCCTGTATTCAGGTATTTGCAAAACCACGGCCAATCAATTCAGGCAGTACCGCACCGGTACCGGTTCCGTATTCAGCAGTCACTTTGCTCAGCAGCGTGCAGGTCTGCAGGTAAAGTACGTACCGGTACGCTAGTTTAGTACCACAAGTACTTCTAGCATGATTGTACTCAAAATATACTGTAGTTAGCCCGCGGCTGCTTCGCTACGCTTGAGTGCTACTCCTGGACGTCATCGTTTTTCTATATCTTGAGGAGGTTTCGGTCTGGTATTTATGTGTAGTTTTTGAGGGATTTTATAAACAAAAACAACTAGAAAGATGGCTGGGCACTCACATGGTCATTTGGTAAATCCAGACTGTAGGTGGGTATGTAAGCACAGAAGCACCCACACATTACAGATAAAAACACTTGTATATCGTTTTATCCCTGCCTTTCATTCAACGCGTTTTGTTTTATCTGTTTTGTACATTTGATGAATTGTTGGAAATTTTTTGTGTCTTTGAAAGCAAGATGTTTTCTACGCCTATTTACTTATTTAGATAAACACAAACTGGAATTCCAGTCCCGGAATTTGCTGCATTCAATTATTTAAAACCAGCTTCATTTATATATATATGATATGTGGGGTAAATTCTGGTGATCTTCCAGTTGCCATAATTGGACGGAAGAAGTCGTCAGAAGTCTATTTCCATTACATTTGGTTTATCTATCTAAATTTTGTTATTATTTCGTGTAAGTTCCACAGATCCCTTCAGCAATTATCTGTTTTTCAGATGATTGCCCTATTCTGAATCGTATTTTTTTGTATTCTTGTATTGTTATTATTTTTATTTATTTTTTTGGTGGGCGGCCGCGTACTTTTTTTTACGCTTTTTACCCTTATTTTAAGTTATGCTCGCCCTCAAGGTATCTCTGCATTTCATTTTGTTTGTCTGTCTACTTTTTGTGCTGTTTTGTTTTTATGTCAGAGTAGCGAAATAAATGATTGATTGATTGATCTGTACAAGTACAACCCTACACGTGATAAGTACACGAGACTTAAAAGTCCTTTTCAGACATGAATAGGCTCGGGTATGGTCACTATCTTACACTGGACAAATTCACTGATTTATTGGAAAATAAATTGACCTAGGCTATATGGGTCGTTTTGTAATATTATTGTTGTTGTTTTTGTTGTTTATCTCGGCATTTTCTCTTTTATCGTTATGAAAAAATCGCTTTTCTTTTCAACTACTAGACCAAATGCTTTTAAATTTTCAGCAGTTGAAGATCGTAGCCTACTTCTCGCTAGAAGACTTGCTTTTTTGTGTCCATATATTTGAGCATATATTTCTCTTGTTTCAAGACATAACAGAGTAGCATGTCGTCATGCCTGCGTCCGCACCAAGTAACATCTAACAATGGAGCGTCGGCAGTGTGATTGTAGTTGGAGGGTAGTAATTGTTGTTTCAAGCATTATAGTACAGTTTTAAAACAGCCCACCATCTTTGCGTCGGTACCATAAGTTATCAAAGTGGAGTAGGGGCAGAGTATGTCTGATTTTCTGTGATTGTATTTATTGGATGGTAATTAAAGGTTTATATCAGGATTATAGCACAAAAGTAGAAATTCAGATATTCCCAAGTAGGGATGGGTGATATAGAATACCGAATCCAGAGGATTTCAATTCCTAAGACTCGGTTTTCGGCGCCGTGCGCCAATTTTTGAATTTCGAATTTATAATTTATTAATCAGGGACGAGTGTTTTTCTCTCGCGACGAAATCTGTCTCGCGGTATCAAACACCGTAATCCCAGCTTGAATATTCAGTACGCGATGACGGCGTTATTGCACCATTTTATTCATTATCATTGTTGCCGAGTGCCATCTTACAGGCAATTTTTCGAATGCAACAATCTTAATTTTTTGGAATAGTGAAACATTCTTTATCTTATATTAAATGACTTTTCGACTTCTCCCGGAAAATGATGAGTATTCGTCGACGTTAGATGATAAAACATAATTTGCGATTAATTTAGATCAAATTTTACTTTTCACGACATCCAGTTTTCAAAAATAAGAAGTTATAACGCAAAACAATGCGCTTTGTCAGAATTTTTTGCGCTCCCAACATATATCTTGGATTTCGGGTCGCTGATGAATCCGTTATTATCGCCCTAGCGTGACACATGCCTGGCCGAATGTCGGGCGGTATTTTAGTCGACGATAAATTGAAAAAGTTGCGATGATAACTAGAAATTAAAATTTGGTAACACAAATGAATTTGTCTCAAGATGTTATTATATGAGTTTTGCTCTCAGAAGCAAGCGATTTCTGTCAAACGCACAAGACATTCAAACAATATATAACGATATCATATCAGTCCGATAACCTACATCCTCCTTAGGGTTCCATTACATTTGAACCCACGATAATTGCACCTGCATACTATTGCACCTATGGATTTTTTTTGTTTTACGGATATTTGAACCCATACTAACCAATGTGTTTTAGCACCCACATATAGATTGAACCCGCGGATATACACATGGGTTCAAATGTACGGTCACCCATCCTTAGACATCGGCTACGGCCAGATAGCCGAGGACTACACACGCCACAATATCGCGTTGAGAGAATACCATGACGCATCACCCAAGCGTAACGAGAGAACTGTGTGACATAAATAAACAAAGACGACAAAGGCGCGAGCGAATAATAAATTAATTATAGTCACACAGGTTGAATGAATTCAATGAAATCGGATTCCATAAAAAATGTATAGTTGAAAACATTCCAACATTCCTTCTGTCCAGAGCGCAGAATTGTAACTGATTTAAAATTTAATTTTTCGTATTGGACAGGGGTGGCCAACCATCTTTCGACCGCGATCGACTAAAATCTTCAAAATAGCTTGCGATCTACTGATCTGGTAAGAAGATCATACACAAAAACGATTGAGTATTTAATATGCAGATAACTGCACGTCTGCACACTCCCATACCAAAAATTCCACCGCTGCAAATAAGCTCGGCTCTGTGGGCTCATTTCTAATGAAATCGCAACCAAAATTTGTATATTTTATGTTCCATTTGATTTGGTTATGTTATTGTACTCGGGGTAAATTTTCATCATTTGTTTAAGATTTATTCTAATCATACAATTGAGATCTAAGACCTTCCTAATTTTTAGTCGTATGTGTATTCTCAAATCATATATAAGTGTTACATGGCTGATCAAATTTCAGTATCTGATTTACAATTTCCTCAAAGTCAGATTCGTCGATCGCTTCGAATTAGAAAAATTGGCATTCTGATGCCCCTGCTACCGTGGAAAATACACGCATGCCGCAGAAGGCATTGTAGGATCGTTTTTCCGTCATGACACGCGTTCATTTCTAAACCAGCGGTGAAACTTTCATTTATTACGTATTATTATACTCTATCAGGCTTGCCCAGACGAAAATACTGTACTGTATATAGTATTTTGCGCGCGTATTCATTCTGTATCAAAACACACAACAGGCGATACATGGAACTGGTTCAAGGCAATTTTGGGGGTATGTTAATAAATTTACTTAATTAACATCAGACGCGATCGACATACTCAACGCGTGGCGGTCGACCGGTAGATCGCGATCGACGTGTTGGCCACCCCTGGTATAGGATATCATGTCATCAGTTTGATGGTTGGAAATAAAAAGAATAGAAATACCATTTCTCCATTAAATAATAAAACCCCACAATATGTGGCAGTAATAATGAATGTAAAACTCCTAAACATATAAATGAGTTCGCTGATTTTACCGATAAATATTGAAAACTATGACACTTTCATTCTATATCTTCACCTTAATTTTCCAATGTCTTGATGCACAATGTAGATTGATATCCATGGTTAAAGTAAAATAATTTGTATAACGTAATTTGAATTTGTATATGATTTTTTTTTTAATAAGTAAGGTTTCAAAAAGTAAACTATGAAACGCTTTGCAATTCTTCATTATTTCATGGAAGTCGTCCACTTGCGCACAAAATTTCAGGATATCCAATTGTATACATAACATGATTCGCCACACGTGGAAACGTGGAATAATATTTCAAAACATCCGTAGATGACAAATTGAATACCTTGCAGACGAACCAAGAATCCGCTCGAAAGTGTGTGTGCATTCTTTCGAAAAAGCTTGTGAATTTCTAATGCTGTATGAATACATATATATAAACTGTATTCGTCAATATATATCATTAGATTCAGACTCCCTGCTGAATTTGTTAACCGAACGAAGATGTCAACAACTATACTAATACCTGTTATCGCGTTCGCGCTTCTATCCTTACCTCAAACTTGTAAGTCCAATTCGTTATTCCAATTCTGATATCGCTGGAATAAAATAAAGTTGTCTGGTTATGTGGTACATGATATTTTGTCGAAATATTCAATAATTTAAAAAATTTATAAATTAAATGTGTTGTTTCAACCTTCATTTCGAAAAGTTCACAAACATACTATTAGCCTTTAAAATAACAATTACTTTTTGAGAATCATGTTTTCAGATTCAGACAGTCATGATATTCTTGACAATTGCGATCAAAGAGGAGATGACAGAGTGAGGTGTTTTGCTGGTGGGCAGCCATCTAAATGTGAAAAGCAGGGATGCTTTATGTGCGGAGCCAACAGGTTATCAAACGAAACAAAATGTATAAGAGGTTCGTTTAATATTGTGTCAGTCAGAAATGTCTTGCAATACAAACCGAGTTACGATACGATCAAAGTTGGAAAAGTTGACTCGCCATCGAAACGCACAACTGTTTATATGCAGTTAAAATTAGGCAAACTTGAAGGTACTAGGTTGAAAGTAAAAGGAATTTCTAATTCGATTGGGAAATTATTGTAAAAAATAGCAAGTAAGATATACAAATGTTTTATAGTTGTCCAAGTGCTTAACGATAATTTATTACCTTATGTACAATAAATCGTTTATATCTGAAAAAAATTAAGAAAAAAAGATGTCAAATTGACTATTGTGTTCAAAAATAGGAAAAGCCTGCAAAAGAACTGATCTTACTGGAGCTGATAACTGCTGGGGAGGCAAAGAAGGAGAAGAAAATGCTCATGATTGCTTCGTAAAATACAAATGTGCTTGGTGTCCAGATAATGATAAATACAAGTGTGTTCGAGGTTAGAAATGTTTTATTTTTCATCAATTTTTTAGAAGTTTATCTTATACGACAGCAGCTGCAATGATATAGGTTTAGTTGAATGCGCTAGATCGGGAAGTATTCAACCCTGCAAAGTTGTTAATGTACTCATTTTGTTTTCGTTCGAATCCCAAAATACAACCTGATCTGATCCGAAATTAGCACAATAACGAAGTTGACTTACTTTGAAATATGAATTGAATATTATTGTTTTTTGATGCCTAAATTTATTGCTTAACGAAAATAACGTTTTTACGTGAACAAATTTGACCAATTTTATTACAAACAGGCAAACACTGCGTAGTGAAAGATTTAAACCAAAAGAGACTTTAAAACAACATTTTATTTGGACTAACCCTAACCCTAACGCTATCATAGCAGTCGCTGTTTTAATGCGGTCGCCATTATGACAGTCTTTCACTTGATTACGTCGCTATTATGGAGTCGCTGTTATGACAGTCGCTATTTGGAACCCGAGCCGTTGTCACATGGCCAACGCTTAAAATAGATGAGTGCTTTACTAAAATGAAGGTACAAAACGTCTCTCCGAATGAGGAGTTATTTGACGCGAGCTTAAGGTACGAATTATGTCTGTATAAGACAATTCATTCTCCTTGTACCGATCACATGACGTCATTCCCAAATTTGACCAATTTTATTTTAAATATAAACTCGATATCCATCCTGGACTGGCGGTCACCAGTCACTTTAATGCGGGTGAGGCTTTTTTATCACATCAGAATTCTATGCAACATGATGTTTAAACATTTCATCATAAATAGGTTTGTATTTGTACATTTATAAGAGGCATGTTGATCCACCTACAAGAGAAACAAGGCCTAAGTGAAAATTTTATAAATATCTTCTTATTTTTACGTATGATGATAATAAAATCATGAATAGTGCGCTTAATTTTTTTTTAATAAATAATAATAAATTTTGAAAAGTCTAAAATAATTTACATGAATATTATAATTTAGTGGAAATGTAAAAGTGATGGAGTGTACTAATTGTAGAATGCACTCGGCTATCCTGAATAAATAGGGTTTGTGTCTTTAGGATGAAACCTTTCAGATTAACAAATAATTTTGCTATGGTTTCACGAAATATATTTACTGTAATCATTTGATCAACGTTTCTACATATGATAACTTCTGAGGTATGTTACAACTCATAGTATGCCATCGATTCCCCCCATACCAAGTTATAGCACAAACGTGTTATTTCCCGATAAGACTGCCGCTAAAAAAATTGTGTCAAGTATTCATATAAGATGAAACACAATAAGCTTTTGATGATCATATTGATACGATAATTGGTAGCAATTACAGCTCCACCTACCTAAAGCAAATGGGTGCCTAATTTCAATTAGAAGAGATGCTAACATTTTATGTTCGGCCTAGTTTGGTCTAGTCTAGACAAACCATTTTCCATGGTTTGTTTGTTGTGACAAATCAGTGTTTGTAGAATTTGAGCGGAAATTAATGAATTATTAGATCAATTATTTACAGAATGAAATCATTTCCTTTTCCCTGTATATTTCGCCGTAATACAGACACTATGAATTGGCAAATAGGCGTTCGGGATTATAGTTGATGCCTTGTAACAAAATATATTCTGAGACCTCTGTATGTAGATAGTGAATAAAATCCAGTTATGCCAATGTTAAGCCATGTTATTTCAAACAAAGGCATACATCGATTCAATATGACTTTACACTTATATATATATGTTAGATACTTGGTTTTTAGACCAATGCAAATAACAATTACAAGAAAACCCCTCAAAACGACAACACTCACCTATGTCAAAACAGTGATAATATGCAACAATACAGTATTAGATACTAAGTATCGCAAATTAATTTGTTCAATGTTGATATTTCCAGTGTGTTGCATAAATTTTGATTAAAAGCGACGAGAAACTACCCAAAATCTTTATACTAATACCGAAGTTTTCTATATATAAATTATATACTTTTATACTTTCATACTGCCTGAAATTTCATTTTTACATTTTTTCAGATTTTCCGAAGCCTCAGCGTGAGTAATGGTTTTAAGTTAACTCAATAGTGACAACTCAATTTCTGATAAAGTTTAATTAATTTCTATACATTTTCAACAAGTTTAATTAAATTAAAGTTCAGATTTTACTACTGAATCGGAAAGTGTACTGATATCGGGGTCCGAACCTACTTTTTTATCAGTCGTCGGACTATGGTAATGAGACCTTCATTCCTATCAGCGTTAAGAAAGAAACCATATGATGCATTATTAATCATTCATTTTTAGCGTTTGTTGATAATTGTGACCAACTCAAGCCTGAGAGAAGGTTGTGCAGAGGAAAGGCAAATAAGAACTCTACAAAATGCGCCGAACTAGGCTGTTATTACTGCAAAAATGGAAAACCCAAATGTATTGAAGGTATTGCTGTGAATAGTATTGTCTTTTCCCGGTGACGCCCGTGATTTACAGACTTACAGCCCGCCCTCCCTTCAGTTTATCCATTAAATACTCTTTTCATAAAGATATCATGAAGCAGCATAAATATTATTGCAATATTGCATTGTGGATGGATATTAGCCACATTAATAACGTCCTGCTTTCCTTGAAAAGCTCACATTAAAAATAGATTTGGCAGTATTTTTTGACCCATTTCATCTACATTTCTTTTCTTTCCCCGACCAGCGTAAGACTGATTGCTTTACATCAAAACAACAACTGTGGCCATGCAGTTACAGACGTAACTTAGCAATTAGATTTGTGTAATTCCTGATTGAATCTGTCTATTCAGTAAGTTGTGTATAGTATGACCTTATCGTTTGCTTTGAAAGTCACTGGTTGGTATCTTAAACTCAAAATTTGATTGCGTAATTAAACAGTATTAAGACTATTCGTTTTTTAAGGAATCGCATGCCGATACGAACCATCAGACGAAGATTTATGCTGGCAAGGTGAAGGCAAGGAGAACCAGCAAGACTGTCTTCGTTTATACAAGTGTTCATGGTGTGCAAGAAATCCCGAAGGAAGACAATGTGTTAAAGGTAATACATTCTGTATTATCATCATTTACACATTTTTATAAATAGAACGAAGCTGAGTCACTCTAAAATAATTACTTCGGGAAACTTGATGCCATATGCCAATAAAAACAGTGTCTTCTGGGTTCAAAAATAGGGAACAAATTACGAATCCTGCCTTTTCGTGTGGTTTTTGGGCGCCAAGACTATAGGCTATGAATGTCAAGCTATATAATCAACTTGCGCCAATGTGGACAGTTTGACTTTGGAATACTGACAAGAAAAATGAATTGTTCTGTTATCATATTATTTACCAAAATAAAATAAAAAACTGCGAGTTGTAGATATTATTATAATATTTATGTTCATTGACTAATAAATCCCATTTTTTTTCAGATACCGTGATTCCCAAAGACATACCGACACTCCCGCCACCTACAGCTATGCCAGCACCACGTAAGTTGTTACATGGTTAGTTATACAGGATATTCATAAAGTCTTAAAAACATTTAAAATTGCAAAGGGATTTTATCGATACCATATATTGTTTTGGCCCTCACAGATGTATTAAATGAAGTAAGGGGACTTCATGGACACCCTGTATAATATCGAGATGTGCCTGGTGGGAGTATTTCAGTCGCATTTCGCAAAATCAATACAGTGCGTGTATTTTTATTACGAACATTGTTGTTCAATGAAAAAGTGCATGCGCTATATACAATAATGCAACAATAAAAAGATTGCAGATTGCAGATTGCAGAACGCAGATTATAAGACAGAGTTTTTTTTTAATTTGAGGATGAATATATTACGAGAGAAATTTTATTTCAACACTGCTATACACAAAACTGAACGTATAATAAATTTTTACTTATATATACAATTTGTTCAAGACGTGGACGACTGCTTTGCTGGTGACATAAAAAGAAGACAGTGTTTCTCAAAAGGAAAGAGGGGATTATGTCGTAAAAACGGTTGCTCGTATTGTCCCGAAAGAAAACCAAAATGTATTGAAGGTGCGATAAAATTATTCACAATGAATTACAATGAAATAACAAAACAACATTTTTGTCCTTTTACAGTCCATTAGAGATCAGGTGAGGCTTCCCTGATGATGGCAAGCTAGTAACTCTGACTACAAATTGTTCGTGAATCAAAATTTCTAAGTTACGAAATAGTATAACAAGGAAATTTTGGGTTAACTTTACAGTTTTTTCTGTGTCTCTGCAACAATCTTAGCATTTTTCAGTCAGCAGCGGTTACTAGAGTTGATGAATATTATATTTATATTATTGCTCCAAAAGTACCTGATCAACCAGTATTGTTGCATATTATTAATTAGCGATATTATTAATGACCGTAAACTATAAGTAAAAAGAAGGAATAACACAATTTGCTCTTTAAAGGTCTGGCTTGCAGCTATGTTCCTTCACAAGCTCACAATTGCTGGAAAGGAGAACCCGGAAAAGAAAATGCTGAGGAGTGCAAAAAGATATATGGATGTTCTTGGTGCAAGAAAAACCCAAGATTCAAATGTGTTAGCGGTATATTTGTAATAATACTAAATCTTGGTCAAAGAATAATCATGATATAAAAATGGGAATCGTTCTAGTTTCGAAATACCAACTTCTACATAAAAAGGAAGTAATAAGAACTATAAATTTCAAGTAGATACAATGGAATTTGCATCTAGTATCGAGTTGAATTGAGTACAAGTGAAAATATGTATTGAGGCAATATACATAAGAAAAACACACTGGTATCTTTTAAGAAATTTCCAATGACGTCTCAATCTTCTAGCATTTTTTTCCGTGCGATTCAATTTTCAATGATAAATCATTTTTCACATAAATCTGAAATATTGCGCAATATGCAATCTGGTTTTGGTTTATTCATAAAACCAAACCTATACACAGCTCAAAATTATGAGTGCAAGTCGAAAATATCTCGCGGAATCATTTTTTTCCACTATCTGTACTGTTTGTTCATGTCTAATTGAATTTCGTCGTACAATATACGATTTCCGAATTATGAACAACAGATGAATCGCACGTATAGGAGAATACTACTACTAGTCATCTTTTTTGAAAATCTAGTTAAAAAATTTGTGAAAAAAGAACAGCAAAATAGAAAAGCAACATATCAAGGTAACAAAAAGATGAAGGAGAACCAATAAATAAAAATTGAAATCTTCCCATGCTACCAAAATGTTTTTACATCGGTCATTTACTAACAATATTCCACCAATATTGCAGATTCTGTGATTCTTGATCCCCCGACGATTTCCCGTAAGTTGTTTTGTTGTGCATGTAATACATTGATATTGAAAAAAAAAATTTGCAGAGCTTTGACCTTAGTCAGCAACAAAATATAATATTCGTAATATTTTTGTTGTGCATTTAATACATTGATTTTGAAATAAAAATCGTAGAGCTTTAACCGTGATTCATGGTATGCTCATCAACTGAACTCACTAAGGAACTGTGTATACTTCCATACCGTATGCACTTTTTCAAGCGATTTATCTAAACTTTCTGTATATTTGCTTGATACTTTCCAAAGAAAGTCGAGTTCAAATTGATTGAATCATTATCAATTTTTATCTGACTACAGCAATCACTTGCGCTGCTAAAGAAGCCGTCAACTGCTTTCCTTTTGTGGACCGCTCCATAAGCCTTGCCCAATGCGAAAATCGTGATCCTGAATGCATCTTTTGTCCGGAAAGAGAGGAAGGTGCAAAATGCTTGCGATGTGAGTAAATTTATTTCTTTTATCTGTAATACTCTGTGTTCTTTGAAATAATACTGTGTTTTAGTTCTTTGACAAAATCACCAATGCATTGTTTATCTATTCGTTATCACATTTAGGACCATATACCATATTTGAAAACTTCCAAAACAACTAAAATTACTGACATGAGCAGAGGTACTGTTTTCATGTATCAAATGTTACAGAGCGAAAGATCGAGGGGAGCATTTAAAGGAAATAGTATTTTTCTGTCCCAACCAAGACTCTAAGTATATATTATATCATATATACTATAGTATATAATAAAACGTGAAAATATTTTCGCGACAGACCGTTGTCCCAATGGCTATCAAAAGAGATATAAATCTGACGGTTGTTGCAAAAGTGTTGGCAGTAGTGTGTCCAGTACTTCAGCTCAAAGAATTGTTAATGGAGACGAAGCTGCAGAAGGACGATGGCCGTGGATGGTATTATTATTATTATTTTTCTATTTCGTCATTTGTGACATTATAAATAAAAACAAATACTTTCATATCGGCGAAACAACACTACTTCAATGTTTGCACAGGTTGAAAGGGGTGGCTATTGTAGATAACTATTGTTTGAAATGAAGGACATACAAAACGTGGTATAAAAAAAAGAACAAAAAATAAAATACGAAGAATTTGTATTTTGAAACGTATCGAACGAATTGTAGGCATTACTATTACTTAGAAAAAGGAGCCACGAGGCAGATTCCCTTCAAAATTGTAGAAATCCCATTTTAGCCGAATGTCATGGTGTATTTCCTAACTTGAAACTTTGGCTGCAATTTCCACGGTGCCGTCATATCGCAGTGATCGAGCAGACTACAGTTTAACATAAAGCGGTCTATCTATTTTACAGTTTAGAATCGGAAGTATTCATAAAATCATACAAGTAAAATTGTGTAGTAAATCGGTACAAAAATTCTTGGCAGTTTTGGCGTTTGGTGTTGGGTTTTACTCTGTATGGTGTATGCTATCCGACCCAGCAGTTCTGTAAGGTTAAACCTCTATTGTTGATTCTTTATTCATATACAGGCCGGAATTTAATCAAAGACTCTAATTACAGCTCAACACTTTCCAAATTTTTCTTTTGAGCTTAATTTGTGCATCTTAAATTACGAAAATGATGAATTTTACGAATTATTTTTTTCTATTTAGGTCACTGTTATCGGAAATTATGGCGGATCTAAAACATTTTGCGGCGGGACACTAGTAAGCAAAAAACATGTTATATCTGCCGCTCATTGTCTGCTTGCCAGAGACCCGTTAAGATTCCAGTAAGTAGCGTTATAAAATCCTTTTGAGTTGTTTACTTGCATGCTTGTCATGCAGAGCAAAAGATAGCAGAATAATATCACCCTCAGGTCGTGGCATCAAAAGTGCCATTTTCACTGCATTTTGAAACGAATGCCACGTCCAGTACATTGAAATTCAGATGGATATGTTTATTCAGTAAAACTATATCTAAAAAGGACATTGATTTCCTTACAAAACTCGTCAATTTATCGTTTAGCGCCTCCTGAATTTAAATCAGATCAGGGCTGGAACCAAAAAAGTTTCATTTTTTCTTGGTTGAAATCTAAATGTGGATTATGCTGTTAAATTGTTTTTGTTATGTTAAAATCGTCTTTTTCCGAAACTAATGAACCGATCAATTTTAAATTTACAGTTCTGAATAATGGAATGAGTCGCCATAGAAAACTATTACTTAGTCCTATTCGAGCCAATATTTTGAGCAAATTTTTGCAGTTTGTTCAGTGGCATGGTATGGCATATGGAAACACTTTTATACGGCCTTTCATCTTCGTGTACATATATTCGAGGATTAATCTCTTGTTACGTTATTGAAAATATCGATATTATATTGTATACATATGCTGTTATTGTATTTTGATTGTTGTCATAGTTGGTGGAGCAGGATCAACCATAATAGTTTTTAACTTATTTCATTCATTACGTCGAGCTGCGTTTGGTTGTATTTAATAACAAATTCATATAATATTCATAGTTTATAAGAACATGTTTTGTTAACGAAAACTCTTGAAATCACCAAATCACTGATGAATTCACGTCATTTCAGGGGCGTCAGTTATTATGTGGAAATGAACTCTTATGATCGCGAGAGTGATGATATAGTAAAGATCGATGTTTCAAATATAATTTCTCACGAGGGTTATGTTTACGACGGCCTAATACAGTATCACAGCGACATTATGCTGATGGAGGTTAGTTAGCCTAAAATTAAAAATCTCTTTATATTAGAATGAAATATTTCCGTATCGAATTCTGTCCGTCTATTCGCTCAGCAAAATCGATGCTCACTTTGCAATTTACCAATACTGCTGTGAATACGGCACGTCAGGTTCGTTAGCCGCATTTTTTAAACTTTTTGAATTTGACACGTCAGCCAAATCAAATAATCTCCGATGCTTTCTAGCTCTGGATGAAAATTTCAATTAGATATCTCTTGGCTGAGACGCAGCATATTTCATATTTCTATGGCAAGCACCAAAATGGGAAGTATTACCGATTGAATTTGACACCATTTGGTAAATCTTTCACTGTACATTTCTCCAAGATTGTCCCGATGTTTAGGTGTATGGAACAAACAAAATATTTGTCTGTAAAATTAGGGCGTCTGGAAGAACGGTATACTGGAAATATGACAATTTCACCATAAGTTGGTGTCTTCAAAAGGTTTTGACTTTCGTGGAAACAATTGAGCATTAATCTCTTGATTATTCGTTGTAAAAAGTTTTTATATTTTTTTTCATATAAACCTTGATAAAACCATCCATTACAGTTAAAGAATTGAACAAATCACAGTCAGTTTGCAATAAGTTATTAATATCATGGCAAATGGTGTTTGTTTAGTGAAGGTCTTTTCTCGTGGCCTTCAGACAAACAACCAACGACTTAATGTAGAAAATTCTGGTTTATATATAATTTAAGCAATAACTCGTTACTATCATCAATTTTTATTGAATGCAAATTATACTTGGCGAGAGAATATTTAAATATACTTATTCTCTCCTGACCTGGTGTATCGTTTCTAATTTAAATAAATTTATACAATCAACTAAGCTGGCAGAAGAAGTTCCCGACAGCTCTAACATACAACCTCTTCCGCTGCCTCAAGGTGAAATTGTACATGTCGGTCAGCGGTGCATTGTTACGGGATGGGGATTAAGTGAGTCTCATTGCTTTTTATTTTACTATCACACACACACACCACATAAATTATAAATATGCGGACGAGTTTCTTCAAGTATCGCATAATATGTAAATATATCATAATATCTCATCAAACTTATGTTGTTCAAATTTCCTAATATCATACATCATTCCAAATCTCATTGGCAGTCCAAATATCGTTGAAGGACTGTGCCTAGCGACATCCTCGCTCGCAGAAGTTTTCCCGGCCAAAAATAAACTTGACGATAAATTGGCGGTGAGAAATGATTTCAAAACAATTTTGAGACCGAGGCGGTTTACTTGCTTGAAGATGAAAGGTGGTATTCAAAATACTGTTTCACCCTGCATATTAAAACAAATTGCTACTCGAATATTTTAAACGTCTTCGGAAAATAGTAAGCGCAAGTTTGTATATACAGGGTAAGAGGCGGGGTAGCCAAAAGGTTCAAAAACCCATGCCATATAGCAAATGCGACGACAGAAAAACAGGACAACTTTAAGTCCAACGTTACAACGTAGCTTAGCTCTGACCATATCGATGACAATATTATTTTATATTCAACTTTTGTTATAGCTTCGTTAATAGATGAAGATGTACAAACCAAGTTACGAGAAATAGCCGTGGATATTAGATCGGCTGAAGATTGTCTCGGCCCGGATCCAGATTATGATAAAGGACCACACTTCTGTGCAAATCGCGAAGATATAGAAGTAGACGTCTGTAACGTAAGTAATAGCATATTCTGTGAAAGCTATTCTTCCCAATCGAGACAAAAGACAAGAATATATTCTTTTAGTAATAGAAATAACACAACGTTGTGTGTGAGTGTAAGCTGTTGTATACACAACAGCTTCATTCTGTGCATTTTAATAAAGGCAGGCCGAACACTTCGACTAAAAATTATAAATCTTCGTAAACTTGATTCTGAAGAGTAATGAATGGAGGTTAGGTAAACTACCCTTACAAGTTTATTAATTTCGAATTTTAGAATGTAGTTTCAGGAATCAGCATGGAGGCTTTAAAACTTACAAATTTTTATTTCTGTCCGGGTTCAGAATGTAAATGTTTAAAAATATTTTTGTAAAGACAAAAAATTGTACAAGTTTTTTCTTAAATAGCGAAAATTCAATTTGACAATTAGTTACAAACACACATACGCTAATATCGAGTATTCTCTTTGGGGAAAATAGCAAAACAATGAAAGAAAAGAATTTTTTGTGTGCAGGGTGATAGCGGTGGCCCTTTGGCATGCCAAAGATGTGACAGTTGCGAATGGTATATTGCTGGAATTGTTTCAATCGGACATTGCTTTGACAACTTCGGTCAGTTTCCTGGACTTTTCACTAGAGTTTCCTACTACGAGGACTGGTTGCATGCAAATGGACTGGAGAAAAAAAATGGAGAATACAACTGCGACTTTTACTGAAAACAGATTTGACTATTACAACTATCTGATATTACCCAGTGAAATAGTCAAATATAATCAATTATATATTTATTGAACTCCTGAAATATTAAATGCTTATGATAATAACACTTTTGGGCAATTATATGCGATTACACAAATATTTTTCTTCATTCAAATTATTTGTTGTCATCCGCATTGGATGAGACAAATTTCGTTTTATTTTTTTGTGAAATTATCCACTCGCCTCACAATTAAATATTTATATAGACGAAATATGTTGGCCCATAATAATACACTTGGAATATTTGACACTGTCTATAGACAATGTACGGAATAAATACAAATAGGGGAAACCTGAATAAACTAATTAAATTTTGTTTGTGACGGATACGAATTTTTATTGGCTGTGTTATGCTGAAATTGGTTTTGTTGAGTTACAATCATTTAGATTTGTACAAATGTATTGTTTGTATAGAATATAGATAATATGCTACTTATAGCCAACGAAGCAGACATGTTACCACTGAAGCTTGAATATACTTGCGTTAACACTTTGTTTTGAACACCTTTTGACTATGTCATGTACTGGAAATGGAATCTTTCCATCTTAAAAGATAACATGTAATACCATGTGGATATATAACTTAACTTTAATATGCTACATGTCATTTAATGTGGAATTAACAGACTATAGTTTTCGCGCATTATAAATACATATTAAAAATCTATATCATAAAAAATGTGGCTCTCGAAATAAATGATTCGACTTCTGCATCATTGCATTAATATGGAATAGTCTCCTTGAGATGGTTACGAAAGATTTTTTTTCGCTATTTTGTCGCCAATGTTTATTCACAACCGTTTAAATTACAAGTAGAATGGGTCAGGGACAGTGAGGCAGATCCAATTCGCCCAACAGCAACAAAATCTAGATTGGTAATTTGGCAACAAAGCAACTTTGTTGTTTTCACCTTTTATTGGCTACCGTAGGCGGCATATGGTACACGCACAGTAGAAACAAGAAATGAATGAGTAAGCAACGGCCTTGGAAAACTGTTACAATGTATGAACGTAGAATGTATATGAATAAATACATACATAAATGCAGGCACACACATTATCCTGAGAAGCATCCCGGAGAGACTATTTGAAGCTAGCACATATCTGCTCACAATTTGACTTATTAAGTACCAGGAGCTTAAAGTGGAACAGAATTTTCACAACGTTAAGTGCGTACAATTTCAACTATCCTGTTAACTCATTCCCGTAAATATATTTTGGTTGTCAACGATTCGATATCTAATTAATGAAATTTTATAGGCTAAAGGAAATTTTCAAGCTTTTCGATGTTCAACATACTTTTATGCCAATTAAATATATCAGATGAATATCAATTTTTCAAAATCCTCCTTCTAAAACCAATACAATTCTATGAACAAACAACTCCAAGTAAATGTCAGTGTTTCTTCAAGTCTAGAAGAATAGCATTTAGAAATCTCATCTTGGTCTGCCTATTATACTGCATGAGTCCGATCTTACCTAGCAAGTTATTACATAAGTGAATCTGTAGCCCGTATATTCAAAATGCTACATAATGGTTACCAAAAGAGAACTTTAAAAAAGATTCAAGCTTGCAAAACCTTTCACATTGGAAAATGTGTCGTCACCTAGGTTATTGGACACAAAATGGACTTATGGATCGTTTTGTTATTAGGCACGATAAGCCTATGTTATTATGTTGTTTTTGTTAATATTCTTGGTCCTTTCCTTCTTCTTGGTGGGCCCGAAATGGGCCTATGGATCGTTTTGGTACTATGTTTTTGTTGTTCTTAGAATTCTTTTTCTTGTCGTTGTGGAAAAAATCGTCTCTCTCATTAACTACCGAACCACCGCGTTCGCGTTAGTTGCTATCTGGCGGTCTACTGCAAGGTTTCCGAAACTTTTTGAGCCGTGGACCAGGGCTGCCACTTTTGTCAAAATAAAAACATCTAGTTTGACTTCAAAAAACATCTAAAATCATCTAGACTGAAAAACAAAACATCCAAAAAATACATATATATATATATGAATATATATATGAACAAGAGAGTACAAATAATTCTCTTTATATATATCACATCATAGTAGATTTCGAAGATCATTTGAAGTTGATGTTGTTGCTACATTTTCTTCAGAGGAATGTTTATATGTTTCTGCTGTACATATTCTTCTGAAACTGAAACAGGTTCCTTATTTTGAGTTGGGTAAAGTTTAATGATAACTAGTAATGCATTTAGTGAATCTGTCTTTGTGCTGTTTCATAGTTTTTTTGTCGCAGTTTATTGCTTTAATTTTTTTTTTCAAAATCAGTCTTTAAATGACGTAGTAACATTGCTGACTTACAGTGCTGTTTCTGTGTTATTGTTCCACTTTCTGACTTGAGGATTTTTAGCTGACCTTCCGCACTGCCGATAATGTTTTTTTTAGGATAGCTATGTTTTATGACAGCTGACAGAATGTATGTCGTATGTTGCTAACAGAAAACAATTACGCGCTTTTTAAAACAGTCAAATTTGCAGGTAGTCTTTGTTTCAGCTGTTTATGTAAGACACTGAAAATAAGAAAACTTTGGCATATACTTGATATATTATAATGCTCTCTCCAGTTTTGTGATAAAAATCCCTTGAATTTCATATCGGGCATGTGATTTAAGTTTTATCAACCTCACATCTCATTCTAAATACAATTCGTTTAACAATTATGCACATCGTTTTTATATTTCCCACTGGATAATATTTAGAACGTTGAAAAATATCTGTATATTTATAGCTAACATCTAACTAGTGAATGGATGTGTTTGGCGGAAGAAACTGTTAGGAGCAGTGCTTTTCAACCGGGGTTTCGCAAAATACTTAGGCTATTGGGGTTCCGTGAGTTTTGGAAGTTCTGTAGGGATCAGTGAAAGTTCCTCTTGAGTGGACTGTGTAAATTGTGTGTCATTTTCAAAATACTTTATTGCGTGAAACAGTATTTTATGTTTTAACAACTATCAAAAACAACATGACAGCAATGCTCAAATATATGGACATGAAAGTCAAAACGAAGTAGTATCATAATATTTTACAGTACCGATAGTCTGACCACCAGCTTACTGAGATATGATCACGGAAACGCGCCACGCAATGTTCAATTTTGATTACGTCATCACTCAAAATTTCGAAGCAGAAAACGAATCACATAGAAACCACAGATATTCAAATCAATAAAAGTAATAGTCTTCTAGGGTGACCGTACATTTGAACCCACGTACATTTGAACCCATGCGTATATCCACGGGTTCAATCTATATGCGGGTGCTAAAACCCATGGGTTAGGGTTAGTATGAGTTCAACTATCCGAAAAACAAAAAAAATTCCATAGGTGCAATAGCATACAGGTGCAATTGTCACGGGTTCAAATGTACGTGGGTTCAAATGTAATGGACCGTCTTCTAGCGATAACAAAAATCTTTAACCACTGAAAAATGCAAAGCAATTGGTCCAGTAGTTCAAGAGAACAGCAATTTTTTCACAACAGTAACATACCGTGTTTCCCCGAAGATAAGACTGGGTCTTATTTTAAAATTCTTCCGAAAAATAACACTAGTGCTTATTTTCGGGAGATGTCTTATATTTTTATTTATCAAAAACAAAATTACAAAGTAGAGAATTACGAGATTTTCATATATATATATAAAATATGAAACCAATATCCATTTACTTATAAATAACACGTTTTTAGTCAAAATAACCGTAAAAAGTGGATTATAATCCATGATATTTATCAATCATTTAAAACGTGTAGGAGGGATGTTTTGCTAGCGATTAGGTAAAAAAAATCGCCTTATTGACTAGGTCCTCTTTTAAGGGAAGGGCTTTTATTAAAATCATTTTTAAAATTCAGGCTAGGTCTTATTTTCCGGGTAGGTCTGAGGGAAACACGGTAATAACAAAACGATCCTTAGGTCCATTTTGTGTCCAATAAAAACAGAAGTCATTTGAGTAGTGTGTATATGTGCATAAATATAATTCATTGAGTAACACGGAGCCTCGAAAACCCGCTAAAAATTTCGAAGCAGCAGTTGAAGAGAACTTCAATTTTTTCACAACAGCAACATAACAACAAAACGATCCATAGGTCTATTTTGTGTCCAATAGGAAACACAAGTTGCTTGGGTAGTGTGTAAATGTGCATAAATATTACATTGAGCAACATGGAGCCACGATTTAAAAGTTTGTTAGAGAAATGCCATTACAGAAGGGCCATTTATCTTCTGCAATAACTTTTTATTGTTATTGTTTGACTACCCATTTGACTTTCATATATTTATGAGTATTTTTGAAAAATTATTATTAAGGGTTCTCGGGTGAGCCCAATAGCATATCAGAGAGGAAGGGGCATAGATAAAAGAGTTAAAACTCTCTTGTCTAGGGGTTGTACAGAACTACATGATAGTTGGGATGCGTCTAGACTAGACCATAGTAGAACATTGCTCATCAAGTTTTTTTTCGAAACGGTAGGCTACACCCTTTAATACTTAACTCAAAATCCGCTACACACTAACCCCATCCAATCACACATTTTTACTGGCCCAAAATTATGACTTCAGGTTTTCTGGTTTCATTTCGTTTTATTACAGTCTTGAGTTACAATTTGATTAACCTCGTCGAGACAACAAGAGATTCGAATGAAAAAAAATTTGTAATCGTATATATATATATATAATTGTTACTATCATATGAATGTAATATTTCAGAAGAGATGTATTTGAATAAATATATAAAATTCATGAAACACGCCTTGGTTAGTGAGTCTTAATTGAACATAAATAGTTTTACTTGGTAATATCAAATAATTGTGATAGTCAAATCTATTTTTCAGTAAAAGTTGCAGTCGTATTCTCCATTTTTCCTCTCCAGTCCATTTACATGCAACCAGTTCTCAAAGAAGGAAACTCTAGTAAAAACCCCAGGAAACAGACCGAATTTGTCAAAACAAGATCCGGCTGAAACAATTCCAGCAATATACCATTCGCAACTGTCACATCTTTGACAAGCTATGGGGCCGCCGCTATCACCCTGTACAAAAAAGTTTATTATTTTTTATTACTATATATACTTTTTACTATATTTCCCCTTTCTCTATAAAAGTATTCAAGTTATCAAATGATTGTTTTGTCAATTGCGAAAATACGTAAATTAAGTTCTGACTTGATAAACCTAAGATTAGTTGAGCTGGTTGATGCATTTTGTCATTTCAGGATTTCTTGCTTGTGGGAGATTGCCTCGATTAAGAAAATATCTTTCACCAAATTTGTTGAAACTTACAGAGCATATGTCTACATCTATATCTTCTCGATTAGCACAGAAGAATGATTCAGTACTATAGAGTGGACTCGGTGCTCTACAATCTTCTGTCAATCTAATATCCATTGCTACTTCTTGTAATTTGACTGATAAATCTTCATCTATTAACGAGGCTATAAAAAAAATTTGAATATATAAATAGGTTCATATTATCATCGATGTGGTCAGAGCTAAACCACGTGGTCATGCACTGCAATCATAGGTTGAGCAAAAGATTTTGTAAAAATATAGAACTTAAATGTTGCCCTGCTTACTTGTCGCTACATTCACCATATATATTCACAGGGTGTATCAAAGTAAGTATACACTTTTAAGTTTGAATTGATTTTCAGGTACTTATCATAGAGCGTTCATTTCTTTAAAAAACACAGTATGAATAAGTAGTAAAATTTAGGTATTGTTTGTATTTTTGATCAACCCACAGAATGACAAGGAGATTAACCCAAGAAAGGAGGTGCAAAAGTCCTGTTTGGCAAGAAGCATATAAATCAGTAAGGCATACTTAGCGCCTCATTAACAGAGAATTTTACTACTCACCCATACTATGTTTTCTAAAGAAATGAAAAGAAAAGAAAATCGAAATTGAAAGTGTATGCTTACTTTTGAGACACCCTGTATATCTGTGAGGGTTCTTGAACTTTTTGGGCGCTCCCCCCAAACCCCATAATATAAAAATTAGCGATAGGGTCCTAAGCGTCCTAAATTTGTTATTTGTTGTTTCTTGGGATTTCCAGGTTTCAGTGAGTACAGGAGTGAGTTAAACGACGGTTATACACGGCGGAACATACAAATGCGAGTCTGCGACGAAAGAATTAGCCTAAATAAGACTGTATGACTCGTAGCATCGTGAACAGCTTCCGTAATAGCCCTCGAGTCGCGAAGTTGCCCACGATTCACAAATCCGGTGAATTGATAATACAACTGACCTTCTATCTAGTAATCTAACGGTTAATGAACTACTAGGTTTGAAAGTTTGAGAAGACTGAAAAAATAGCTAATTTTCAGGCATAATCGATTATTGTTTTCGTCAGCAGCACAACGTGATTATTTCGACTGTGAATATATTTATATTAGTTGAGCAAATTTTCCCTATCTCACAAGTATATGTCGACACATGTACCTGTACTACACGAGGACATTGAGAACTATTTATTCGCCGAATTACATTTACAGTGCAAAAAACGCTCTTTGCGTTAGGAACTCCATGACAGGAATATTGTCCCAACTTTATCTTAGATACTGGAAAATCACAAAAATATTGCTTACATACGGCATGCATTTGCCTAGTTACCAACAGAAACAATACCATACGCGTTAAAGATTGAAAACTCCGAACTGCTTCGCGCCCCATCTGCCATGCTTCCAAGCGCGTGTAGTGTTTATGAACGAGAAACCAATTATAGAAGTATTTATGGAAATAGAATTTCAACAAAATAAATTTAAATTAATTTTATTTGTAATTAAAATAATTCAAATTTCATCCTACGTTTTTTGATTGCACTTCTGCATGATTGGATGATATGATATATCGACATAGGTTGCACTCGAAGCAATCTCACCAGCATATTTATACCTTGTATTGTGAGTGAGTAACAATAAAACAAAAATGAGACTTACATAACCCCCATCCCATGGCAATGCACCGTTGACCAACATGCACAATTTCACCTTGAGGCAGCGCCAGAGGTTGTATATTGGGGCTGTCGGGAACTTCTTCTACCAGCTGAGTTGATGAAATATTGAAATTTTATTAATTTTAAAACGATACACCAGCTCTGGTGAGAATAATTATATTAAAATTACAAATTTAAAAATTGGCAACGACAATTGGCATTTAACAGAAATCGATGAAAATAACTTGATTGACGAGAGGACTTTTGAAGAATAAAATTCATGCCATGTACCCGTGTCATATATCGTGCCGTGTCATATATCCAAGACAACATACCAAGAATCAAATTTTGAAACTAGAGAGGCATTCTCAAATATATGGGCACGAATTAAGACTTCTTTTATTATGGAGGGGGTTTTTCCGACTTCGACTGACCACCAGATCGCTGCGAACGCAATTTTTAAGACGTCATCACATGAAACATCAAAGTGATAAACGAATCCCATAGAGCCCACAGAAACTCTTCACACAAAAATTTGTAGAAGCCCTAGGTCGAATAGTGGAAGACAAACGCGATTTTTTCACAACAAAAATAAGAAAATGACAACAACAGCATAATAACAAGATATGTCCAATTTGTGTCCAATAAGAGTAAGGGAGAGAGAGAGTATTTAGTGAAAAAAAAACACTTTGCAATCTGGTTCATATGAGGAAAAAATTTAAACTTTTTGCCATAGGCAGGGTGGCCCAAAAGCAGATTTCAATAATAATATCGATAGTAAGAGAGCAAGGCCCAAAGAAATGGACACAAAAGTTAAAAAAAAAGGATGTCAAAGAGCCTAAATTATGGCAAAATTACCCCATTAATGACGCCCTCATTTTGCAAACAAACATTGTTTTTGATGTATATGTATGAACATCGGTAAAATATTTAAATCGGAGAAGTGTGCTGCGGAACTACCTTGTATCATCTGGTCCATGCGACGCCAAAGCTAGTCAGTGTTACATTTATCAGGTATTTCAATATTTATTTGGACATATATGGATATGGAGTTGTATTCGATAAATATTTGACTCTAAAATAAAAAGAAAACTTTGATTTTGGTCAGTCCCAAACTAACCTCCATCAGCATAATATCGACGTCAAACTGCAAGTTTTCAATGTTATAATTATAAGTTTCGTGAGGAATTAATTTTGAAACATTCATCTCCACTATATCGTCGCTCTCCAGATCAAAAGAATTCATCCGCACATAATACCTAGCTATTCTGGAATGAAATGATTAAGAATTGATCGGTTATCTTTTGTAGTTATAAGATATATATATCAATAATTCATTGCTTGTCGGATTAACAAAAACATGGTGGTCACTCCGTGAACCGGGTCAGTGGTTCGCCGTTTCTGTTGGCCGTTAAAATCTAATTTTACCTAACACGAACAACAAAAAATTAGCAAAATTATGCAGATGCACACTCCAATCATATAAGGAGATTTAACGGCGATGTCCACAAGAAAAACTGAAATTTGGTTATTTTTTATGAAGAATTTTTATGAAGAACTGATTTCAACATGAGATCAGATTTAAAGTACGAGGAATGGTGAAGATAATTTAATATTTTGCTAGCAAATAGATTCGTTTCAAAATGTATTGGAAATGGCATTTTTGCTGCCACAACCTGAAGATGATATTACTATGCTAATGTTTTGCACTGCGGTGGCCGAGCAAGAATACAACAAAGGAGGATTTTATAGCAATACTTACGGTTCTCTTTTATCCAGACAATGAGCAGCAGATAAAACATGTTTTTTGCTCACTAGTGTCCCGCCACAAAACAATTTAAATTCAAAATAATCTCCGATAACTAGCACCTATATAGAAAGAAAGAAATTGTGACATTTATCATGTTTGTGACATTAATTAACAGTAATTGTGACATTTATCATGTGATTTTAGATGCACAAATTAAGCTCAAAATTTGGAAAATATTGAGCTGAAGTGGGGCCTTTGAATGATTCCCAGACTGTAGATCAGGGGTGGCCAACCTATGGCGCATGCGCCAAACGTGGCGCATTGCATGATTAGAGGTGGCGCATTGCATCTTTAACCCTTTTCATGCCAAAATTGTTAATTGCACTTGGCTTCTCCACGCCAAGCCGTTTTTTTTTGCGATTTACATGGTGACTTTTGATTGTACCTAAAACCTGTTTTTCTTACTCCACGTCGCCCACTTACGGCTTGTTGGAATTAGAAACAACAGGCGATTATCGACGTTAGCTTTTGAATGGACCTCATGACATTCATTCTAGACTTTTAGCAAAAATTAGTAAAATTTATTATTTTTTCCCTACTGAAGTAAAAAGTCCAGAACTTCTGGAAAAATAGAAAATCGTCATTTATCAGCTTGAAACATGGATTTTTCATTGCCCAGACTTCCCAAATATCTCCCAATAACCATTGAACAACCAGTTGAATTGCCCAAGTCTAAACATTTTCTTATAAATCAACCCACAACATGCTGAAAAGGACCCCTAAATACCACCTTTTTCATCCAAACTTCAAATGACCGTTGTCAACAGAAGCGAAGCGTAAAATCGCTTTCTGTGACGCAAGTACTAATCTCGAAGAAGCCCCTGGAGTAAAATCACGCGACGCTAGGCCAAACAGTTGATTAGCAAAGGCCAATTAGAATCGAGAGTAGAGTGGAGTAGAGATTGATACTAAGGGCCTGTTGTCACAATATTACGCCTAACTTTACTTCTTAATCGTACCTCACATAAAAGAACACCGTGAATGTGCTGCTGGTAATGGCAATTTGGCAATATACACAGAAAAAATCAAGTTATTGCAAGAGTTATTTGAAAGTCGTTTTCATGATATTTCAAAAGAAGAAGACTCTATACTTGCTTTTATAAACCCATTTTTACTTAGTGAACTAACCATAATGAAGATGCCAAGCAATATACAATTGGAACTAATTGACTTGAAAACTCATCCATCATTGAAAATTCAATTTGATGAGCTTTCTTCAGTCCCAAGTGCATCTGACATGATCAAGATCTGGCAATCGTTACCCCGTGAAAATTTTCCAGAACTGAGGAAATTTGCCCAGGGTTTTATATGTCGTTTCGGAACGACATATAGATGTGAACAAACATTTTCTGCCATGAAACTAATTAAAAGCAAAGCGAGGTCAAGACTTACAGATTTAAATTTGAAGAATGCACTGCTCCTCTCAGTAACAAACTTAACTCCAAGAATAAAAAAACTGGCGAAAGTAAAACAGCAGCAAAAGTCTCATAAAGGCGGTACTTAAAATTGATCAGTTTTATTCAATATACTTCCTTGCTTAATTTCTATTCATGTGAAGTTGTAAATTGTAAAAACTACATATACGTGTGTATATATGTGTGTGTATCATAGATTTATATAATTTCAACAAGAAGCGGACATTAGGCGTGGGAATACAAGAGATTTACGGCGCATCTGAAACATTATGTTTAAAACGTGGCGCATGGTATGTGAAAGGTTGGCCACCCCTGCTGTAGATGAAGAAATTGGCAACAATGAGGGCTCGAACTCGTAGTAGTGGGTCTGCTAGCACACGGTGCAAAACCTCAGCACTTAACGCCCAAACTAGTAAAAGACGGCTTTACTATATGATTTTACACTTTATGGTGTCATGAACACTTGAGATAGAATTCTAAATCTGCATTGTGGCAATGTTTCCATCTCAAAGTATTAGCCCAACCTGCAAATTCGTTCGGTACGTTTCAAAATGCAATGCTATTTTTTCAACTTTATTACTTATCGATTTCAATCGGTAAGTATGTTGTCTGTTTGTCTGTCTGTTAGATGCACGCGATATCTCACGAAAGCGAAATTGAATCTGCTCCAGATTTTGCATGTGCATTCATCATATGTCGGACCAGAGGCCTATTGATTTTGGATGAAGTATGTCGTATATTTGGCGAGTTATCAATTAATTAGTGATGGGACACAAGGTGTCACTATGGAACAAGAGCGCTGTTTTGGGGATCCCCTAACTTTCGATCGATAAGTCTTCGGTCTCTGACCGATATTCTCGTTTTTTACTTTTTTGTATGTCCTTGCCTTCATTTCCAAACGGCTATGTACATTCATTAGTCACGTGCTAAAACATTTGAAATAGTGATGTTACAGGGACAGGAAAAGTATTTGTTTTTTTGTAGCGTAATAAATGACGGAAAGGAAGAAAAATAATAATAATACCATCCACGGCCATCGTCCTTCCACAGCTTCGTCTCCATTAACAATTCTTTGAGCTGAAGTACTGGACACACTACTGCCAACACTTTTGCAACAACCGTCAGATTTATATCTCTTTTGGTGGCCATTTGGACAACGGTCTGTCGAAGGAGAATTTTCATGTAATATTATACTTATAGTATGATATGCTATATTTAGAGTCTTTGCGAGGACAGAAAAATACTAATTCCTTTATACTTTTCCCTCGACCAATCGCTTGTAACTTTTGATACATGAAAATAGTATCTCGTTTTGTGTCAGTAATTCTAGTTGTTTCCTAAGTTTTTACTAGGGTGCATTTGTTATATAAATAGTTCGAAATCTGATAACGAGTAGTTGCGCAATGGCGTTGACGATTATTTTAAAGATCTAAACACAGCGCATTACAGATAAGAGAAAAAAATTCACTCACATCTCAGACATGTTGGACCTTTTTTTCTTTCTGGACAATAGATGCATTCAGAATCACGATCTTCGCATTGCGCAAGGCTTATGGAGCGGTCCACAAAAGGAAAGCAGTTGACGGCTTCTTCAGCGGCGCAAGTGATTGCTGAATTCAGATAAAAATATACAATGGTTCAGTCAATTTAAACTCAATTTAGGTTCTTTTGAAAGTATTAAGCAAAATAATGGTTAAATCGCTTGATAAATGATATGCGGTATTGGAGCACATAGTTCGTCAGTGAGTTCAGTTGGCAAGCAATACCACGAATAATATATTTTGTTGCTGGCTACGGTCAAAGCTCTACGAAATGCATAACAAAACAACTTACGAGCAATTATCGGGGGATCTGGAATCACAGAATCTGTAATTAAATTGATAGAATGTTGATAGTAAATGAACGATGTAAAACACACTGGTATTATGGCAAATTTTCAGTTTATATTTGTCGGTTTCATGTTTATTATTTTGTTACCTTGTGTTGAAATTTTCGCTGTTCTATTGTCGAACGTGATTAGTAGTAGCGTGTTTGTAAACGTTTTGATTTATTTTTCATTTTTCGTAAATCGTACATTGTACGAAAAAATAAAATCTGACATTGAGAAACAGTACAGCTAGCAGAAATAAATCTTCCGTGAAATGCTTTCGACTTACCATATGACATAAATTCTCTTGTCAATGAATAGTTTTTGCACACATAATTTTTTTTTATGAAATGATTTCATTTTGTGAATGTAACAAAACTACTTGTTATATAAATTTGTGCGCAATATTTCAGATTGGTGCTATGATCTACAATTGCTACAATTTAAAAAAAATTTGGATGTGATTCGTCTGTCATGAATGTCATTTTTGTTCGTTTGTCAATCAATTGTGGTTTAATCAATTTTGATTTTTTTTGAAACTTGAGTAATGCCACACATCACGTCAAAAATATTTACAATACTGGGGCGACATTGAAAATTTAATAAAAGATATCATGATGTTTTTATGTATAATTCCTCAGTACAAATATTCTAATGTATATTACTCAATACTAGATGTAACTTCCTCGATGCGCCTACCTGCTTGAAACTTATTTACGTTACGTTACCATTTTCATGTTGTTTGAAACTAGAACGATTCCATTTTTATATCACGATAAAGCATTAATCTTGGACCTAAATTTAGTATTATTTCACATACCGCTAACACATTTGAATCTTGGGTTTCTCTTGCACCAAGAACATCCATATATATTTTTGCACTCGTCAGCGTTTTCTTCTCCGGGTTTCCCTTTCCAGCAATTGTGAGCTTGTGAAGGAACATAGCTACAAGCCAGGCCTGTGTAGAGCAAACGGATGTTATCCTTATTTTTTACTTATAGTTTACGTTCTTCAATAATATAGGTTCAGCAATTCTGCTTTTTTGCAAGACAATTCCGCGAGATAGAGATCTAAATTCATTTACATTCTTCAGTCAGAATTACTAGCTTGGCACCAGAGAAGAGTCACCTGAACTCTATTGGACTGGTCGTTTGGTAAATAGATAAAAAATGTTGTTTTGTGGTTTCATTGTAATTCGAGTGTGAATAATTTTATCGCACCTTCAATGCATTTTGGTTTTCTCTCAGGACAATATGAGCAACCGTTTTTACGACATAATCCCTTCTTTCCTTTTGAGAAACACTGTCTTCTTTTTATGTCACCAGCAAAGCAGTCGTCCACGTCTTGAACAAATGGAAAATATATAAATGAAAATTTATACATTTACGTAAACGCCATATTGGAATTTGACTTTCAGTTTTTGCATTATTGTAGAATGCACATGCACTTTTCCATTGAACGACAATATTCGTAACCAAAATACGCATATTGTAATAATTTTTCAAATGCGACTGAAATACTATCAACCCCAGGAACATCTTAATATTATTTAAACAACCATGTAACAACTTACGTGGTGCTGGCATAGCTGTAGGTGGCGGGAGGGTCGGTATATCTTTGGGAATCACGGTATCTACAAAAGCGAAAATAGGATTCTGGTTGATAATTATTACTGGCCAAATAACATATATAACTATAATAATATTAGTTACAACCCACATTATTTGTTTTATTTTTCGGTATACATATATATATGATAATACATAGAAAAAAAAATATTTATCTTGCCGATAAACACTTTCATGTTTCATTCAACATCTTCCTGGCCAGTTCAATTTCAAGGTCCAGATGTCCTCATTTGTTCGACTATCATCACTTTGTCCTCGTGTCTCATAAAACACACGAATATAGTCTGAATCTTTATTTTTTTCTTATTTTGAGCTCAAACGACATTATTCATTGTTTTTAATGACATTAAGTCTCCTGCTTGACGAGGTATATGATGCCAACCCGCGACCCGCCGAAGTGTTTTTCGCGGCCCGCCCTATGGAGATTGTAAGCAGACTAACAGAATTTTTACATACATTTTACTATACATAAGTATCTTTCGTGATTTTGGTGTAATTATTCCTGCCATCTATCTACGTTCAAATAATCAAATGCCGATTTTTATTATTAGGTATGTGTCAAGTCTTGCACCCTGGTGGACATCAACGTCATTTTTTTTTATTTCTCTTAAAACTGTGCACTCTGTTCGACGAACTATAAAGATATTGTGCGATCATTGGGAAAAAACGCTGAGCGCAAATATAGGAATGAACTTGGAGTTGGAAAATTAATTTAATTTTGATTGCTTTCTTTCGTGTCGGATTTGATCGTCTTTATCGCCAGCGTAAAATAAAAAGTCAACAATATCTTGGGTAGTGGTCCTCGGACTCGTTATGTTTGCGTAAAATAAGATTTTGGAAATTTCGTCACTGCATATTCGTCAATAATTCTGATGAAATTGACGTATAAATACTTTTATTGGTGTTATAAATTTTACGAAATGGCCCACTAAAACTTGATATTGCCGCGACATTGACGCACATTATGCTCATTTAAACATTAAAGCAGTATCGTAGCTACTGAAAATGAATGAATAAAAACACTATAACGCAAATATAACACTCAACTTTGACGTAATGCGTGTGTTTCTTGCGTGGTCGCCAAAAAACCGCGAGTGTGTTGTGTGATGATTGATTCTTTGATTCGGTCGCTCGAGAGTGTTATGTCCACACCCCGTTTACCAGATATTCGAATAGTAAACCGCTATTCTAATATTTGAATAATTTGTCAGTCCTACCCAGTAACCAGTAAGCAATTATTAATTTGATTGATTTCATGTTAATAAACTCGCCTTTTATGTATTATGTAATTACCTACACCAAAATCAGGACTTATCTGGTATTAATGTTTGGTACAAACGTTTGCGGCCCGCGACCGATTTCGTCACGTGAAAGTGGCCCGCGAGACGAAAAAGGTTGGGCAGGCCTGCTGTAAATGATGATAATACAGAATATATTACCTTTAACACATCGTCTTCCTTTGGGATTTCTTGCACACCATGAACACTTGTATAAACGAAGACAGTCTTGCTGGTCCTCCTTGCCTTCACCTTGCCAGCATAAATCTTCGTCTGATGGTTCGAATCGGCATGCGATTCCTTAAGACACATGAGATAGATAGATATCGAAGGCCTAAACTTAATTAAGAAGCCTTTCAAATTATATTCTGCCTCTAGATAGAACGAATGTTATAAATTTTGTTTAATCGACCAAACAATTTTTGAGTTGCTAATGCTTTCTAAAAGCGTAATATTCACCGCTTACTGACAGACGTAATCAGACTACACCAGACCACTACACTGGGCTACAGATTATTGTTGCACGAGTTACGCTTGTAGCTGCGTGATCAGTATTGTTGTTTTGATTTAAAGCAATTGGGCTTACCCTGGTCGCGGAAAGAGAAGAAATGGTAATGAAATGTGTCAAATATTAGTGTCAAGAGTCAAGACTAATATTTTAAGTGAGCTTTTCAAAAAAAAAGCAGGACGTTATTATACGTGCCTGCTATCCATCCATAATGCAACATTGCAATAACGCTAATGCCGCAATATAATGTGATTTTATGAAAATAGTATTTAATTCGTAAACTGATTCAAGGGACAAACCTGAAAAGCACAGGCGTCACCGGAAAAAGGCAATACAATTTACAGCAATACCTTCAATACATTTGGGTTTTCCATTTTTACAGTAATAACAGCCTAGTTCAGCGCATTTTGTAGAGTTCTTATTTGCCCTTCCTCTGCACAACCTTCTCTCAGGCTTGAGTTGGTCACAATTATCCACAAACGCTAAAAATAAATGATTAATGCATCATATGGTTTCTGTTGTATCGGTGATAGTCTGACTGATAAAAAGTATGTATCGTATAATCTTGACTGCCTAACTTGTGAAGCGTATTGTGGTCGCTACATAGAAGAGTAATTTTATTATCTGTAGGCCTATATCTATAACTTCGGGCATATGAACATATATCAGTACTCTTCCCGATTTAGTTTGATCCTATCGAACTTGTTGAAAAGGAATAGCAATGAAATTAAGATTTATTAGAAATGCTTAAGTAGTGATTATTAAATTGAAGTTATTACTTACGCTGAGGCTTTGGAAAATCTGTAATAAAATAAAAACAAAATTTCAGACATAAAAGTATGAAATTATAATATATACAGAAAAGCGTCGGTGTTATTATAAACTTTTTGAGTAACTTTTTGTCACTATCTACCCACAGAGACCTCGGGATATGTTTTGTTACGAAGCATAAACTATAATCTCTATAACAGGCCTATTCGTCAATTCTTTGTGTTGTGGAAAGGAAAACGAATCATCTGTAATACTGCGAAATATACAGGAGAAGGAAATGATTTCACTCTGTAGTCAATTCATTTATTATTTCATCAAGTTCCGCTAAAATTCTATAAACACTGATTTGTCATAATAAAAAACAAACCCGCAACACTCCCAGAAAATGTTTTGTCTATAGACCAAACCTGGCCGAACAAAAAACGTTAGCATGTACTCAACGGGAACTTAAATAACCATTTCGTTTGGATCAAAAGCTGGTATTGTTACTTATGATTACATCAATATAATCACCGAAAACCTCTTGCGCTTCCCTTTATAAGCATGCTTTGGAAATTTTTAATCAATTTCTTTAGCGACATTCTTAGTGGGAAAAAACACTTTCGCGCTATAAACCGGTTTGGAAGGAATAGATGGCTTTTTCTGATAACATAATTCAGAAGTGATATTATGTAAGACGTTGAACAAATGATTAGAGTGGGTATATGTTGTAAAATGATAGTAAACTAATTGGTTAATCTAAGAGGTTTTATGGCTGAACACGTCAACTCAATTAATATAAGATAGCCGAGTTCATCCTTCCATTAGTACACACCCACCCACAGCTAAAGCGCGCTTCATACTTGTTTCGGTAAATTTCGGCTGAATGATAAAATTCATGATAATAATTTGTATGTTTCATCAAAATATATTATTACTAATTACAAACCAATTGAGGGCACTATATCAAGTATGGTCATTATTATCAAAATGATGAAAATATTTACAATAATTTTCACTCAGATATTTCTTTAAACACCCCGTCTCGTTTCTCTTGTAGATCAACATGTCTTTTATAATTACACAAACGGTAAAGTATCAAAACGCCGTGTTGCATTTTTTTTATAAAAATTTCATAGGATTCTGACGTCATGAAAAAATTACCCGGCCGTATTAAAGTGGCTGGTGATGCCTTCACCAGATATATGATGGGGCATTGTACAAATGATTACAGTAAATATGTGTTGTGCAATAGTAAAATTATTGGTTCGTCTGGAAGGTTTTCAGCCTAAAGACATCAAACCAATTTTTTAGAGTAGCAGAGTGCATCCTTTGATTAGTGCACTTCGTCCCATTTACATTTCCACTAAATTATAATATCCAAGTAAATTATTCTATGCTTTTTCAAAATTTATTATTATTTAAAAAAAAGAATTTGGCTTGCTATTCAAGATTTTATTATTACCATACGTCAAAATAAGTAGGTATTTATAAAATGTTCACTCAGACCAAAACGTTATTTTTGTCAACCAATAATTGTAGGCGTCAAAGAACGATAATTATTAATTTACATTTCAAAGTGAATCAACTTCGACATTTTGCTAATTTCGGATCGGGCCAGGTTGTATTTTGGGATAAAATAAAGTACATTAACAACTTTGCAGGGTTGAATACTTCCCGATCTAGCACATTCAACTAAACTTATATCATTGCAGCTGCTGTCGTATAAGATAAACGTCCAAAAAAATTGATGAAAAATAAAACATTTCTAACCTCGAACACACTTGTATTTATCATTATCTGGACACCAAGCACATTTGTATTTTACAAAGCAATCATGAGCATTTTCTTCTCCTTCTTCGCCTCCCCAGCAGTTATCAGCTCCGGTAAGATCAGTTCTTTTGCAGGCTTTTCCTATTTGTGAACAGAATAAACAATTAGAAATAAATATATTTTCTGAATGAAATTTTGTTATCATTCTTCACAATTATTATTGTTATTTACAGTACTACACTGTACACTGTTGAAAATTAGCTTTAAACGGTTCATCATACGTAAGGTAATAAATTACGGTTGGGAACTTCTGATACGTTTGTACATCTTACTTGCTATTTCACCATATGTTTCCAATCGAATTAGTATTGAAACCCCTTTTTCCTGAGTATCTTCATGTATTGAATATCTTTGCCTAATTTTATAAACAGCCGTATAAAAACAGTCGTGCTTCACGATGTCAAGTCAACTTTTCCAACTTGATCGTATTGTAACTCGGTTTGTATTGCAAAACATTTTGACTGACCCATTCATTATTAAACAAACCTCTTATACATTTTGTTTCGTTTGATAATCTGTTGGCTCCGCACATAAAGCATCCCTGCTTTTCACATTTAGATGGCTGCCCACCAGCAAAACACTTCACTCTATCATCTCCTCTCTGATCGCAATTGTCAAGAATATCGTGAGCGTCTGAATCTAAAAAAATAAAGATTTTCGAATCAAAAAGTGATAGTTGTCTTTAAAGTCGGACAAAATGTTTGTCACCTTTTTTAATTGAAATTCGCAGCAAACCAAGTTTACAAATTATGGAACACATACAAACACTACAAAATATCATGCATCACACAATCAGAAAAATTAAATTGTTATTTAGGGATATTATAATAACAAAGTAAACTCACAAACTTGAGGCAACGATAGAAGAAGCGCGAACGCGATAAAAGGTATTAATATAGTTGTTGACATCTTCGTTTGGTCGGCAAGCCTCGTTCTAATAAAATAGCTAGACGAATACAGATTATCTATATAGAAAGTTTGGCCCTTTTTCTCCATAAACATACGAACATATGAGCTATGTAAGAAGCATATACACGCACTTTTGAGCGGATGCTTGGTTTGTCTGTAAGATAATGCATTTGTCATTTACGGATGTTTTGGGAATGTTGTTCCACGTAAAGTGAGTCATTTTATGCATATGCTATTAGATATCCTGTAAATTCGTACGCGAGTGAATGGCTTCTATAGAATTAGATATTCAAGAATGGTATAGTGTTTGTATTCATTAAAGTTTAACTCATGAACATCTTACGTTTTAACATAACAATCGTTATTCAAACATTTAAAATTACATAAAATTATTTTGTCCTAGTCCTGGAAATTGGACGACATTGGGCATCACGACATTGAAAATGAAAGGTTTGATGATAGTTTTGCCAAACTTTTTTTCACTGTATACACTGATTATTTGATTTTATCCAATGTGGAGATCAACAGCAGTCCCTGGTATTTGATACTTTAAATGTAATACCTGATTTGATACAATGATTACAATACCCAGTTCTTTGTATGGAAATTCTGCAGAGACAAATAGCTTTTTTTCATAGTGTTGTTAATTTCCAAGTTTGTATTTTTGTTCTCTTCCAAATAATATTTTTGTGGCTCAAAGTTGTTGAGTATATGGTGTTAATAGCATTTTGCAAACATAATAGCAATTTGGCAAATGCCTTTGGTTTTGGAAATGTTTTCGATTTGAAATCCCCTAGGGTCATTATGTTTTATAATCACTCATTATTAAGTCAGTAAGCTTCAACACTACATTGTATCTCCACCATTTTTGAAGAAAAACACATTCGGTATATAGGGTGGCCCAAAAGTAGGTCTATTTTATTTATTTTTTATTACCTTCCAAGCAGCTAGAAAACTAATGTAAAATTCACACTATATATATTTATTATCTAAAAAATAAGCAATTTTTGTGGTACTTAAACAAGTACCATAAAGTGAACTGCAAGTAGCTTCAAAGCATATAAAATAGTGTAATAACCGTATACCTAACTTTGGGTCACCACCTACTTTTTGGACACCCTGTTATATATATGCCTTTTCGAACTGAAATGGGATATTTTTAAAGGGATTTTGAAGCGTTTAAAGATGATGTTCAGCCAAGAATCATGTATTGGAATAAAGATCTTCAGATGGCTTACAGCAATTATCACTGTCATATATCGTCGCAGATCAAAATTATTGTTGACAACTCCGCAATATTTCAATCACTCATTATTAATACTTTAAATATATCGCATGGTGTCACTGTTGAGCTCTCTGGTGCCTATGCTGCGCTCAGCGCTAAGCTTGGTACATCTGTTATATCCATAATTATATACTCAAGCATCCTGAACAGTTGTGTGTTTGCCGACATACACCCCCTGCAACAATAGCTAATATAACAAACGCGTATTATGTATTGATATATAACACATAAAATGACGTATAGAATGCATTTACGATATTTATACTCTGAAATACAAAAAAATATATTAAGTTGAAAAAAAAAAATGTTCAAGTAACTTGACCCTACGTCGCAATCGGGCTGTCAGGATCGAGGCGGACTCATTTACTCACTATCAAAGAAAAAACAAGACTAAAAAAGCCCAAACGTTAATTTTTAACCAATAATTTGGATCCGTGGATTGGAGTTGGGCGTACTATCGATTTTGCATAGGAGTCTTTTGTTTAAGTTTTAATCGAAGGCAGAAAAAAAACATTGTATCAACTACAAACGGTGCTCATATTCATTCATCTTAGTTCATGTAATTGATATATCTTGGAACGCGTTTGAAATTCGTCACTCTGCTAATTTACGAGTATGAAAATATATTAGGGTATGGTTCGTAGCAGAAAAACAGAATGCTTATTGCCGATACTTTCTAATGCTTCTGTACTGCGCCTCTTTTTATTTCAGCGTTTACTGTGAGGAAATAATTTTTAATATAACAAAAAATAAATTAAAATCATTAAAATTTCGTTATTCGTAAGTGACATTCGTCAGGAAATCGACGGAAATTCCATGTCATTAGTCATTTATGTTGAATGGTTCAACATATTGGTAATTTATAACTAAAAGACAGTTTTGAGGTATTTTGTGTTTGGAATGTTAAAATTAAGTAGGTCGGTTGAGGCTTCCAAAACCAAATCAACTCGCCATTTTCTAAACGATCGCCCCATGCCAAAATTTACCCAATTTCGGCTGAGAGATCATTTACGTTGCGTTTCAAGCTGAATATACTAAATCTAGATACCAGCCAAAATACCTATACATGGCCAATTAAATCATATCTTTTGGTGTATATCCATCTGATACAGTTAATATGAAGGGGCCTTTGTCTTGCAACGTGTCCTCGTCACTTGGAGAATATTGCTTTATATAGTTGGGCATTTTTGTTTTTCCTTTAGTGGAGATAACATCAACTTTACCGTTGTGGACTACACTGGTATTGTTTTGCAATGTTTCTTCGTCTGCGCTGCCGCATCCCGAACTGGAAGACGACTTTCGCGTGTTTGGGACATACGAAAACTTTTCGGATGCTACTTCGATATGAGTCCGAAATTTAGGAGTGTATGCTCCGCTTGAAACAGCAGATTTTTCCATGTAGCCGTCATTTGCATTTACCCCGGGAATATCTGTTTTGTAATCAAAAATAGGGGAATCTGGGCTGTTGTATTTTGACTCTACATCTGTCGGTGTGGTTTCGTAATTGGAGTCCGGCAAAGAATTTGCAGTGCTGATAAAAGAAGTCTGCGAAAAACCTGAATCTGGACCAGGGCTTACAACTTCAGGTACAGAAAGATTGTTTTCATTAATAATTCTGAATTTTTCAGGTGTATTCTTGCGATTTTTTCCTGGATTGTTAGAATTCGTATTTTCCAATTTCGACGGGGATAGTTTTATCGCGCCAGAATTATCATCTTCGTTCTCGCATGGATTTTCATTTTCTTTCGCCTCTTGTTTGCGTGTGTTTTCCACATTCTTCCCTTTTATCAGATATGAAATCTCAAGATTTTCTTTGTCCTTTATCAACGGAGTGACTTTTGCAGATTTCTGTTCGTCTATACAAAATAAATATTTGAATAATATAAAGAGAAGTTCTTTCGACCAGAGCCAAGGTCGTATTCACAAACCTCTCGTAAAGTAGGGAATAAAAGTCAAAATTTTGAGTTACCGCGATTCGAAAATCGTTGTCGGTATTTTTCAGAAATTTGAATGGAGGGAAGAGGCATACGTTTTCCTCACGTATTCATGTGAACGTTTTCATGATAAAAATTTGGGTTTTTTGCATTCGGAATCTAGAGACAGAATCGAATTTATTTTGAATCTGGTGTCAAGAGTCAGTGTCTGAGTCAGGGTTGTCCAAAACGAATCGAATATTCGAAATTATTCGAATATCAAAGTATTCGAATACCTTTTCGGCTCATTTCCGAATAATTACGAATAGTAGTCACTTTTCGCCGTAAACATGGTGTTTCGTTTTACCGGAATCTTCAAACGACTTTGTACGCTTTCTCACGTATTGTAATGACGATGAAATAGAATCGGCATTTTGATTGTTTATATTCAGCGCGAATGTACGTCGCATAGTGTTGCGACACATTTGCACGTTTGCGTTGGTGGACATTGCCGACATTCGTCTTTCAATTCACAAAATCATTTCCATTAGTCGAAAAATCGACAATCACCGTAATAATAAGTCTGGCTAAGTTCCCGGCTAATAAGTCGCTTTTCTAGACCCAATTTTGGCTTGATTTTTTTGAGGGAGGGGCGCCTTATTGAGAAAGTATGTTTATTTTATTTCTACGTGGCCTGCTTATTTTTCGCATTAGTCTTCTCAAGCATAATTTGTGTTAACCTTATATTTGGTTCTTATGGGTCTGCCAATCATGATATTTAATCGTAGGCCGGTTATCGTTACTTAAAAGAGAAATCACGGCCACCGAGATAAAGTAAGTGATTTATGACCCTTTGGTTTTGCCGATTCAGCAGAAAACGACAGGGACATGAAACACAGCTGTGAAATAACCCGTGGACGTACCGTGTGGTACTTATCACATTCCAAAATTATTTCAACATTCGGGTTGATAGGTTGTCCAAAATGATTGCCGCTTTATAGTTTAAATTTACCGCTTCATTGTTGAGAATAGTTAATTCCGTGAGTATGGTTCTACCAAACAAACACGATCTGGTTCTGACCCTATAAAATTATAGATTGTTCAAAATGATTGTGATTTTCAACTTAAAATTACCGCTTTATTGTTAAAAATAGTTAATTCTGTGAGTATGATTCTACTAAACAAACGTGATCTGGTTCTAAATATTATTATTAGCGCATATTAGCATAACTGAACAACAGGGAACAATTTATCTCCCTGTCTTCTTGGAGGCCTATATGGAAAACCCCCTTTTTTGAGTGCTAAAAATATACATCGTCCTATTTGCCATGTAGACTTATTAGCCGGAAAATACGGTATTCATAGCCGTAATTGATACGATATCTAATAAATTGTCACAAGTTGATTTATTAGAAAAATACTTTCACCCGCTTTCTGGCAAATAATTTTGATAATGATGGTCAAAAGTATCGATAATGAAAGTATTAATACCAAATACCACGGGTATTTGTGGGCATGAAATGTGTGGTAAACTGCCCAATTATAATTAATTTCGGATTCGTATTAAACAAAATAATAAAACTATTATAACTCAAAAATACAACGGCGATTTGTGGACTTGAATGTGTAATAAAGTATAAATTATTTTTCCGACTCGTGACAATTTTTTCGTGAGTACGAAAATAAGAATCAAAAATTAATTATATTCGGGCACAATATCACGGCATTCTGTGGACATAAATTGTGAGGCAAACTCGCGATTGATATTAATTTTTGATTCCTATTTTCGTATTTACAAAATACAACGGTGATCTGTGGACATTGAATGTGTGGTGTGGTAAACTACCCGATTATAAATAGTTTTTGAACCCTATTTTCGTATTTATAAAATAATAAAAGTATTATTACACAAACATACAACGGCGATCTGCGGACTTAAAATGTGTGGTAAAGTTCCCGAATATAATTACTTTTTGATTCGTATTTTTGTACTCACGAAAAAATTGTCACAAGTCTGAAAAAGAACTCATACTTTATCCCGCTTTTTGACAAATAATTTGGATAATGGTTGGTATTTAAAAGTATGGGCGTTTTACTAGGATGATTTTGTGTTGCGCAAATATTCAAATCCATCACCGATACCACTATTTAAAATGCCTTGTCGTATTATTTTAATTCTGTTAATTAACACAACTCATGTTATATAAAATATATATCGCAATTATCTGCAAACATGAAATGCCTGGTAATATAGCCAGGTTGTAGATAGAAGTTATTCCATTGTTTATTGTATGAAAATTCCTTCATACACTTAGATTCTATTACTGGATTTTATTTTCGAAGTATTCGAAATTTCATATTCGAAAATAATAATTTCGAATGTATTCGAAATAGTGAACTATTCGGTATTGGCCATCCCTGGTCTGAGTCAAAAGTTATGTCAACCCAATGTCTTTCAAATGTCCTGCAGTAGGGAGCCACCTAGAACTTATATTATAGACGCGACCATAAACTTAGGTCGAACAATGGAATGGAATTGATTAAAAAAAACTTTAAACGGACGAAGAATGGCAGAACGAACGACAGAGAACAATCCTATAGCTTCCGCGATACAAAACGAACGCGATTGGTACGTCCCTTTGTGATACACATAATTTTAAGAGTTGTTTTTTAAGTTTGCACACGACCCAGCGCAACTATAAATCGATCAATTGTTGCACCATTACCAAATGGTACTGTAAAATATCTGAGAATAAGTAAACTTAACAACATACATCCTCGGTCATCCATTGCAAGCTGACAGATTCTTTGTCTCGATGGGTATTGGGTCGCCAATCTTTTTATTACGACTTGTTTCACAAAATATTGTCGTTGACATTCCGTCACACATTGACAGTTTTTGAAGCTCAAAGGGGCATAGATGGATTATTGGATTGGGACGATCGCTAGTTTTGTTTTAACAAGACTTTCATCAACAAATAGCGTGATACTTGGACGCCAGGAAGAACTTGATTTAAAGATTATCATAACCACGGCGATTAGAAAAATTTACTTCGAGTCTAAAATATCCCTTTTGTCAAATTATACTCATAAATAAAATTTTATTCAAATTTAAACGTCAATTTTTTTCAAATTATACTCATAAATATCCGCATGATTGTATACCACCATCAGAACCGGACAGGGTATAGGCTGTATAGGGGCCTCGATATTCAGCTTCAAATTATTATTCATTTTTGCGATCTTTCATATAATTTAATAATTTGTTCCAAAATTTGAACAGCTCAAAATTTTATAAAATTAATATTTGTTTATTTTTTTGATAATTCTTGTCATAATCATACGTTTTGAACTTTCTAAATTTGAACATGATCGAATAAATCATGCCCTGACGTTTTATTACATTCTTGAGTTTCCTAAAAGCGTTTTTGAACTATGCTCTTACTATCCAATCTACTGCGATTAGCGTACATATATTGCCCGATACTAAAATTTCGTATTACACATAATTTGGAAATTTATTTATGTCATAATACATTTACATAACCGAAAAACCTACTATGATGCTATAAATGATTCCTTGAAGCCTAATGACGACATTGTTAAATAGGAGGCTTATAAATGGCATAGCCTATGGCATTTCAACGTTTGAATCTGGTTCTGGTCACAATCCATTAATAAATGAAATATCTTCCAGCTCATATATCTAATTGACAAACGTGGGGGGGTTTGGGAAGAAAACGACCAACAAGATGTAAAAATAGAGAAAAAACTACTGCTAGTTGAAGTAATCTAGATTTAAATTATTTGATGTCATTTATGCTTTTATAGTCATATATATTTGAACAAGAAATGTACATATATGGATCGTTTTGGTAATAAATCACTTTTCTCATTAATCAATTGCTTCGAAATTTTAAAGATTGTATTTTTCGCTTCTATTTATGTCAAAAATTTCTGTGCGCCCTGATGGATGTTTTTTCAAGTGCGATGACGTCACCAAACCTGAAAATTGCGGAGCTTGTGGCGGTTCCGCGATCTGGTCAGGCGAAGTCGTGCAGACTGCGGTACCGGTAAACTACTGTGAAAGATTGCATACCCGTACCACTTTGTTTTGGTCTTCGTGTCCATATATTTGAGCATCACTCTCGTGTTTAATTATATCAATAATAAATCTTTCAATAATCTTACGTATGCGGAAAATTTCATCGGGTTTTTCATTCGTAGTCTTTAACATTTTATTCCCGTTTTTATCATTCAACATAAAATTCTGTTCTTCATCTGTATTTTCTTGGAGTACCTTTTTATGACGATCCTGCATAAAACAAAAGCTTCTTCAATTTTTTTGTAAACTAAATCCGCTGAGATATAAATGGGAAAATATTTAGATTGGTGAGTTACGGCTGCCATTTAGAACTGCAGTATGGTGTCCATTCATTGGCACGCGTAAACTTGAAAAAAAAATGAAAAAATAAAAGTTTATATTTAAAGAAATGTTGCATCTGGTCCAACGATGTCATGCATAATCCTCCTCGCACAAAAGATGTCCCCTAACGTTTCAGGTCGGATTACTACCGTATCAAGATTTGTGGTTAGTAGATCAATAATGGAAATTGGTCTCTGTGCGGTACCGTAACGTTACTAACAGTGGCATTAATTGAAAATCACATCAAATGAATTAATTTCCATGTGTATGTAGCTTATCAAATCATAGCTTTTTTAGATAACATTTGATTTGGCTAAAAGGGTATAATGCATATTCAAATGAGGCATTTATCATGGGAATAACTTGCTATTATCTTGGAATGTAATTTGACTTTTACGTCCGGAACATAGACCGAAACTTGGCGACCGAGAAAAGCGGTTTGCTACACGTTTTGCTTCAGCAGATTTGAAGCGCTTTTGTAATCAATGTAATCAAATAGTTACATAACGTCGTCCGCTGACATGTAAAACATGTTACTTACCGGTATCTCTTTGATAGTATCGTCGTAGTCAGGGAAGCAAGTTTTGACATGATTCTTGTAAATCCATAGAAGCAAAATAACTACGAGAAGAACTATAATCCCAAGGCAAACGACAATAATAATTGAAACCCAAGTTCGTTGGCCGGGATCTGGAAGTAAAACGCAAACCTTCAATGTGTTATACTTTTTAATTTAACATGGGTATAGAAAGTGGATTGAAATAAATCAAATCCACAATGAAAACACATCGAGATTACGTATGTGGAAAATTTTTCTGCTGTGGGATGTAGGTAGCATGGTTATCAACCAGGATGTGGGATCTAAGTTTGGCCTTCAATCTACAGAAGCCACAGTGGAATTATTAAACACCTCCATTGGGAATCGAAATTCGGAATTCAGCGAAGTTGGAATTTCAAACTGTCAATGATGATTTGAGTGTACTAGGCGCGTTTACTGCCTATTTGAGAGGGCTTTCATACGCCAATGTTTTTCGATTCTTTTTTTTCGTATTTTTTTCTACGCGGGGTTGGGATTCTGAGTCAAAATTCTTCTCAAACCGGATTCAAAGACATTTTATCAACTTGGATTTTATCAACGAGTCGATTACCAATACAGCGAATGGAATCAAAATAAACGAATCACGCAGTAATATTGTTCAGCACTTTAGAATATTTTCCTAAGCATTCACGAAAATCTGATTTTAGAGATGACTGAAGTTTTACATCTTTTTTTTAACTGCTCAACAACTCGTTCATTTACTAATCCAAGTGAAATATGGTAATAGCTAATAACTTGAAAGCTCTAGTAAATATATAAGTTTTGCGGAGGACACTGTCTAGAACAGTGCTTTCCAACCAGGGTTCCCAGGGACCTCAAAACCCTTATTGCGGTTCCGTTTGTTTGGGGCGATCGTTCACAGTTTCTCTTTCAGAGAACTGTGTTCATTGGGTGTCAATTTCCTAAAAACCTAATTGTTGTAAAACAGTATTGTGAACTTCACCTGACAATTATTAATAATAAAAACAGAAGTCGGTTGGAGTATTGTGGATATAAGCATGAATATTTCATTGAGCAACATGGACGCTTGGGAGAAATACACTAACAGAAAGAACATTGGATTTCTTGATTTTATTTTGTGTAAAAAATTTTCATCGTTATTGATGGATGGTGTAAATAGTTGACTTTCATGCATTCATGGGTGTTTTTGAATAATTAACAGGGGGTTCGGGGATGAGCTCAATATTATATCAGGTGTTCCACAAGGATAAAAAGACTGAAAAATATCCAGTTGAGGTAGTATGAAATTACGTAATGACAGAGATATCTACAGTAGTTATTCGGGGCGTCGAGTCGTCAAGAAAAACGATAAAAGAAAACTAACTTTCTTTTATTGGTATTGCACAAGTTGGTGACTCGTCCCATCTTTCATCATTCCTTGTGCGAGACATAACACAAGGTATCTTGTCCACAGATCTCGTGTATCTACTGAAAACTTGATGTACATCAACACCCTGTTTGCTATAAACTGAGTTGTGATCACAATTTACTACACTGTAGTTCACTTTGACCTTCCCTTCCTTTGTAAGCATGGTAACGTTCTTTATGGATCTCGTCATTCCATTGTCATATGTTTCTGTGTGATTAGCGTCGTAATGCGTGGAAGGGACTTCAAAGAAGCAGTAATCTGCACTGTAATATAACATATAAAATAATTAAATAAATCATCAAATTATTTAACAAAAAAAGGGTGTACAACTTCGCATTGAGATTATTTTCTTGCTCAGCTTTTAACATAAATACGCATTGAACAGCATTACATATTAACTGTTTGTTCTGAAAACGCATTTTCACGAGATAAAAACAAATTATAGGTATGAGAAACTATAGCCGTGAAGTATATTGAACGCTATTAAATTCTAGATATCAAAAATTTCATAAGAGTTGAAATGCTCTTCCAATTTGCATATATTATAGCGGATTTGCATATATTAAGCGTACGCCTTCCGCACTCGGCCTCCAATAAATCATCGTTTGATGTTTTGTGTTAGTGGATATTGCTCTCTTTCCCCATTTTGGGCTGTGGTTAGAGGCTAAAAAGTTTTGGGAAACTTCGGTGTTGTTGAATTATTTTCGCACGACAGTTCCTTATAAGATATTTACTTGCGAACTACACCCTGTAATATTTTAAGGCTGCTGCTTGCGGACACATACGTCTAAATGCTGCTGATATCCCACCAGTGGCTGCTTTATCACATTCATAAACGTCCATAAATACACTTACATTGGAGAATATGAGTCAAGAGATAAGGCTATAAATACGCTTCTCAAAATTAATTTTCCGTCGACAAATTCTTTACATAATGTGCTATTGGAATCACCATCTGTGCACCATTCAATGTTATCCGGAGACTCTGAATTATAAAGGTTACCTGTTAGTTATAAAATATTGAATTTGATTAATATTTAGGCAATATGAGCATGCTCTTAACAATAGTCGATTTATGTTATTTGTATATTATTTACAGGCTGCGAGAAGTCAATCTCAGTATGCCACTTTTAAGTAACGCGGTTGTCGAGTACACACTATTCAAGTTTCCGATAAGCACTCTGAATTTGAAAATTGATTTGCATTTGACTTGAATCGGTTCGCAATAGATTGGCATTTGCAGTAATGCATTAAAACAGGCTGCGTCGCCAACAAAATATTTTTCTAGTATTTAAAAATTCATAATCATGCGTTGATGCACATTCAAACAGGATTAGTTATGAACGTCGGATAACTTGGCTTACAATAACGTGGGTAAAGATTTTTCTAGACGATTATGAGTCACGTAACATTAGTTTCAAGTTTCATACACTTTCGAGTAAGTTTTATGTGTATTCAATTTTCAACTTGATTTCGAAATGCCCTAAAACTGTACATACTTCCTTATAAAATTATATACTGCTATAAACTAGTTTCGTTTTCATACCGAGGAAATGATACTGGCAATAACTTCCATCTTGCATTGGAATAATTGCAAATTGAGATTCCCCTCCGTCTTTTAACGCTGGCAACGTACAGGTATCAGTAGGAGACAAAGAACAGCAGCCGTCTATTGAAGTCAAATTGTTTTCCGGGCTTTGGCTTAAGTAATAGTAATACAGTTAATTGAAACCGGACAAGTCCTAAAGCTTCCTTCCTTAAGTCCAATGTGACGAGAAATGAGAAATATTCCACTTTTTGAATTATAAACTCTTATTTAACCTGACCAAACTTCATATAAAATAAATTGCTTTTTATTTAATGATATGAAAAAGTTAACATTTTACGTTGTCGTAACAATATACGATTTACATAACACCTTTAAGGCGCTCTGAATTTGAATAGTCGTAATTGCTTAAATAAATTTTAATACTTCTTAAGAATCCACTTGCTCTGTGCTGGCTCGTAACGGTTTTCTGCATTTTGGCCTGATCTTTATTACAGAATTTGATTAACATACTACCTTATATCACATTCAGTACACATAATAAATTCAAACAAATCAGATTTTTTTTAGATATTCATTTTAAAATCAAATAAAGATCTTACAAATATGACATAATCCTGTATCTCATATTTTCAGCATATAGTTCTCTATCATGTACGATTTCGATCCAGAATTCGATATCACCCCTCGATTCATATATTTCACCAGGGCCATAACGAAGAGTGTAGGCATTACACTCATCCATTTCGTATGAAGCTGAATAATATATATCAATAAGTTAAATGCGGTCAACTTAACCGTTAGTTTACAATTGCATCGATTCGTGTGATCAAACTTTAGTCTACTTTAAATTTCGAATAATTAACGTTTTAGACAGATTATAGTAGTAAGCCTAATTCCAACACTTGCACTATTGATTAACCAGACTAACAAACTATATCATTCGCAAGAAAACTAAGTTTTTATTTAAGACGTTTTTTTTTATATGATATTGCTTTGCTCGACAGATATCATTCGACGTCTAAATTCAAAGCGTAAGACTAAAAACAACTTTTAAGATGTCTGCAATTCATTTCAAATTTTATGAACAATCTTGAATGCTAATTACCCACAATAACAATCCATCTTGCAAAGGACAAGAAGACTTCAAATATAGTCTATCAGATATACAATATTCAAAGAAGCCTGACAAAATAATATAACTCACCCATAGATGGTTTAAAGCAAACATTTGGATCAAGCGCACACATGTCGCCATTATATTCACAATCCGTTGGAGTCGTTGCAGAAATTTTGCATTGAATCATCAATGATATCAGGATAAAAATCCATGGGTCTTTTTTGCCATTTATATAATTAGTCGTCATTTTTTTTTTCTAATACTTATTTACCTGTACTCGAAAAAACAATATTTAGAGAAAAGTGGAAGTAATAAGAAATAATGTCCAAACAAATTGAAGGAGCGACAATATTTGGACAAATATTATGCACGGACGAATTTGATAAAAATGTCTTGTAACTGCAGATTAACTCCAATCACCTTTCCTTTACTCAACTTATCTTTAGTCTGTAATGTAACTCTTTAGATTTTGCATTTCGCAGCTGAGGGCCTTGTTTGAGCTGTCTCGGCGCTCCGTTTTCAGTTCATCCAATTTGGTTTTGCATTTCTATTAAAAAAAAAAGAATTACGCAGCGGCGAAAATAACTCATGAAAAATCGACTCGGTTTAACTCGTATAATAAGCCTGTACATATGGGGTATTGAATCAAATATCCTTGCTCTAATTGTCAGATGTGATATTATTCTACGACGACGATGCTGGTCAGCTGTTAACTGACAATCAAACTTGTGGTACTATGCCATATGTAGTGAGTCGTTTGACAGTAGAAGTACATTCCTGAAAAAAATAATCGATACCTTCTTCCGGAAAGAAAACACCACGTGATTATATAATATAAAACAAACAATAGAATGAAACGTACCGACCGGCAAGGAAGCACTACTGTCAAAGTAAAAAGACGAATAAAATAAATTTTGTTAACTGTCTGAGTGTGAAAGTAGGAAGACATAATACATTTTTGTATTTTCAACTTTCACGACAAACAATTGTCATAGAAAGGCAATGGAGTAGAAAGTGGTGTTGGCGAAAAAGACATTAGGGATCAGTCAATACCCAATATGTTCAAATACATTTACCGGAAGAATCTTCCAGCTTGTCTCGATGCAATTCAATGCGCCAAGAATACAGCTGGGAATGGTTAACAGATCAACCTATTTTAGATATTTATTGGTTACGATTTATTTTGACCGTTAACAGACATCTTAGGAACGAATCACTTTTATACTGTACAATTTCTTCAAAAATGAAGTTCATCGAAAATTTATTTTCATTGGCATTCAGTTCAATAGAATATATATTACGAACTGTATTAGTGAGCAGCAAAAAAATAAATTAAAAAAATAATCGAAGTACTATTTCTGCTGATTATGAAAATTTGGCAATGAAACGTTCAGAATGAGTTTCAGTCAGAATATATTGTTTAAGATTTTATTTTAAGAGCGACGAACGCTTTTGAATTAATGATATCTCCGGTCGTGTTGAATACACTCCCTGATGGTACACTCGTATAACAGCATACGGAACTGATAGAGCAAGTCGCTCCTGATCGCATTTGACGCTGTTTTTTTTATGATATATATCTCAAAGTAAAAGTCGCACATCAAACACGGAAAGGTTTGTCACATACCTGACATTTTATAACGAAATTTGGTTTAGTAATATACTTCGATATGTTCGAAGTATGCTGCATATCTCTTGCAGTAAAGCGATCATGTCACTATCTCGATCTGTGAATAATTTCGAGCGATAGCAGGAGAAGACCACGCGAAATTGCTTTGAAAACATTGAGACGTCACAAGCTTAAAGTACAACTTGTTTCGTCAAACGTCACGCCGCTGTTAATCGGTTAACTAAAATGGCATGCAAATTCTGTACAACCTGGGTAACATTGATTAATTCAGTAAAATATGGACGATTCGATGAACATCTGGCAGTGATTATTAAAAGTGCTTTCGTTTTTGCGGGGTTTACACCAAATAGCTCTTGGCAAGGGCTGGCTGGGAGTTTCAGAAAAACACTTTAACCGTTAACCTGGTAAAACTTTTACACTGCGCAGCCGTGCCAAATGTACGGAAAACCCCCAAAACTCCCACAATCAGAGCCAGACCACGCGTACACCGCTACATACGTAGGATTCATATGCAGGAATTTCTATAACGTGAAAAGCGGTGCTGAAAGATTTCCGTCACTAATATGTCGTCGACTCGTAATCGTTTGCAGATAGTATTATGTTTACGTTTGACACCATTGAAAACTCATGGGGGTACTCTTGGTGATAAATCATATAAAAAGTATCCGTCGACGCACTGAACAACCCTCATAACTTTGAAAGATAGGCGTAAAAACTCTGTTGCAAAAATTGCATTTAAATTTAGCAAAATATATATATCATGAACATAAATTTACCGGTAATCGAGAAGCAGGAGAGACTGCACTGACTATTGGCGGATAAACCGGTCTCGATTCTTTCCACATGGCGATATCGGCAACATTGTGTTGGAGCTAGTTTTTGGAAAACGTGAATTTCCCATAAACAATATATAAGCTTAATCGCTAGCTACATTTTTCAACTCTTTCTTTAACTCTGTGAGCTCCTTTAGTTATTTTCGCTCTTTTCGTATGAGAATTTAAATAATATTTTTTATGACGCAAATTTTCGAAAGGGGGATTTGTTCAATGAGATACTTTTTCGCCTTGATTTCGTTTCAACGTCTTTTTTGTTTTTTTACAGTAACTAACAAAATCCGCTAAAATGATATCTTTACATTTTTGTTTGTAATTTGTTTTTGGCGCTAATAAATCGCTCACATTTGGGCAACAAGATTCCATAAGATTTTATTGATCATTTGGTTGCATTGGAACATATTTGAAACTTTAAACATTAAAATCACTTAGAGCTCGAAACAACGAATCTTTGTAAAACATATTTCAAGGAGAAATGATATTTCCACTTTTAAAACCCTCAGGCAGCTGCATATTATAATTACAAATCCTATTTACATCAAAAATATCTGAAATTACTAAAGTAACATAATATATTGTCGTACTCATATATCTTTTTACTACTATTAAAATAATTTGATCTAGTTGTAGAACTCACTAAATATAAAGTTCATCATAAACTGAAAAAGTGAAAATTTATATCTGAAATCCTGACATGACGTCAAACATTGACAGGCTCGTTCTGCTTCCTACAATGCCAGTCATTTCACATATTGATAAAAAGCAAAGTGAGAAAGTCACCATGATCCGATGTGACACATACCATGGATCGCAGATAGTTTAGAGTTAAAACAAAGTCAAAAATTGATTATCGATATACGCGAGCCACAATTAATCAAACGTGACTAGAATAGATTTCGAAACAAATGCGTCTTATTGACGTCATATCACGAACACAGCAGCGTAACGATACTAATTTGCATCAGCTGTACTCATTGGGTACGGTATATCTTTAACGAGTATACCAGAATGACGAACATCGTCCTTTACAATAAAAATGTGCTTGGTTACATCAGTTAGAAACCCTAATTTTTCAAAAATACGGAAATTTTTCTGAACTAAACCGACTATCCGTTAAATCCACGTTACGCGTAAAATGGAATATTTTTATAGAAACCTTATTCATTTTTGATCAATTTGGAATAGAACAATTTTAATTACTGGAAAATTCCGATTTGGAGTTGTAGCAAAAAAACAAAGCCACTCAAATAACTCGACAAAGGATTTGTTTTGCATTTGCGCCGTATGATATTCCCGATGCGTGAATTCCAATATTCAAAGCATATCAGATTGAATTTGGATTTTTATAGCCTCCGATCGATTCGGATTCAGAGTCCGGATTTCGACTCATTCGTAGATCGTCAGTAGGACTGCAGAGTTCTTAGTAAGACATTTATTGCAAAATATAGGGCCGGATCATGTAAATGAGAGGCATGACTTAGCATTTTTAGTAAAGCGGTGACAGTTTAACGCTGATTAACGGAAGTCGGAAGTCGCTTGATATCATGAAAAGTACAAAACCCAACACTATTCCAAATACCACCCATGACAAAGAGTCCAAAATCCAGTTGTATATCTTTTGAAAATCATGAAAAAAGTCCGAAATTAACAGAAATCCCAAATCAAACTTGAAAATGAATGAAGTAAGACTTATCGAGGAAGGAAGTCAAGAAAACTACGTGCAAGTTTTATCACGAGAAAGCATCTAATATATGGAATAGATCACACTATTTCCGAGTAATTAATCGAGTGATGATGAACTTTGATACATTGGGAAGTTGAAATAACCTCATTCTGAAAGGTGAGCAAGGTGGGGGACAGAAAACCCGGTTTAATCAAATTACAATTTAACGAAAAAAAATTCATTCTCGACCGAAGCTAATAACGCATTTTCCATTCCCGTTGTTGTCCCCAACACTGTAGAAGAGAAAATCTAATTTTCTGCCCTAAGAATTTTTTTTATTTAGGGCATTATCGAAAAACGGCTCCACGCTGGTAATGATTTGAAATTTTCAATTTTATACAAATATGTTCAGAAAATCCGTTTAAGAATTTCCTATATTGGATGTAACTGCATTATTAAAATTCTAATATTCCCATGTGTCTTATATTAAAAGATTAAGTCTGTCGTGAAAATAGAAAAAATTATTCTACATTATTAACTAATAACCCATCTTCTATTGCCAACACGGACTTCGAATGTTCGTCCCAACAGCCAAAACGTTCGTCCACAAGGCAGAGGTAATATGGTTATTATATAAAAATAGACATGCGAGTATTTTCTACATTTGCATAAATGATTATCTATGTAATCTAACTAACTAATCTCTGCCATTAGGCAGAGGGGGAAAGCCTGAAACCCCATATTTTAGTGCATAATGTTTGTAGACGATTGAACCTTTAGAAGCAACTACATTAACCCACAAATACTCCACTTGAATGTAATTATTACGACTTTTCAATCTCTTTACGATGATGCAACCCGATTCTTTTCAAACTAGAAAACTCAAAATACAAGATAACTTTTTCACTTCCCAGTCCATGTATCAGGTATACATTTTTGGAATTGAAAAGCACCCTTGCGAAATTATTTTTACATACATGTACGACATCTCGCTATGACGCGATTTAGAAAAAATCAAGTCGGGCTTAAAAATTGATGTTTTGCTTCCAAAAATAAACTACAAGAAGTGTATAGCACACAGTTTTCGTATGGGATAAAAGGTTGGTATTACACGTTTTGAGTTGCAGATAATAATAGCAACAGTTTGATATGTAATGATAAAAAATTGACACGTATCGCTATTAAAATTGTGTTTTACCCGACGAAGTCAATTAGGCAAATAACTCTAAATTGTTTATAATAATTGGTTATGGAAAACGGATTTGAATAACATTCTACATTCTATAGTAAAAATGTCCTGCTCAAAACCTTAGGGCCAACGTTCCTAGCCAGTGAGGAATTCATTATTTCGACTAAAAAAAGAGAACAAATAAGTTTATTTACCACTCCATGAGTTTGGAAGTTCAAATCGCTTTTTTTTCATCAAAACTTAAATTCAATAACAAGCTACGTAGTGTTAGACTACACAGGATATGCACTGCGTTATGCACCGTCATTATTAATTTTCCTCGTAATCGGCGACATTCCGACATTACACAGAAAACAAATGTTAAAAAAAACGTTTCTTGGAATATAATGGACCTTTCCAGTACTTCGAAATGGTTAAAGCCGCTAGAAGGCCATTAATTTTATTTTCTTTAGTCATATGCAGCACAAAATGTTGACATTCCTACAAAAATGTCATCCCCACGTGGGAGTGCCGTGACGTGACGTCAGACCAGTCCGACGCCGTTCTGACGAAGCCAGTACTCGCTGCTGTCTTACCATTACCGGTGTAAATTCCTGCGGCGGTTGGATTTGGTTTACAATTTTTATTCAATACTTATGAATGATCAGATTACATTTTTGGCTGCATAAGCTATCGGTACTGCGGGTAGCAAACGACCTTCTTGGTCATGTTTTTGACCAACGCCCAGCTGTGTAGCTTAGGCCAGTGTAGCTTAGGCCATATTTTCGTGATATAGGCCTACGGCAAGATACGGAAGATTTCGGATTCATCAGTCTTTCGTTCAACCCAGAGCCAACGCCCAACCAGGGTTGTGAGGAATTGCCGAGTCGTGAAAAATTGTCCTTTCGCTCTTTTTCATTAGATTTTACACTGTCTCAGCATCTTTTTCGTACCGTTTTGTCAGCATACAATGCTATTTATGTCAATGATCTGTTTAAAACGCGTAGAATAAAAATGGAAATGAAGCGTTCAGAGCACCAAACTTTAAGAAAATCTAATATACTACATCAAATTTTATCGTTTTTATCTGTGGAGTAACGGAGTTTGGAGAAATATCAATGAAAATATTTTTACCTTTTTTTACAATTGACTGTTGAAACGATGTGGAACACTTATGGATCGTTTTTCAGAGTGTTGTTGTGCTTGTTAGTAGGAGGAAAATAGCTTTCCCTCGCGGTTGACTCGATAAAAGATTATTAAATTTATTAACTTATTTTTTACGATATTATTATATATATTATTATATTTCACCCAAGATTTTAATTCGTTTCAACTCATAGTAACTTTTTCTAATGAAAAGAGGGAACAATTTATCCCGCCATGCATGCCCGCATCTGTTACGCTCGACAACCGATTTTTTTCCGGTGCTCTGTTTGACATCCGAGGCCTGAACCTACAGGGTCCCAATGCGCGACCTTCATACCGATATATTTGATTATTGCTACCTTGTATATTTAAATCATAAAGGTATATTTATTGGTGATGCTTTGATAAAATGCGTGGCTCTAGTCTCTAATTGTGCGTCACAGTTATAATCGTACAAAAATAAAAACCACTCTAAATTAATAATTCGCTCTCCATCAAAATTAAATCGAAACATCAAACTAAATCATCACTTTCTTTTCTGAGCACAATAAACAAACTTCTATCCGCATTTCTTTTATCTGACAGCAAACGGCATCAACAAGGCTTTGCTATTACCTATACGAAGATCTATAAATATTCTGCCTAAGCTTTCTACTAATACCACTAATCTGCCTCCGGCAATCTGTGGGTTGAACATTTACGCTTTTCATTGATATTTTTGTTCAATGGTCTTATACTAGTGTTTTTGATTCGATTTAAAAAGTAACTTGAAAAACCATCAAACACAAGTGATCACACTCGGGGATATATTTTCTAACAAATAAAAAACAGCTGTAATATTGGGAAATATTATATCGTAACCATACGCTTTTCTTATATTACAACTTTATTTCTCTTTGAATGGAGCAACTACCAATTATTGTATCTCGTTTTATAAGCAATAACAATAGGAGTAGCTGTAATAATAGGCGAAGTGGGAAGTGGTTCGTTCATAAATCTCACATTTCTGAAAGGACTTTCATAATTTGCAGGAATTAATTACTTCCCGGATGCAATAATATAAAATAGAAACAAATATCTTAGATGCATTTTCAATAGTAGGCGGTTGTAAAATTAGAGATCGTGTTTGAAAGCTAAAGCTGAAAAATTAACATGTCGAATATATATATATCGAAATTACAACAATAAATGCTGAAATCCAAGCATTAATATGCATGAAATTTGCTGACAAAAAACATTTTATTGTAACTTTGTATTCATTTGCCCGTTTTACGTAAACAAACAGCAAACAATACAAATAAAACGATACAAAATAGTTATAGTATGGTAATCGTGTTAGTAAGGTAATCATGGCTCCCAACTCACAAGTAAACGCATGAGTATCGAATAATTGTGCAATAAGGTAAACAAACGTATACTCTACGATATCCCTTTCTATGGAATAGGGCACACCCTCGTCTACGGGAAATTTAGGATTTTCAACCGTATCTCACTCGTGCGTATCGTTTCTTTTTGTCAGAAGAAATTTTTAAAGACCGCCTACGCAAAAAGTTTGAATTCTTTTGCGCCTCCGAACGCAACATATCTGTCAATTTTCCGTCTTTTCTCATAGCCTGTCGTTATGATAAGTTTGCTAGACCGCAGTTAAATCCCACAACTCCAATGGATTCGTACGTGTACGTTACGATAGCGTAACGTAAGCTGTGCACAAATTCAAAAAGACGGCTCATTTTTGTAAGCATACACGAAAGAACATACTATCTGAATCTTTGAAATGATGAATAATATATATATTTATATCTTTCGTGATGCACGTAAAATAACTTGAGATATTGTTAACAGACGGCGACTAAATAACGCTCTCACCGAAGATTTAAGAAGTGTCGTTCTCAGTAAGAAGTTCAGCGCTGTGAATTCGCGATATTACCTGTTTTGTGCTTAATCACTATACCTGATTTGACAATTCTACTTAAAGCAAACTTGTCCTAAAGCTTAACATCGGTCCACTTCGACAACACAGCTGTACAAAAACAACATGTTTCCTAAGATTATCAGAAAATTAGCGAAGCGTAACCGATGCGAGGGATTACACTTATCTGATTAACAGTTCTCGCTCTCGCTCTGTTCGAAAGAGAAACCTGGTGGTCGCGGAGTTACCAACTACTGAGAATAAGCCATCGAATAGTGGGTACAATATAGTAGATTTATATTTGGCAAGAGCTGGTATCATTTAGGAAGCTGTTTCGAGAACCGTACACAAACTGTCATTTCGGTAGGGGAGCATTTATATCGCTTTATGGACAAGCAATAACAACCTAATTCAATCATGATTTTGTACTTTATATGTCATGTTTCTGGACACCTTGCAGCGTCGACTCCCGGTCTCAAGAGGTTCTAATTCAAAGTGTCGGCTCACCAAAACCTACAAGCGTAACGCTAAGCTGGCGATGCTAGTAAACCCGGCCCAAAGTACAGGCGGGAGTTTTTTATTTAAAGAAATTAATGAATTAAATACGCGTGCCCAATTTATGGCCTTGTTAGTGATAACTACACGAAACACTCAAATCAGTCAAATAGTTAATAAAATTCATAAACAGGAATAAATTGTTCTCTTCTTAACTTTGTACTCTAAATCATATTTTTGGTGTATACCCATCTGATACAGTTAAAATAAAAGGACCATTGCCTTCTACAGTGGCTCCGTCACTTGGGGAATATTGCTTTATATAGTTAGGAAACTTTTTATGATCTTTAGTGGAAATAACATCAATATTTGCGTTGCAAATAACACGGGTATTGTCTTGGAATGTTTCTTCGTCTGCACTGCCGCATCCTGAACTGGAAGACAACTTTCGCGCTTTTCGGGCATACAAAAATTGGTCGGGTTTCAATTCGATATCAACTGGATATTTAGGAGCGAATGCTCCGTTTGCAGATTTGTCCATGTAGCCGTCGTTCGTTTCTACTCCGGGCAGGTCTGTTTCATAATCAAATATAAGTGAATCTGGGTTGTTGATTTTGTTATCAGTGCGTGGCAAATAATTCGCGGTACCAGTAAAGGAAGTCTGTGAAAACCCCGAATCTGGACCAGGGCTTACAGCCTCGCGTACAAAAAGAGCGTTTTCACTAATGAGTTTAAAATTTTCAGGTTTCTGCTTGTGAGTATATTCTGGGTTGTTACAAATAGTATTTTCCAATTCCAATGAGGATTCTTGGTCATCTTTGTTTTTGCATGGGTTTTCGTTCTCTGTTTCTGAAATTTTCTCTACTTTTCGTTCCCGTTTGTTGTTAACATTCTCCTCTTTTAATAGATATGAAATCTCAAGATTTTCTGGATCCTTTTTTAACGGAGCAACTCCAGCAGATTTTTGATCACCTAGAAAAATGAAAATTTATAAAAAAAAAATTGTAAACCTCTCGACATTTGGGTTAATCGGATTCCGAATCGATTAATTTCAAAACGTGGTGCCAAGAAACGTTTTTGGAGTCAAATTTATGCCAACCCAGAGTTGTGGTCTATTTTTTAGATACAGTTGTGGACACCTGGATCTTTTCCTCGGACTTTATAGACCTCACTCACAGACCATGCTTCTTACACCATGATTGCGGTGATATATTGGTTCAAAAAATGGAATAAAATTGCCTTCTTGTCTCCAAATGTGTAATATGGTGCAAACGTGTTGATGCAGTTAACTATTCCATATGGTCAGGTCGGAGGACACCTGGAACCTTTACAGACCTGCTTACTATATCATACATGCGGGAATGGAATTGGGTCAAGCAATGGTATGAAATAGCCTAGTCACGTCTTTCCAAATGTGTTCGGTGAAGCAAACGAAATTACGCAGATACCTAATCCATGGCTTTACCGGTGTTTAAATCAAAAACACTCTAAAAATCATTAATAAATAATAATTTCTATTAACACACAACCCAGCATAACAAAAATCAAAGCCCCCGTTGCTAAATATTGAACAATTTCTGAGAATGAAAAAAATCACACTCAATAACATACATCTTTGGCCGTTTATATCAAGTTGGCAGATCCTTTGTCTAGATGGGTATTGTGTTGCCAAACTTTTTGTCACAGTTTAATCCACACAATAATGGCGTTGACATTTGATCACACACACACTTACAGTTTTCAAAACAGGGTTTTCGACAAATATTCGTTAGCTTAGGACGCGCGAGTACTAGCTTTAAAAATTATTAACATCACATCGGTTACACAACTGTGTTATTATATAATAATTTACGTTTGTTTATTTTCATTTGTACTTGAATGAATATTCAGTGAATTCCGAAATATGTGAATGTCAATGCAATTTATGATTGGCAAGGTTTCAGTCCATATTTTTTTGCTGACACACGTATGAAAATACAAAAAAAAAAAGACGAACAACGCATAGAATTAGAAAAGTCTCTTTCAGTCTGGAGTAATTCAAACTGTTTGACTTTTGTAGTGTTGAGTTTGGTATTTATTTGCAATAATCATACCTATGCAGAAAATTTCATCCGGCCTTTCAGTTCTAGTCTTTGACATATTATTAGCGTATTCATCATCCAATATAAAACTCTGCCCTTCTTCTGTATTTTCTTGAAGCACCACTTTATGGAAATCCTGTTCGTAAAAATAGGCATTATTTTAAATTTCATTTCGACTTTACATTCAAACAAAGTAAGGACAGCAGCATTTGGATATAGAAAAGATGGAATGAGAGACTACATCTACCATTTATAACTAGTATGATCGCTACCGTCACCTTGTCGGTAACATAGCATTTGTAAATCAAAATAAATGTATCAATACATCAAACCATAAAACGAAACAGCGTTTCGTAGACCACAAATTGCATTTAATTTGGCAACTGCTGCAGATAAGTAAAATGAATAATGGATGTTTTATGAGCTCACTATTATCCCGGAGAAAGATCTGACTTTACATCAGGGACAAAAATTATTTTATAAGTCTTGAACGAAACGTCAGTTAATTTGATTTTGTTGGACGCTTTGGTAGTTTTGAATGTCGATTGATAAGCGCAATGTTATCAAATGATAATAGAACTCGCCATCCGGCGTGTACAATATGTTACCTACCGGTATCTCCTTGATAGTATCGTTGTAGTCAGGGAAGAAAGTTTTGACATGATTTTTGTAAATCCATAGAAGCGAAATAAGGACTAGAAGAACTATAATCCCAAGGCAAACAACGGTGACAATTGCAACCCAAGTTCGTTGGCCGATATCTGAAAGTAAAACGCCATCTTTCAATGTGTGACACTAATTGGACGCAAAATGAGGCTATATAGTTTTGTTGTTATGTTGTTGTTAGTATTCTTGTTGTTGTGGAAATATCGCTTTTCCCTCTACTGGATCAATTGCTTTGAAATTTTCAGTGGTTAGAGATTGTGATGGTTGCTAGAAAGCCATATTATTAGTATTTCTGAATTTCCTTTGGGTTCTATAAGATCTGATATTTCATCCAAAATTTCGCTGTTTTATTTTTATACACGGGAACACCGTTTTTATTCCGCCAAGTGTGACGGTCGATGTTACTGCTGTCTTCTGTTTTGATTTTGCGAACTCGACGCTCAGGCACATTTTGGAATGAGGCAGATTAAAGATGGTTCACGCTGGACGCGTCGCGCCGCGGCGCGGCTTCTGGTCGCGCGGGGCAGGTGTTTACATAGCGCGCGTCATTTCTCCACCACTCAAGGGCGCCAGAAGCGGTTACTTAAGAACATTGACGCGGGAAATTCAGCTAGAAATTTCGTCTGCTTCCTACTCCGCTACAAAATTTACAAATATGCCACTTTCAAAAAAGAAAAGATTGGCAATCGCCCTTTATTTGGCAAATAATACAGAGCGAAAGCAAAGGGAACATTGGGTTCATCCTATATTGAAAAGGAGGAAAGAGCTTGGTAAGTTCGAATCATTGCCCTATGAAACTGCGTGGTCTTTCCTCAAAATACCAATATAAATTAAGTAATCATAGGCTATCTTATCTTGTTTTTTTCATCTACATGTGTATTGAACAGACGGTAGAACTTGGAGTTGAATAGAAATTTATTTTTCATTTTATATTATTCTTTCTACGCAGGAGAGTACCATAGACTTGTCCAAGAAATGCGACTTGAGAGAACGGTTGCATTTCGAAATCAATATCGCCTGGACCCTGATATGTTTGATGACCTGAGGAGTCTAGTGGCTCCTTACATCACTAAAACCACGACTAATTCCCGAGAACCTATGTCTCCTGAAGTGAGGCTTGGAATGACATTAAGGTGAGCAATGCACCATTTAAAACTGTATATTCAAATCATGCAGCAAAATGTATGTCGAAGAAAATATTCAAATTATAACACATCCACATAGTACTTATAGTATCACATAGTGTTTATTAAAAATAAACATAACATTAAATAAAAGTGCACATATATCATATTTCAGATTTTTAGCAACAGGAGATTCTTATACCACAATAGCAGATTCCTACAGGACATCGAAATCAACAGTTTCAGGAATAGTCACAAAAACTTGTGAGGCAATTTGTAAATCACTCAAAAAAGAATATTTAAACCCGCAAACAGTTACAAAATGGAAGAAAATCGCTGAAGAGTGTGAGAAAAAGTGGAATTTCCCACATTGCATAGGGAGCATAGATGGGAAACATATACAAATTCAAGTACCGATGAATTCAGGGTCCCTTTATTACAATCACAAGCACACCTTCAGCATTGTGCTAATGGCCCTTGTTGACGCCAATTACAAGTTTGTTTTAGTAGATGTGGGAGCTTACGGAAAGCAGAGTGATGGAAGTGTTTTCTCCCACTCTGCTCTCGGTAAGCTCCTAAATGGAGGGGCCCTGAATTTGCCGGATGAAACAACACTTAATAACAGCTCAAAAAAGGCTCCCTATGTGATAGTGGAGAATGAAGCTTTCCCACTCCAAAAGCACCTGATGAGACCATTCCCGGGGCAAAATTTGCCAATTGATGAAAAAGTTTTCAACTACAGGCTATCCAGGGCAAGGCGATTAGTAGAAAATGCATTCGGTATAAAAAGTGCGAAGTGAAGAGTTTTTAGGAGGCCCATGGGTGTGTCGCCACAAAACGCAGAGATGGTTATGAAGGCAGCATGTTGTTTGCATAATTATGTAAGACGCCATACACTGATAGATGCAGGTTAAGTGGATAGAGAAGACCTGGAGGGAAACATAACAAGAGGAAGTTGGCGAGTACATGAGGATAAGAGTTTTTTGCCCCTGCAAAGGCAAGGTCGCAGAAATAGTGTAGCGGCGGCGGCTGTTCGTGAAAGCCTTAAAAATGATTTCATGGTTGATGGAGCTTGCCCCTGGCAAGACTTCAATCTTTCACTAGTACTTGCAATCAATTTTATTCTGGCCTAGATATAAATTACGTTAAGCGGTACCTAATTTGATATTACAGTTAGAAAATACGGTACCTTCAGACCTTAGCAGAATGTAAAACCACTTTCTAAGGTCAGTTGCTCACCGAGAGAATCAGCAACGGCGCCGCGCGTCGTCGTTATGTGCCGCGCTTTCAGTGTGAACGGCGTCACTTGAAACAAAGGAGAGCGATCTCGAGCGCACGTCGCAACGCGTCGCGACGCATCCAGTGTAAACGCACCTTAATTGAACTGCTAAATATTCATTTAATCATAAATACACGAAGAGCACAATAATACTGTTCAGTGTATCATACAATTCAGAACAACAACGCAAATTTGATTTCGAATCAACATCTTAAACATCAAGAGAAAAATTTTGTTTTAATTCATATTGTTGAATAAATTTGAATGGATTTTCCAACTTTTGGGAATTTAAAACATTCAATTTATAAAATAAATAAAACAAAACTAACTTTCAGTTGTTGGTATTGCACACGTAGGTGACTTGTCCCATCTTTCATCATTTCTTGTGCGAGATATAACACAAGGTATCACGTCCACAGATCTCTTGTATCTACTGAAAACTTGATGTACATCAACACCCTGTTTGCTGTAAACTGAGTTGTGATCACAATCTACTACACTGTAGTTCACTTTGACCTTCTTTTCTTCTGTAAGCATAGTAACATTCTTTATGGATCTCGTCAGTCCATTGTCATATGTTTCTGTGTGATTAGCGTCGTAATGCGTGGAAGGAACTTGAAAGAAGCAGTAATCTGCACTGTACAATAATAACAAAAAAATAATTGATTGCAATATGTAACATAACGAATTAGAATTCTTTTTATAGTCACGTGCATAGTCAGCTCTCAATAAAAAAATGAATGAAAAAAATTCATGACAATGCTTACATCGGAGAATATAAATCAAGCGTTAAGGCGATATATACGCTCCTTAGAATTAATGTTCCGTTCACAAATTCTTTACATATTGTTCTATCGGAGTCTTCAATCGTGCACCATTCAATTGAACCAGGAGACTCTGAATTACAAGGTTTCTGTATTAGTTGTAGGATATACAATTGAACTAATATTTAAGCATCAGATACATACTCCTAACTTGGAATAATTGCCAAGATTACATTAGTAATTGCGACAGTCTAAATTATTGCATTTATTTATGGATGTATGCCTGTCTATATATATCGAGGTTTACTCGATATAACGTCACTGTTGAAGCTTATTTATGAGGTTGTTGGGAAGAACATCCGGATACTAGTCTATGATATGATGATTCCATGATTTTTCGTGAAGTTGCTTTAGAACACCTATTTTTATTTGGTGGACTTGTGTTCACGTGTATCACTGTCTCATACAATTTTTATCGTCATAAATGGAGAATTTATTTTTTCATACCATAGAAATGATACTGGCAATAACTTCCGTCTCGCATTGGAATGATTGCAAATTGAGTTTCTCCTCTGTTTTTTAAAGCTGGCAACGTACAAGTATCATTGAGAGACAAGGAACAACAGCCGTTTATTGAAGATAAATTGTTTTCTGGAGTTTGGCTAAAAAATCAATAATATGATGGAGTGAAAAAGAAAATCTGTTGTTTGGCTTCCCCAAGTCCTTTGGGACCAAATAGAAATATAAAATAGAGATGATAAATGCTCTACTTTTAATGTGTGGCCATATAGTTTCAATCTTTTTAAATTAGCTTCTCTTCGTGTTGCGAAAACATTTTTTTCCTTAATGATGTTAGGGCAGTTGTCCAATTTCAGGTCGTCTTAATAACCTATATAATTTATTACAATATAAAACACCTCGCTGCCATTTTAGATTTGAACTGCCCAATGGATGCTGTAATTAGAATAAGTAAGATTTTTTCTCTGAATAGGTACAAAGGATAAATTCACTTAGACGCCCTTGTGTCACAGATAAATATTGTTTGTTTGTTTCATATGCCCGACTATTAGTACAATTTCGTAGCTGAAGAAATGTGCGATGCTGCATCGAGACAAGTATTTTTGGTACCATTTTTGTGTTTGACACAAAAATTTATATAAGTAAAATATTGACAATTTGAATCATGAAGCACTAACTCAAAATTTCCATCCAGAGTTACGCTTGGTGGAATAAAAAATGTTCCCATGTATTAAAAGGCCGAATTTGGGGTGAACTATCGGGTTCCTATAGTATAGGATATAGTCTTGGGGCTACTTCTTCCATCTGACAACTTGAAATAGATTGATCAATTAGTTCTATTTGTCGCCCCAACAACAAGGATTATAATATCAACAACAAATTAGCAAATCTGCTAGCTTGCGACAATTTGTTGCATGTCAGGTAGATTCATATTACATGATTTGACTGAGAGGTGATTTACGCCATTTTATATATACTCGAACGCAGGTCAAAAAAATTCAAACAAATGCCACTATGTCGGTATTATTTTTATACATTTTAAAATCGCAAAAAAGACATCTTACAAATATGACATAATTCGATAGCTCATATTTTCAGCATACGCTTCTCTGTCATGGACGATTTTGATCCAGAATTCGATATCACCTCTTGAATCATATATTTCTCCAGGGCCATAACACAGAGTGTAGTCATCACATTTCTTCATTTCGTATGAAACTGAATTAATATATGTCAATAAGTTGAATTCGGTACATTTACACTTTAAAAATTTCTTTGTATTAAGTCTTCGACCTTTTGAGTTTATACTATCTACTTGCAATACCGACCCGTATTGAAGAGCCAAGGATAAGCTTAGTTCAACGGGCCTATTTCAAATATATAGCTTACGAAAAAAACTGATTTACCGGTAGTTCATGTAACACACTGCTTAATTAAAAGAGTTTTCATTCACAAAATAGTAGGCGCGCTAGCAAGTGCTTTGAGCTACAGATACTATACGTTCGTTGTTGATGCGAGTCCAATCAGTTTTTGGCGAAACTAAAATAAAGTAACTTACCCATGGATGGTTTGAAGCAAGCATTTGGATCAAGTGAACACATGTCTCCATGATATTCACAAACTGACGAAATCGACGCAGAAATCATCATTGATAATAGGAAAAAAATCCACGGTTCTCTTTTACCATTAGTACAATAGGTTGTCATGATTAAATTAAAATATTTATTTACCTGAACTTAAAACAAAAAGTAAAACAAAAAATTTATAGAAAAATATGGAAAAATAATTTACCAAAAAATTGAAGATATTTTTCATTTCATTCGCCGTGTTCGGCGCGAAGACGTGAGAATATATTATACAAAAACCATTTTGCCAGTCATTTTTGTCACCAGGAAAAATAGTAATTCAACTACTGACTTCTAACACCACCAGGCTTCTACATACTTTGGTCGTAAGTTCTCTTCATAGAGAATATCTCAACATAAAGGTAGCATTCTCTATACCGTACTATATTCTGGTTCCTACAATGCCAGCCATTTAAAATATTAATAGAAAGCAAAATATTAAGTTAAATGAGAATGTCACCATGATCTAATGATAGACATATCAACGATTATACCGAAGTCGTAGGTCGCAATTAATTATATGTGACATAAATAGATTCCAAAACAAAAGCATCTTATTGACGTCAAATCACTAACACAACATTGTAGCTAAGCTTATTTGCAATAACTGTATCTTCAACGAAAATGATGAATATTATTTTAGGTTTGAAAACAACTTTCAAAAAATACGTTGAATTCCGTATTTACGTGTTATAATGAACATTTCATCTCGACACCTCATTAGTTCTGTTCAATATGGCATATGACGACGGCACACCTAAAATTGAATGAAATTAACACCTGTTGAATACGTCTAACGTTGGTAACCTTTTATCATCCATGCGATATATATCACAGCATTCTAAATTCATCCATCCAAATTTCTACAGTATGATTAAATATGCATAAACCCAATTTCTTAAAACTTTATATTCATTCGTTCGTTTTACGTGAACAAACAGCAGTGAATTTAAACAAATGCAGTATCGGGTTACTGCTTGAACAGCATTAGAAGCAAACGCCAACGTGGGTTCTGAAGTGGTTGTTAATAGTCGCGGCTATTTCGTTAAACAACTTGTCCTCAACTTCTACTTTTAAACAGGTACTCACAAAGCCAGAGTTTCCTACCGAACATTTAGAATCTTAATTTTAGATCGCTCCATCTGATCGCCATAAGCCTTCACCAATTAATGCGAATAGCATACACACTGTTTCGAGCCTTCTGACTAATAAAGTGCAGAATCCTTAGGAATTGCTAATAAAACTTGAATTGCTAATGAAAACTCAAAAAAGAAAATGAAGCGTAACAAGAAAGTAAGAATTTACAAGGAAGGAAGTCGGAAAAATATATGCAGTCTCTTTCTAGATAAACACTTGACAATGGATACGACAAAACTATTTCTGGGTAATTAATCAGGTAACGGCAAAGCTTGATATATTTTGATATATTCATGCAAAGTGTGAACTTGAAGAGTTGAGGACCAGAAGGAAAAAAAAATTCTCAATCAAAACTAATCATGCTTTCCCCATTTCTTCTGGTATTGCAAACACTGTAGTACAGGCAAATCACATTTTACTGTAAGAGACATTTGCATTGGCGGCATCTTCAGAGAGGAAAAGGTGCTTGCATACATATGATGATTCAGAAAATTTCAATTTCATACGAATATGCTCACGTTGCTCGTATATTGCAAGTGAAGTGCATTAATAAAATTCCCATGTGACTTACAGTAAAGGATTTAATCGTCCATGAAAATGAAAATTGATAATTTCGAGATGTTACTTCCACATCACCGACTAATAGCTCAATAGCTCTTACCCAAACGGGCTTTTAATGACAACCGAAACGTTCGTCCACAAGGCAAATAGAATGAAATACAATTTGCATATTATAAAAATAAAAATCGAAATGTGAGTATTTTTTCCGACTGCATAGATGATGATCTCTAATTCTGTATATAATCCAACTAAGCCATTAGGAAGAAAGAGACATTTTAGTACACAATCTAAAAGCGACCATATCAAAACACATATACCCAAAAGAACATACAATTTAAAATGTATTTTATAACTAAAAAATTAGTTCTTTGTTGCGTTAGCCTAATTTTTTCCAAACTTGGATTACATGGTTAGTGTTGTCATTCGCTGCCAAAGTTTTCACATTAGCGTTTTTTTTTAAGTCGGGAAAACTCTTAATAAATACATTTTACTTCTACGCACCACATCATAGTCTTGCAATAGAAATTACAAGTCAAAAACTAAGGTTCGAAATCGATATTTCCAGGCTTGTCCATAGAACATATTTTTCTGTCCCATTCCCATCCCATAGCAATTATGCCTGTCCCATCCCATCCCATGGGATTTCCATTGGAATAAAATTCAATAAAAAGTAGGATTAACGTCTACTAAATAGGACTAAATGTACGAAGAGACATGCAAAACAACTAAATTTACGGATTTTGTTATTTTTATATTCATAACTATTATACATGTGTCCATCAGCCCATTTACAAAGTATATTGTTGATGCTGAATATATTCTGCTCTTTATAACTAACAAGAGTGCTATGCTCAAATATATGGACACCAAGTTCATAACGAAATGTTTTACTATCATTTCCCCGAGAATCATACGGTTTTCGTGTCCCATGGGAAATACAAATGTGTGCCGTCCCATCTCATGGGAATCCTATTCCCATGGACAAGCCTGGATATTTAACCTCCCAAAAATTTACAAGCGCCACACAGTTTCCGTTTGTCACACGAGGTAATTATCAATTGTTTTATTGCTTCACGCATGTAGTCACGCTACGGTTAATAATAGCAAAAGTAGGATATGTATTAATAAAAAGAACTTGTTTTAGACGACGTAGATTGGTTTGGCTACTAACTTTGTATCAAACTGTTTAATAATATATCTTAAAAGAAATGAAATAATTTCATTTGATCGACTATTCCAGGGGTGTGCAACCTTTTTCGCAGGCGGGCCAAATATCAATAACCGGGTTGAACCGCGGGCCGCACCTACATTTCACACAGGTTTTCTATTAGTTGCAGGCACAAAATGGTGTCTCTTTGTTATTGATCTCATGGTCCTTACAGAAATGATGAGTTAAAACGCATTAAGTTCTTAGAACTGTAATTTAAAGATATATATTATTGCACCCAATTTAAACGAATTCAATGAGAAATTTGCTGCTGGATTCTTTTCCCGACTACTTTTATCCAAATTTGCTTAAATGGAAGTGCTAGCAATTCGATGCGACGCCCATTTTAGAACAAAAATATATTACCAAAAAGTGCCATATTTGAAGCCATGACTTTTTCAAATGTGGGAAGTAACTTGATTGAGAAGTTTTCAGTAAAATGCGCCAAGTTTCATTTCCAAATAATTTGCTGTCAAATCTTATTCTAGGTTCGATTTAGACAACATCAACTGGTAGGCTGGAACCAAAACTCATTTAGCTATTTTATCTTTTAATATTAAAATTTTTCAAACTGCTATTCAGTTGCCTCCGCGGGCCGCACAATTTTCTCTTGTGGGCCGCATTTGGCCCGCGGGCCGCACTTTGCACACCCCTGGACTAATCAACAAATGAATATAAATATTATTCTCATTCTTTTCATAAAAGAGCATTTTACTTAAAACATAAGTGCAGTGGTTCCTGGCGTGTGAAACCTGTATAAAATTTTTTATTCAATGTTGAAATACGCAAAATCCTGCGTTATGGACATCAGTCATTAACTTTCCCCGGATTTTACGACATAAAGCTATTTTTCGAATACAGGTATCGCATTCATTCAAATTTGAAATAAAACGAAATAATGTAAAAAACGAGAATATCGGTCAGAAACCGAAGACTTATCGATCGGAAGTTAGGGGATCCCCCAAAACAGCGCTCTCACTCCATAGGGACACCTTGTGTCCCATCACTAATTAATTGATAACTCGCTAATTATATGACATAATTCGCCCAAAATCAATAGGCTTCTGGTACGAGATATGATGAATGCACATGCAAAATCTGCAGCAGATCCAATCTTGCTTTCGTGAGATATCGCGTGCATCTAACAAACAGACAGACAGACAAACACACAGACAGACAAATACCTACCCATGTCGTAAATGATAATCGTGCCGAGGTAATATTCTCTCGTTTGGTTTTCATTAACTTTCACATTATTTCAATTTTTTTTTATAAGCTCTCAATTTTCAACACTAGTTATGGGACTTGGATCATCCATGCTATATATTGTTGCGTGGAAACATAAACATAGAACTGGCGCGTTATTTGACTAAAGTATGAGTTTAAAAGTGAAATATAAAGCATCATGTATCGTACATGTAAAGCAGTTTGCAGAACATACAATAAAAATATTTTTTAAATTTTTATTATTGTTTTTATCAGTCAAACCAATGATTTTACATTATAAAGGCACATTTGTTCATGGCACGCGTATGGAGTTCATGGATATATACTTTTCCGATGGAAAGCAATAAGCTTGCATTATGTTTCCAATGCATGCCATATTTTAAAAATAAAATTTTATGCCTAATCAGTTTTACTAAAAGTACCGATGAATTTTAATTGAAAGTTTGTACTCATAATAAAGTTCATTATAGCAAAGTTGTCGTCAATGTCAACTAACATTTATCACGGTCAATTGCTAAGGGCAGAATAGTCCGGCTGAAAGCCCGCACTGATTAATGTGCACCACACGCTGTTCCGATAAAGTGTACGGCCATTATGCGTCACTGATATGACTAGAATACAATAAAAATGAAACAATACAGTCAAACGCAAAGTCATCTTTTTACCGCATACCTGCATATATTCTCACCTGCATCTCTGTTATCTATAGTCATCTGCTACGTTTTAATATTCCGAACAAGATTTCTACTAAAACTATTAAAGTGCTTGGCAAGCTTTCAGTTGGACATTTACGTTATTCATTCGTATCTCTATGCTTAGTGGAGCTTACCTAGATTTTTTGTTCCGATTTAAATAGTGTAAACCGTAACTGATTTGCACACGTGACCATACATAGGACTACCTTATTTCGTAACAATTTAGATGAACAGCTGTAAAAGTGAAATATTGCTAAAATCTTCGATGGATTT